ATCATTGACTGGAATGGATTTCCAGTGTTGGAGACCAACACATACAGATGTTTTTAATGCTGCAGTGTTGATTCAATCAACAAACCTTGGGATAAAGCCCTTGCAAGATGGACATTGATGGGAATTCCATGAAATGTTGGTTTCTACTCGCAGATGTATATACACATATATAATTTGTATGTACTGTTCGTAAGTTATTTAGTTATACCAATTATTCCAAGCAAATCGCGGATTTGAGCAGCACACTCCAATTTCCGCTGCCCGCAAAGTGTGATCTACGGTTTACACATTTAAGAAGGTTGTATCCACAGCATGGTGAGAGGATGTAATTTCTCCAATTTCCACCCCGATTTTTTTTGATACCTAGAAACTTTTTCGGCAATTTTTTTGCCGGAGGCCAAACTCCAACTTTGTTGAATTTCCACCGCAAACTTGTAAAATCGCCGGAATTCTGCAAAAACGCCGGAGAAATTTAAAGAATGCCGGATCTACAGATGTATGTCGAAACGACAAAATACCAATAAGCTTCGGTGTTATCCCCAACAGCCGCAACATTTTATTTTTACAAATCTTTCTGAAGCGTGCTGCGAAGCCAAACACCTAAGCTGGGTTTCTGTGAATTAAATGCCCGCAAATCCTGTTGAACCTGACCCCACTCTGCTGACCTGGCTCTGCACCAAAGCCTCCCGGAACCTTCCCCGAAACCTTCTCCAGAACCTTCTCCGGAACCCTGTTAAACCCAACCGGGCTCCGCACCAAAGCTTCCCACACCTTCTCCGAAACCTTCTCCGAACCCTGTTGAACCTGACCTGGCTCTGCACCAAAGCCTCCCAAACCTTCTCCGGGATCTTCTCCGGAACCCTGTTGAACCTGACCTGGCTGCACCAAAGCCTCCCAGACCTTCTCCGGAATTTTCTCCGGAACCTTCTCTTCGGAACCTGTTGAACCTGGCTTGGCTTTGCACCAAGGCTTCCCGGAACCTTCTCCAGAACCTTTTCCGGAACCCTGTTGAACCTAACATGGCTCTGCACTAAAGCCTCCGCTCCGGATTCTTCTCCGGAACCCTGTTGAACCTGACCTGGCTCTGCACCAAAGCCTCCCAAACATTCTCCGGTACCTTCTCCCCAACGTTCTCCGGAACCCTGTTGAACTGACAACCACTGAAGGCTCCTCGACCTTCTCTGGAATCTTCTCCGGAACCTTCCCTCGGAACCCTGTTGAACCTGACCTGGCTCTGCCCCAAAGCCTCCCCGACCTTCTCTGGAACCTTCTCAGGAACCTTTTCCGGAACCCTGTTGAACCTGATTTGGCTTTGCAGAACCTTCTCCGGAACCCTGTTGAACCTGACCTGGCTCTGCACCAAAGCCTGCCAGACCACCTCCGGAACCTTCGGAACCTTCCTCGTTGAACCTGACCCGGCGCCTGCACCGGTGCACACCGGGGCTATTCTGGGCTGAAGACCCCATTAGCTTACGCTGCTGTGGAAAAAGATGCCCACTGAAAATTACGCCGGAATTCCAGTTTGAAGTGAAATCTCTATCTTTCGCACAGGGAGGTGAGGATGCTGCAGCACGGGGCTGGAGCCCAAGCAGTTTCTGCCGTGGCAGTGGTGCACCAGAGCTCCAATCATTCTACTTTGAACCAAATGGGCTTCTAATTACATCACCAATTCAGACAAAGAATGACAAAGATCATTCCAAATATTTCGAATTCATGTTTGAATCATTCTGAGTGCATCTAGATTCTAGATACATCTAGATACCAACATTTGCAAACCAAATCCAGGTGCCCCAACTGATATTTTCCACCCCGAGGCATGGGGCCCAAAGGTGGCGTGGCTCCGGATAGAGGCGACAACACGTATTACTAAACCGTATTACGTTTCAATTTGTTTGACCTGTGAGCAACATCCAAGCTTGCCGTTCAAACTTAATGCAGAAACTGCTAGAAATCCAGCAGAAATGAAATGAATATGAAACTAACTAATTAGTGTCATGTAAAAGTTTTTTGCGATATATGACTTGCTCAGGTTAAAGTGCATCCATTCTTGGGAATTCGGAACCATTTGGAATCATTGCGTTTCAGGTTGGCCGGCGATGATTCCATCTCTGAGACCTTACACACCGGTCGTGGAAGTGTGCAATTTTTTTCTCTGCATTTGCGCCAGCCAGGTTCGGAAGCATCTTATGAGGATGAAAGTGGCGAGGAATAGAAAGTGGAGAACTTGCAGGTGAAAATTGGGTATGGACCTGGAGGAAAAACAGTATAAATAATGAAACACACGGTACCAATTGACCCGGCAAACTTGGTTCTTGAAACCATCCATTTGGGTCATTTGGGTTGAAAATTTGACCAATTCCCAGCCTCTGTTGTTTCCCAAAGATCCACAGGAGAAGCGCTGAAAGCCGTGGCCAAACGCCGCCCCGTGAAGTCGCTGGAAATGACCCCTCGGACGTGACGGAGAAAACTGGACGCACCTGCCATGCGGAAAAACATCGCGCGTTGAGTCCAAGTTCATTTTCGGTGGCTATGGCCACGGTTCGCACATCTGTCATGGGTTGAAAAGCCAAGGTTCAGACCGCTTTTGCGAGGCCCATGAAGCCAGTCGTCTTTGCTTGACATGCAGCTCTGGTTTAAGTCTTACGGGCACGGTCATGACAGATGCAGCACAGATGCAGCCGGAGTCGTGAGACACTTCAACACTTCACGTTTCAGAATTTTCAGACAGCAGTGAGTCACGTTCAAAGGATTTGCAGCAAGATAGATCAAAATAATGTATTCTGACACGCCAAGTGCAACTGCAACTGCGCCAATCGATGGACGTACCTCATTGCAAATGCAGGTAAAAAGAGCACGAAACCTCGAACCAACGCAGCATCAACCAGCGATTGAGGGGGGATACCCATGTTTTCTTAGTTCGTTGATGGCCACGAATGATGTGGAGGCACTCTGTTCTGGTGGAGCCAAAGGTCATTGAGTCATTGATGACTGGTGATTTTTGATGAGATTAGATTAGGATTGAAAATGGGGATACCCCAAAATGACCATGTGAGGAATAGCAATGGATGTAAACCAATGGATTTTGGTGGATATTTTTCAGACAAAGCCACATTGATATCCGACCAGGTGACTGGTGGGTAGAACCATTTGGAACAGCGATGACCGGGGGGTAGAAACACCTGCGCATCACATGGACAGACGACATGAATGGAGATCCTTGAACTGAAGTGGCGTAGGTCCAAATTTAGGTCCCATTGACTCACTGGTGCTTCATGGCATATAGTACGAATCATCCAATTCTTTTGGATGTACTCAAACAGGCTATAATCACCCAGTTCTTGGGTTTAATTTGCAGTATGACACCAACATACTATATTTAAACTAAAAAAACACCATGTCCCATGATATCGGACTGAATGGGTCACCAAGAAAAACCATGGCTAAGGCGCGCAGGCTATGGCCATCCAAAACCATGAGCCAGGCAAACCCTCTTGTTCCCCAAAATAAATCAGCTGTGAAATGTGACAGGTTGTTGTATGGCCTTTGGCCGCTCACCAGCAGTGCGCATTGTGCCATCCTTAATCCTGGAGTGGCTGCGAAGAGTTGGAATATCAATATGTGATCTAACTGCAAGACAATATGCGTTTGCACGTAGATGCATTATGCATATTATATCTATTAAAAAAATAATACAATATATATAATAAAATATAATATGGTAATATAACATAAAAAAATAATATAATATAATATAATACATAATATAATATAATATATAATATAATATGTAATATAATATTATATATAGTATAATATAATATAATATATAATATAATATAATATAATATAATAAATAATATAATATATAATAAAAAAAATAATATAAAATATATAATATAAAATATATAATATAAATATAATATAATATATAATATAAAATATATAATATAAAAATTATAAAATATATAATATATAATATATATTATATAATATATGATATAAAATATATAATATATAACATATAATATAATATATTATAATATATAGTATATAGTATATAATATATAATATACACTATATAATATATAATATAATATATAAAATATAATATAATATAATATAATATCATATAACATACTATAATATAATATAATATACTATAATATAACATAATATAATATAATTTAATAAAATAAAATAATATGATATAATATAACATAATATAATATAATTTAATAAAATAAAATAATATAATATAATATAATATACAAAATAATATAATATAATATAATTTAATATATAATATAATATAATATAACATAATATATAATATAATATACTATAATATAATATAAAATATAATATATAATATAATATATAAATTATAATATAATATAATATAATAAAATATAATATAATATAATATAATATATAATATAATATAATATATAATATTTAATATATAATATTTAATATATAATATAAAATATAAAATATATAATATATAATATATAATATATAACATATAATAAATAATATATGAAAAATAATATATAATATTTAATATCTAATATATAATATCTAATATATAATAAAATATAATATAATATATAATATAATATAACATAATATAATATAATATAATTTAATAATATAATATAATATGCTATAATATAATATAACATAATATAATAGAATATATAATATAATATAATAAAATATAATATAATATATAATATAATATAATATAATATATAATATAATAGAATAAAACATAATAAAATATAATATAATATAATATATAATATCATATAATATAAAATATAATATATAATATTTAATATATATAATATTTAATATAAACTATAATATATAATATTTAATATATGATATATAATATATAACATTTAACATATAATATATAATATATAAAATATAATATATAATATATAATATATATAATATTTAATATATGATATATATAATATATTATACATAATATATAATATATAATATATAATATATAAAATATAATATACTATATAATATATAATATATAATATATAATATATAATATATTATATATAATATATAAAATATAATCAAAGGAAGTTTAGGGGGAGAAACTTCCGTGTTACGGACTTTTAGAATGTCAGGGAAAGAGTTAGTCAAAGAAAGAGTTAGTCAGGGAAAGAGTTAGTCAAAGAAAGAGTTAGCAAAGAAAGAGTTAGTCAAAGAAAGACGTTAGAAAGAAACAGTTAGTCAAGAAAAGAGTAGTCAAAGAAAAGAGTTAGTCAAAGAAAGAGTTAGTCAAAGAAAGAGTTAGTCAGGGAAAGAGTTAGTCAAAGAAAGAGATAGTGAGGGAAAGAGTTAGTCAAAGAAAGAGTTCGCAAAGAAACAGTTAGTCAGGGAAAGAGTTAGTCAAAGAAAGAGTTAGTGAGGGAAAGAGTTAGTCAAAGAAAGAGTTAGCAAAGAAACAGTTAGTGAAAGAAAGAGTTAGTCAAAGAAACAGTTAGTCAGGGAAAGAGTTAGTCAAAGAAAGAGTTGGTCAGGGAAAGAGTTAGTCAAAGAAAGAGATAGTCAGGGAAAGAGTTAGTCAAAGAAAGAGTTAGCAAAGAAAGAGTTCGTCAGGGAAAGAGTTAGTCAAAGAAAGAGTTAGTCAAAGAAAGAGTTAGTCAGGGAAAGAGTTAGTCAAAGAAAGAGTTAGTGAGGGAAAGAGTTAGTCAAAGAAAGAGTTAGGAAAGAAACAGTTAGTCAGGGAAAGAGTTAGTCAAAGAAAGAGTTAGTGAGGGAAAGAGTTAGTCAAAGAAAGGGTTAGCAAAGAAACAGTTAGTCAGGGAAAGAGTTAGTCAGGGAAAGAGTTAGTCAAAGAAAGAGTTAGTGAGGGAAAGAGTTAGCAAAGAAACAGTTAGTCAGGGAAAGAGTTAGTCAAAGAAAGAGTTAGTGAGGGAAAGAGTTAGTCAAAGAAAAAGTTAGCAAAGAAACAGTTAGTCAGGGAAAGAGTTAGTCAAAGAAAGAGTTAGTGAGGGAAAGAGTTAGTCAAAGAAAGAGTTAGTGAGGGAAAGAGTCAGTCAAAGAAAGAGTTAGTGAGGGAAAGAGTTAGTCAAAGAAAGAGTTAGTCAGGATATATGAGGTAGTCAAAGAAAGAGTTAGCAAAGAAACAAGTTAGCCAAAGAAAGAGTTAGTGAGGAAAAGAGTTAGTCACAGAAAGAGTTAGCAAAGAAATTGTTCCCTCACTGTAAATGGGATTGCAAGTGGTGCTGGTGGAGGAGTTGCCGATGGAGTTTTGAAGGAAGTCTCGCACGAAATGCGTTTTTGAGAGATAGCAGATGCAGGAAACCCTATGTTTTTCCATACAAAGTCCGTCCCCGAACGTCGATGATCTACCTCTGCGGTGCGACGGGTGCGAGACGGTCTCGTGTGTGGTCGGATCATGCTCGGATATGTTCGGATCATCCTCGGATCATTCTCGGATCGGTTCCGCATTGTAAATGGGGTGTCAACTGTTTTTCGTGCATGTGTGGTCGACAGAATTCCATTGTGATTTGCAACTGTAGGATCGTTCCCGCAATGTAAATGGGGTTGCAAGTGTTGCTGGTGGACGAGTTGCTGATGGAATTGCATTGTGATTTGCAACTTTAGGATCGTTCCCTCACTGTAAATGGCATTGCAAGTGGTGCTGGTGGAGGAGTTGCCGATGGAGTTTTGGAGGAAGTCTCGCACGAAATGCGTTTTTGAGAGATAGCAGATGCACGAAACCCTATGTTTTTCCATACAAAGTGCGTCCCCGAACCTCGATGATCTACCTCTGCGGTGCGACGGGTGCGAGACGGTCTCGTGTGTGGTCGGATCATGGGCGGATCATGGTCGGATCGGTTCCGCATTGTAAATGGGGTTTCAACTGTGTTTCGTCTATGTGCGGTCGACAGAATTCCATTGTGATTTGCAACTGTAGGATCGTTCCCGAAATGGTAAATGGGATTGCAAGTGGTGCTGGTGGATGAGTTTCTGATGGAATTCCATTGTGATTTGCAACTCTAGGATCGTTCCCTCACTGTAAATGGGATTGCAAGTGGTGCTGGTGGATGAGTTGCCGATGGAGTTTTGAAGGAAGTCTCGCACGAAATGCGTTTTTGAGAGATAGCAGATGCACGAAACCCTATGTTTTTCCATACAAAGTGCGTCCCCGAACCTCGATGATCTACCTCTGCGGTGCGACGGGTGCAAGACGGTCTCGTGTGTGGTCGGATCATTCTCGGATATGTTCGGATCATCCTCGGATCATTCTCGGATCGGTTCCGCATTGTAAATGGGGTTGCAAGTGTTGCTGGTGGACGAGTTGCTGATGGAATTGCATTGTGATTTGCAACTCTAGGATCGTTCCCTCAATGTAAATGGGATTGCAAGTGTTGCTGGCGGATGAGTTGCCAATGGAATTCCATTGTGCTTTGCAACTGTAGGATCGTTCCCGCAATGTAAATGGCTGTGTCAAGGTTGCTTCGTGCTGTGGCTGCATTGGTAATACTATTGTCTTTTGCAGCTGGACTTCGTAAATCGTATTGGAGTGGCTGCATGAAGGCTGCGACAGTGATTTGTCAGCAGATTTTCTCCATTTTGGCGCTAGTGATTTTCCTTCTAAAAATCCTTTTTAAAAAGTGCTTCAAAATCGTCTTTTTTTCGCTCTGGCGTCGAGATCCGGTTTTGGAGCTACAATTTCCGACGCCGTTGTGCGTAGTTCTATTGTGTTTTGCAACTCAGTCTCTGCAGATTGCAATGTAGTGGCTGCGTCAAGGTTGCTTCGTGCTGTGGCTGCGTTTGTAATACTATTGTCTTTTGCAGCTAGACTTCGTAAATCGTATTGGAGTGGCTGCATGAAGGCTGCGACACTGATTTGTCAGTAGATTTTCTCCATTTTGGCGCTAGTGATTTTCTTTTTAAAAATCCTTTTAAAAAGTGTTTCAAAATCGTTTTTTTTTTCGCTCTGGCGTCGAGATCTGGTTTTGGAGCCACAATTTCCGACGCCGTTGTGTGTAGTTCTATTGTGTTTTGCAACTCAGTCTCTGCAGATCGCATTGTAATGGCTGCGTCAAGGTTGCTTCGTGCTGTGGCTGCATTTGTCATACTATTGTCTTTTGCAGCTCGACTTCGTAAATCGTATTGGAGTGGCTGCATGAAGGCTGCCACATTGATTTGTCAGCAGATTTTTTTCATTTTGGCGCTAGTGAATTTCCTTCTAAAAATCCTTTTAGAAAGTGCTTCAAAATCGTCTTTTTTTCGCTCTGGCGTCGAGATCCGGTTTTGGAGCTACAATTTCCGACGCCATTGCGCGTAGGTCTCTTGTGTTTTGCAACTCAGTTCCCGCAGATCGCATTGGAATGGCTGCGTCAAGGTTGCTTCATGCTGTGGCTGCATGCGTAATACTATTGTCTTTTGCAGCTGGACTTCGTAAATCGTATTGGAGTGGCTGCATGAAGGCTGCGACAGTGATTTGTCAGCAGATTTTCTCCATTTTGGCGCTAGTGATTTTCCTTCTAAAAATCCTTTTAAAAAATGCTTCAAAATCGTATTTTTTTCGCTCTGGCGTCGAGATCCGGTTTTGGAGCTACAATTTCCGACGCCATTGCGCGTAGGTCTCTTGTGTTTTGCAACTCAGTCTCCGCAGATCGCATTGGAATGGCTGCGTCAAGGTTGCTTGGTGCCGCGGCTGCATGCGCAATACTATTGTCTCTTGCAGCTGGACTTCGTAAATCGCATTGGAGTGGGTGCATCAAGGGTGCGACAGTGATTTGTAGTAGTGCTGGGAATTGGTTAATGAAAGCTTAATAGATGACATATGAGAAGGGACGAGATGAGAAGAGATGAGGTGGGATAAGGTGAGAAGAGCTCAGATGAGATGAAATGTGGAGTGTGAAGAGTGCAGTGTGAAATGTGTGGGGCGTGAAGAGTGCAGTGTGAAGTGTGGCGTTTGGAGTGTGAAGGAAACAGTGAGAAGTGAGAAGTGTGAAGTGTGGACTGTGAAGTGTGGAGTGAGAAGTTTGGAGTGCAAAAGAGTGCAGTGTGAAGTGTGGAGTGTGAAGTGTGAAGTTTGGAGTGTGAAGGAAGCAGTGAGAAGTGTGAAGTGTGGACTGTGAAGTGTGAAGTGTGAAATGTGGAGTGTGAAGTGCGAAGTGAGAAGTGTGAAGTGTGAAGTTTGGAGTGTGAAGGAAGCAGTGAGCAGTGAGAAGTGTGGACTGTGAAGTGTGAAGTGTGAAATGTGGAGTGTGAAGGAAGCAGTGAGAAGTGAGAAGTGTGAAGTGTGGACTGTGAAGTGTGAAGTGTGGAGTGTGAAGTGCGAAGTGAGAAGTGTGAAGTGTGAAGTTTGGAGTGTGAAGGAAGCAGTGAGAAGTGAGAAGTGTGGACTGTGAAGTGTGAAGTGAGGAGTGTGAAGTGCGAAGTGAGAAGTGTGAAGTGTGAAGTTTGGAGTGTGAAGGAAGCAGTGATAAGTGAGAAGTGTGAAGTGTGGACTGTGAAGTGTGAAGTGTGGAGTGTGAAGTGCGAAGTGAGAAGTGTGAAGTGTGAAGTTTGGAGTGTGAAGGAAGCAGTGAGAAGTGAGAAGTGTGAAGTGTGGACTGTGAAGTGTGAAGTGTGAGGTTTGGAGTGTGAAGTGTGAAGTGAGAAGTGAGAAGTGTGAAGTGTGGACTGTGAAGTGTGAAGTGTGAAGTGCGAAGTGAGAAGTGTGAAGTGTGAAGTTTGGAATGTGAAGGAAGCAGTGAGAAGTGAGAAGTGTGAAGTGTGGACTGTGAAGTGTGAAGTGTGAAGTGTGGAGTGTGAAGTGCGAAGTGTGAAGTGTGGAGTGTGAAGTTTGGAGTGTGAAGGAAGCAGTGAGAAGTGAGAAGTGTGAAGTGTGGACTGTGAAGTGTGAAGTGTGGACTGTGGAGTGTGAAGTTTGGAGTGCGAAGAGTGCAGTGTGAAATGTGGAGTGCCAAGTGTGGAGTGTGAAGACTTTGCTTCGTCTCTCGTTGAAAAAAGAAGCCGCTTGTCGAGGGAAGGACACAGGCGGGACAGGCTGGCGTCGAACTATAGGTCATTTATTCTTGGGAAACTTCCGCCGCCGGCTTGCCCGGGTCTATGTTATAATATAATATAATATAACATAATATAATATAATATAATATAATAATATAATATATATATATGTATACATGTATATTGGTATAATGTGTTTCTCTCTCTCTCTCTATGTATTACACACATCTAAGTCGACGGGTTCAACCGGATCTCCATGGCTCCATGGGCGACCCTGAGGGATGTGCGCCAGTCAGAGGGGAAACACCTGTGTCCATGGCTCAGTGAAGTGTCCATGGGTTTCACCAAAAATGGGGAAAGATTCCATCTAAATGGGGTATCCCATCTGAACTGAGAAGCCCAATTTTCCAGTTTTAGTTGTTTGCTGCATCATCATAAGTTTTCCTACTGAAATGGGAATTGCTGGCTGCCATCTTGGGTTATCCCCTCCGGAGAAACCCAGAAGGTTGCTTCCATTCATTTTCCTGATCAATAAGATACCAACTTTTTCCATCTTTTTCCTTGATTTCATGATGATTCATGTTCGTTCCAGTATACCGTGGGACAGCCGTGGCATGGCAATGGTTTCGGGCATCCCCAACTACCAGCCCAGATCGTGGTGACAGGTGGTGGAATCAAACAACGGTCAACCCAAGAACAATCCCATCAGATACCAAGGCTGGTTTGGAGTGTGTCATCATTAAGTGCTGGCCCTTGCTGACGAACTGCCTTTTTTAGTCCCCTTCCCATCATATCCTGAGCCAGGCAATGTTGAGTTCAAGGGTGCCGTGTGGCAATGCAACATGCGCAACCTTGCAGCTTTGGAAACTCTGAAGTTTGAGTTCATCGTTACAGGCAGGTCGGTCTTGAGTCCCAGCCACGGCAGCCACGATGTCTCGTTGTCCACAGTGTCCACCTGCCTTGGTGGAGGCAAAATCAGCTTTTTGGAAGGCCCGTCACACAGTGAAAGCAAGAAGAAACTGGCAGATACAGCAGCTCAAAGGAACATGGAAGTGGGTTATATGGGCAGAAACGGTCAAACGTTTGTAAAAGCACGTATGTAACAGACTTTAGTACTTTATTTCCTTACCTTTGTTAGCCCCGCGCCTGTTTTCGCTTCACCAGACGCAGTTCCCCGATGCTCCCAGGGTCATTGTTGCACTGTGCCACCGTGACGATCCAAGCGCAAACAGCCGCTGTCCCAGACCACCTGTGGAGCACCTGTCCCAGGAATTGGTCAAGACAAGTTTTTTCTGATTTGTTCCGGCTTTATCTCCATGTCAGCATCAATTAATGACTGATATGAATTATCACTATCTAATTCAATGATGATCATTCAATGATCATTAAATGATTCATGAACACCGATACTAAAAAGTTGGAACGGCCCCATTGTTTTCACCAACTCCGGCCATGTTCCACAAGATCGCACGTGAGATGGGTGTGGCCGAGCCGAGGTGGTTATTTCTGATACATCCGAGATCAGTGGCCCAGCTCAGCGTCAAGAGGTTGCAACAAGAGGACGTCTGGAAGACTTTCCCTATAGTATAGAATTGTATATATATATATACATACACACATAGTATAACATATATATGTATATATATATATAAGTCTACACAGTATAACATACGTATATACACACAGAATGACAGACACACACACATACTTATAGTCTGCAGTATAGTCTGCGGTACACTCTGCTACACCTATACAGTGTACACACACACGTATATATATATCAATACACTGTATATATATATATATATCAATACTGTATATATATATATATATTAATTTGAGTGGTGCTGAACATACCCTGTAACATAGTGTAGGGGGAAGTGAACAACGATGATATATCTTTGATCACTCCTTGTTCTGTAGCTTTTACTCTCAAAGCAACCAGCCGAGCTCCACAAGTTGGAAGCTAGGGAGGAGCTTGACCCCCCAGTATGTGGCTGGGGGGAGGCCTCAACAGAGAGGCATGGCACCGCCACCGCATGAAAGAGGGGCAGGTGCTTGAGGGCTCAATCCGTGATGATAACGGAGAAGCCCGAGGAATGGTGCTCATCCGGGTCAAGGAGCCGACCCACTACGACTCGAAGGGCCACATGTTCACTGCCGAGCACCTGACTGCTTCAGACAAAGGGACCAGGCAAGGGTCTCAAACAGGATCAAAAAGGTAGCCCATTACCATTCATGTGACGGCAAAGCCCATGAGTGTGATGCCAAGAAAGGGAGAGCCCAGGTCATTCACCTGGAAATGATCAAGGTGATTGGCACAGCTGAATGTGCGGCCGGCATACCCGAGTGGTGTTTCAAGACACCATGTCGAAAGGAGGTCCAAGAATTCCACGACCGCATAGCTGTGAGTCTGGCGGAGCCGAAAGACGCTGTCACCTTACCCTGGGCTGAACCGGGTGAGGAGGAAGACGATGATGCTGATGAGTCTTCGACTGATGAGGAGGACGACACAGCCGCCCGCATTGCCAAGCTGAAGGAGGAGCTCAAACGCCTAGAGTCTAGAGGAAAAACCAAGGAATCAAAAATCAAAAAGGCATGGAGAAGATCGGAAGAGAAGACGTTCCAAATCACCAGACAAGAAGAAGAAGAAGAAGCGTAGAGGGGAAGCCAAAAGAGACTCACCCTCTTCAGAGGAGCGCAGGAAGCGGCCTAAAGAGAAGGAGAAGAAAGATAAGAAGAAAAGAAAGAGAGAGAGAGAGAGAGTTCACCCAGGAGTGCGGAGCTTGACAAGCGCAAGCGGAAGCGCGACAAGGCTGGTGAGGCTAAGAGGCCCAGGAGGAGCAAGGAGGAGGAATTCTCGACTGATGCCACTTCGGCGGAGCAGCTGTTCCAGAAGAAGAGAAGCTCTAAAGAGGACGACAAGGCTTACCCCCGAAAGGGAGAATGCCGATGGATTTCAACGACAAGGACGGAAGGCAGTCAGTCTTTTCGCGACGCCCCTGTCCAGCACCACAGAAGTCGGGTCAGCTGGCCCTGATGACTTACAGCCACAGAAAACCGGCTCGGCTGGCGGCCCGTTTGCTCATGAAAATGCGAGGAGAAGTGGCGCTGGGCCCGACAGGGGCAGAGGAGCTGGGGAAGGAGAAAACGCTAGCCTCAGGGGTTCAGTATCTCCTGCAAATACTGCTTCCAACAGCCAGGGAACTGCGCACACTGATGGTCTTCTTGGAGCTGCTGGCGCGCAACAATGCGGCCCGAGCGGCAGACGTGGTTTGCCAAAGAGTGAAGGCCCTAGGGAGGAGCGCCTCGCTTCTGGATCGAGACGAAGAAGTTTATCTCACGAAGGAGGCGCTGCTGGAGAGAAAGCTCCACCACGGAGAGAGGGCGGCGCAGTGGAAGGGGTTGGGTCGAGGCGAAACCAAGGGGGAGAAAGGCCGCGGCAAGGGCAAGAACAACGGCGAGGATCAGAAGGGCCGAGGCAAGACAGGCAAGGAGGACAAGTAACCCCTGTAAAGGTGAAGAGGAAGTAGCAGGCGTGCAGAAGTGGTTTCAAGGCCTGGAGCTGTCAAGAGAGGAGCCCTTGAGGTTCTGGACAAAGTGTGGGAGCTGCTGCCTTTCCTGGAGACACAATTGGGTAAATTGGCCAAGGACATGGAAGCAAGAGGAGTGCCACCCGATAGAAGTTTCACATGAGGTGGTTGCATATTTTGGACAGCATGGTGTCGCGCGGAGCATTGGCAAAGGGCAGATCGCCGAGCAGGCGTTTGAATCGGGTGCTCAAAAAGCATGCAGCGTCAGCTTTGGCACAGGATGGGTGCCTGTTTCCACTGTGGACCATCAGTCAGTGGAATTTCAGTGATAAAGTGCCCTGCGCCATGGGTACGAAGTTTGCGATATGTGGGCCTCCAGCCCAAGACGCAGCGTGCCTACCGATTGGCCCTTGCCAGCTTTCTCAAGTACATCAAAAAGTCCAAAATCTGCTGCCGCAACCACCGCAAATTAGATGCAGCAGTGGCTGACTATATCAGCACCAGTTATCAAAAGGCCGATCCAATTGCCTACTCTGGGCATCTTTTGTCAGCGCTGAAACGTTTCCACCCTGAGCTTCGTCTCAAATTGCCGAATTCATCTCAACTTTACCGCAATTGGACCAGAGCCTATGCACCAAAGCGGGCCGTCCCGGCTTCTTGGGAGTTGGTCGAAGCACTGATTGCCAAAGCCATGGCCAATCAAATGCCAAAGTTAGGATTGTTGCTGGGCGTAGCTTTCCATTGCATGCTACGCACCTCGGAATTGCTCAGTCTTACCCATGGTCACATCATGGTGCATGACTCCCAGCAAGCGATGAGCGTGGTTCTGCCCACCTCTAAGACCTCAGAAGGCAATCCACAGGTCTTGCAAGTTGAGGACCCTGTTTTGATTTCTATGGCAAAGGAGCTACTGCGTCGGAAGAGAAAGCAACAACTCATTTGGACCAGATCCACCGGTAGCTTCCGTCAAACCTTTCAGGATCTTTTGCAAGGGCTAGGATTTCAGCCACAGAGCTACTTTCCCGACTCTCTGAGGAGAGGTGGTGCGACATGGTACTACCAACGTACCTTATCGCTGGATGCCACGGTGATGCGTGGCCGTTGGTCGTGCAGGAAGACTGCCCGCATTTACATCGATTCGGGCACGCTCCAGCTAACTCACTTGACTTGGTCTGGCAAGTAGGGGGTTTGAGAGAGGTCTTGACCCATGTGAAGTTTTCAATGCCCCCGGGCCCCTGCTTTTTCCTTTTCCTATTTCTTAAAATTGGAATGACTGAGGCCTTCTTTAAGGCTGTATCAGGTACCTTCATGAAGGTAACGAAAATGTTTGCCGGTCTTTACCAACCAGACATGGGTTGAGTGGACAGACATGATCTGAACCAATCACCGGGTTATATCGGGGTATTTTGCGTGTTCCAGGTATGTCGGAGTACATGCCTCAGTCACTAGCAACCTTGTGGCACTCCTTGAGAAAACAAGAGTGTTTGCAATGATTTTTATTTGAATGGTGGTGGACGTACTCTGTAACATGGTGTAGGGGGAAGTGAACAACGATGATATATCTTTGATCACTCCTTGTTCTGTAGCTTTTACTCTCCCTCCCTCCACCCCACTTCACCTCCTGATGGATGGTCTGTTTGCACATGGGGTTGGTTCTTTAACCTTTACCTCGTCGTGAGGCCTTCTTTAAGGCTGTATCAGGTACCGTCATGAAGCGGTAACGAAAATGTTTACCGGCCTTTACCAGCCAGAAATGGGTTGAGTGGACAGACATGATCTCAACCAATCACTGGTTTATATCGGGGTATTCTCCATGTTCCAGGTATGTCGGAGTACATGCCTCAGTCACTAGCAACCTTGTGGCACTCCTTGAGAAAACAAGAGAGTTTGCAATGAGATAGATAGATAGATCGATCGATCGATCGATCGATCGATCGATAGGTCGATAGATCGATAGATCGATAGATCGATAGATCGATAGATCGATAGATCGATCGATCGATCGATAGATAGATAGATAGATAGATAGATATATATTTATATGTATATATATATGTTTATATATATATTTGTATACACACGATCTGTAGTGTAGATAGATATCTGGTTTCTGTGGAAAAAATAATAACATCGATTGGGGGTAGTGGGGACTGGAACCTCGTGCCATTCACTGAGGTGCCAATGGCACTTCCCATGTACAAGATGCCAATTTAGAAGGCCAGCGGCGCAGCCTCCAATAGGATTGACGCGGAGGAATGGCTTTGGTACCGGAACATTGAGGGGAAACCGGGGACACCCCAATATCTCATGCTTGAGAACATCATTTGCCATGCAGTAAATTTGCCGTTTTGGGGTATCCCGCATTTTTGGACAAGCTTATTGCCCCACGTGTTTGTACTTTTTGTTTGTTGCATGTCAGCTTCGCACGGGGGTTAAGTATTGAATTGTGGATATTGGGACCCATCCTATTTCCCTTCACACATGATTGAAATTGATATGGGACAGAATTGGAAAGGATATGCTGAAGTCGTGAGACTCATAGCCGCCCCATCCCCCGAACCGGAACCGTACCCTGCCGGTGTCAGGTGAAAAATGGGGTTCGGCTGCCCAAAGAGGAGCTTCGCATGGTGGTTTGGGAGGCCGCGGTCTGGGAAAATAGGATGTGCCTTCAATTCCAATGGATTATCAAGATCTTCCCCATGAAAATGAATGTTCTGGGGAATATTGTTTTTCCTAATCTTTGGACAAGCCCATCCAAATAGTTTCGGCACCACGGAAGAACCATCATAAGCTGTTGGGTTTCAATCTCTAGAAGCAGGGCAGGGGTGTGGTGTCGTGTTCCCTTGCCTCCCACTTTGTCTCCCAGCTTGTCAGCTTGTCTCCCAGTGTGTGTGTGAAACATCTCACTAGATGTAAAACTTGTACTTTGTTTGTTGCAAGGGGCCCATGGGCACTTGGATGGCATGGGCCAACGAAGACCCATCCAAGTTGCTGTGCAAATGTACCTGCAATTTTTGAATCGTGATGGGATGTGGCTAACCCAAGAACTACCATGCCGTTTTTCAACCAGAGTCACTTCAGAATTTGAATTAAGCACATGAACGGATGAAGGTGACTTCTCATTTATCTTTCTGCACAGTTGGCGCTATCTGAGACTGCGGTGAACCTCTTGTCCATTCCATTCATCTGCTTATATTGTGGGATTCTTCCTGGTTTCTATTGATTTTATTCTATTCTTCAAGGTGGCGACGAAGGAATTTTCTTTTCACTCCACACCAAACCTTCCTGTCAGGTGTAAATTGAAGTTTTTTTGCACGACAGATGCATTCCACATCAAAATTTGATAAGACAAGTCTGAGCAAGTGTGTGGCTCATGTCGGATTCGGCAGGATGACATGAGCCCTTCGGGGAATACCTTTCTAAGTAGGAAACGGGAACTGTCGATCTGAGTCTGAATTTACAGTTTTCAACCAGGTAATTCATCTAAGTAAAGTGTAACAGTTGGCCTTTTTTAGGTCTCACCTTGTCGTCTGTCGACTTGTTGAACAACTGGCCGCTGTACCGGGCTTCACTTCCTTTTCTTGTGAGACTGTCAACTTGGATGATTGTCGAATTTGGAAAACTTTTTTTCCTGCGTTGCTTGAGAGAGTACAGTGCTTGACATTCCATAACATGACAAGCTTCCCAGGCACCAGGAAATGCTTTCAGGTGTGGTGAATACTCCTTTTTTGGTTCTTGAAGAGGTCCAGTTGTGCATTAATTCAGGGTTGAACACGCAAGCTGTCCAAAAAGGGTTTGAACTGACTACTGAGGGCCTTGAGCCTTATCACGACTACCACATGAGTATGTGGATGCATCATTTTCATCAGCTAGTTCCCCATTGGTCCCCTATCTCATGCGTGCTCCCTCTCTAGGTCAGGTTTGGGCCCTTCGCGTGCCGAGGTAGGTTTGGCTCTCGCCTTGTAGGTTGGTTGTGTCAGGCGCTTCCGTCCGCCCCCCTCCTCTTGTCGGTGTTTAGCCCGTCATCCATCCGCTTTTTTCTCTTCCCTTGCCCTTTCAGGGTTTGCCCGCTCTGGGCTAGGTGTGTTGGTGTTGGTGTTTTCCCTTTTTTCCTTTCTTCTTTTGCGTTCCCGGTGTTGTGTCGCGGTTAAGTAGTTTGTTATTTCTTTCTCATCATCATCTCATCTCCATTTCCCTTGCATCTTCACCTTCATCTCATTTGTTGGAGCCTTAAAAGCCCCACTGCTGCGGGGCGTGTGTGTGAAACATCTCAATAGATGTAAAACTTGTACTTTGTTTGTTGCAAGGGGCCCATGGGCACTTGGATGGCATCGGCCAACGAAGTCCCATCCAAGTTGCTGTGCAAATGTACCTGCAATTTTTGAATCGTGATGGGATGTGGCTAACCCAAGAACTACCATGCCGTTTTTCAACCAGAGTCACTTCAGAATTTGAATTAAGCACATGAACGGATGAAGGTGACTTCTCATTTATCTTTCTGCGCAGTTGGCGCTATCTGAGACTGCGGTGAACCTCTTGTCCATTCCATTCATCTGCTTATATTGTGGGATTCTTCCTGGTTTCTATTGATTTTATTCTATTCTTCAAGGTGGCGACGAAGGAATTTTCTTTTCACTCCACACCAAACCTTCCTGTCAGGTGTAAATTGAAGTTTTTTTGCACGACAGATGCATTCCACATCAAAATTTGATAAGACAAGTCTGAGCAAAAGTGTGTGTGTGTGTGAAACGTCTGAATAGACGTAAAACTTCTCTGCCGGCTCATTTTTATATTTTTATATACAGTATTATATTTTATTACAGCAGGGGATCACCGGGGCCCCGGGGAGGTCGGTGATCAACGAAGACACCTCCCCCGGGACCTGTAAACGTACCTGCTGGGCTTTGGTGGTGCACCTGGGCGCATTTAAGTCGCAGCTGGTGGCCACCATAGCCCATGATATAAATAAATAAATAAATAAATATATATATGAATAAATATAAATATAAATATATATATATAAATAAATATAAATAAATATATATATATATATATCTAGTCTCATTGCACCTCATGGGATTCAGTTCCCAACGGATCACTACAATGATCCAGTTCTTGTCTAGTGTGATTTCCATGGTGGCTCCGACATGGTGCCATGGACCCACTTGAGGGAACCTTTCTTAAGGTGAATGTGGACCGATTTGACTTCCGAATTTGCACATTTTAATGTGGTAATTCGTCTAAGTAAAGTGAAACAGTTGGCCCGTCGGTTATGCACCTTTTTCGACGTCCTGCTGCTCCTGTTGTCCTGGTTCCCTCGGAACTTTCACAGTGTTCCAGTGAAGCTTTGCCGAACTACCACAAACCTTCTTTTTTGCCGCTGCACAAGCTGTTTGCAATGCAGCATGTCCAAGAGGCAACAGGCATGTCCTTTTCCTGCAGGTGTGGTATTCTTTGGTTTCTGGTGAGGTCAAACATATTGTGCACCTAATTCATTTGAATTTGAACAGCTGTTTACTGCCCATGTGGCTTGATCGACAACGGTCCCGTTTGAGGGAAAAACGCACGAACTTTTAGGGTAGAACTGAATCCCATTTATTAATTTAATTTTTGTTGTTTCGCTTCTCTTCACCAACTAGTCCCCCATTCGGTCCCTTATTTCATGCGTTCTTCCCTCCCTAGGTAGGTTGGGTCCTGTACGTGCCTATCCCCAGGTAGGCGTAGGTTTCGCTGTGGTAGGTTGGTTCAGGCGCTTCCGTCCTCCCCCCCTCCACTGGTCTTTTTTCGTGTCCGTCGGCCTCCGCTTTTCTTTTCCCTTGCCCTTTCAGGGTTTGCACGCTCGGGGCCAGGTGTGTTGGTGTGGGCGTTTGCTCTCTCCCTCTTCTTTTGCGTTCCGCTCCTCGTGTCCCGGTGAAGTAATCTTTCATTTCATTTCACTTTCATTTCATTTTCATTCCCCTTTTCATCCTCACCGTCACCTCATTTGCAAGCAAACCACCCTGCCTTAGGCAGGGTGTGTGTGTGTGTGAAACGTCTGAATAGACGTAAAACTTCTCTGCCGGCTCATTTTTATTTTTTTTAATATACAGTATTATATTTTATTACAGCAGGGGATCACCGGGGTCCCGGGGGGGTCGGTGATCAACGAAGACACCTCCCCCAGGCACCTGTGTAAACGTACCTGCTGGGCTTTGGTGGTGCACCTGGGCGCATTTAAGTCGCAGCTGGTGGCCACCATAGCCCATTATATATATATATATATTTATATTTATTTATATCTAGTCTAATTGCACCTTATGGGATTCAGTTCCCAACGGATCACTACAATGATCCAGTTCTTGTCTAGTGTGTGTTTGTGTCGCGCTGTGTCTTTTCCAACCGGAACCTTTGAACCTGGTTCGCCGCTTTGTCTCCCACTTGTCTCCCAGCTAATCTCCCTTCATGATGATGGGATGACCATACCCACAATACTCCATACATACATCATATAGTTGGTCATATACCCATTATATTTCCATTTTGGTTGGTTTTAGTATTGGTTATATACCATTATATACCCATGATTTGGTTCTTCATTTCCATCATAACCTATATAGTTGGTTGCCCCATGATTGTTAAACCCCCCATGAATCCCACGTACCTTGACCATGGCACATCGCCGGGCAGGTACTGCCAGTGGTTGTACAGATGATGCACAGCTGAGCCGGCGCCTGTCGTTGGTTCATGGGGACCCCTTCGCTCCCTGGCAGTTTGGCCGGGCAGGAGGCACAGCAGCTGGGTGGGACATGCCAGAAATCCACCGGTGATTCTTGATGTTTTTTTTGTGTGAAATCCACAATGTCTTTCAGTGATTTGTCCCTTTTCTTGGCTGGCCAGCTGGGCATCTGAACCCATGAGTTTCAATGAGCTTATGATTGGCTTCAGAGGCGGCCATGGCCCCTGGCTGCAGGTTCCCAGAAGCGCGGCGCCGGTGGCGGACGCGTGAAGATAGTGGCAACGACCATCCAACTCAATGGCACGCGCGAGTCCCAGCTGGGATCAGGAATCTGATGGGGAAAAGTATGGTGAACCATAGGGGGTTGGGGGATGCTTGAAACATCTCTGGCCATATGTGGGGTAAAGACTGAGGTGATCTTGGGTGAATGCTTGAAATAGAACTGACCATGGATGAAGATCAGATTTCCGGTTCAATGATTTGACACTTGGATGGACCAGACATGGGTCCAGGTCAAATATCAGGCTTGGAAAACCACGGACTTTCGTCATTGTTGCGAAGTTTCATTCCATTCTTGGGTATCATCAAGTTTGACCCATGTGAATTTTCGGATCATTTTCTTGCTGGCATCCGTTTTGTTTCTTTCAAAATCATGCCCGTTTTTGAATTTCAGGCTGTCAGCCTCAGGGACTGCCCCGGATGATGCGGATGAAGAGGGCGGGTCATGCGGTTCTGGAGGCGGTAGTTTGGGGTTGCAGGGACTGGTTGTAGAAACGGGGGTAGTGGGTCTAACAATGGCAACAACTTCCATAAGTTGGGATATAACATGATATAACCCCTTTAACTATGGTTAAATATCCACTTACAACTTGAACTGCACCCCCAAGGATGGGGTTTGTTGAAACCTCTGTAGATGGGTATTCCATGTGGGATGGTTTATGTATACTGTATACCGTGTAGCATCGTATACCCATTTATGGGAAGTCAATGGGGATGGTTTATGGGTTTCCCACATCACATTGCTGTAGATGGATTAATGTGGTAATGATATCCAAAGTGTCCCTCCCCTTGACTCAGTGAAATCTTTGTGCATGTTTATCCATTCTCTATGCGTTGAAATAGCACAGGGTATGTTTGGAAAACATATCTCCCACGTTTGGCTTGCATGGCTGGCGTGCCAGGGTCCATTTGGATTGACAGAGCCAGCCTCAGGGGAGGAAACTTTTCATCCTGGGACCTGGGATGCCTGGGATGAACGTGTCCGATTTGACGCGCTTTTTTGGATCTGTTGAATTGCTTCCAGTGGCTTCGAGGTCCAAACATCATCCAACCAGTCTCCAACCCCCAGTCCTCCATTGACAACAGCGGCATGCAGCTCAGCAAAGTTTTCATCACTGAAAGCCACAGGAAATATTTCACTGCCAAGTCCCTTTCCCGTGGTTTTGAAGTTCAGCATTTCACCCTTGAAACGCAGCATGAAATCCAAAGATTGCAAGTCCCAACAGCGAATTTCCACTTTGACCCACTCTTTTTCTGGTTCCAATAAAAAACAAGCACACACCGGTTGATTTGGGGCCGGTATGGCAGGTCAGCCCACTATTTCTTTTCTTATCATTCTCATCATTCTCATGATTCTTATCCTTGTTATCATTCTCATAATCTTCATCATTCACATGATTCTCATGATTCTCATGATTGTCATCATTGTCCTCATTATCTTCACTATATTCAGTACCCTCATGATACTCATTATCCTCATGATCCTCATTCTCACCACTCTGTTCATGCTCATCATTCTCATCATGCTCATCATGCTCATCCTTCTCATCATGTTTATCATGCTCACAATGCTCATTATTCTCATCCTATTCATTATGTTCATCATCGCAATCATTCTCCTCATTCTCCTCATTCTCCTCCTTCGCCTCCTCCTCCTCCTTCTCCTCCTCCTCATCGTCATCATCATTATTCTTTTCATCAGTATTCGAGGGATAAATCATTATATCATTACAAAAGTACATCATTATATGTTTTATATTATTATATGATTATATGATTATATCATTATATAATGAGATCATTAAATTATTATATCATTACAACATTATAACTATATCATTATATCATTATATCATTGTATCATTATATCATTATATCATGATATCATTATACAATTCAATCATTAAATTAAAACGTCATCTCATCATCTCATCATCTCATCGTCTCATCATCTCACCATCTCATCATCTCATCGTCACCATCACAAGCACGACCACCACCACCACCACCACCACCACCACCACCAGCATCATCATCATCACCACCATCATCTTCATCATCATCGTCATCATTGTCATCATCATCATCATCATCATCATGATCATCATCATCATCATCATCATCAGCATCAGCATCAGCAACGCCATCGCCGTCGCCGTCGCTGCTGCGGTCGCCATCAGCATCAGCATCAGCACCAGCATCAGCATCAGCATCACCATCAGCAGCAGCATCAGCATCACCATCAGCATAAGCATCAGCATGACCATCACCATCAGCATCAGCATCAGCATCACCATCAGCATCACCATCAGCATCAGCAGCATGCACCAGCATCAGCATCAGCATCACCATCAGCACGGCCGCAGCATCAGCATCAGCATCACCATCAGCATCACCACCAGCATCAGCATCAGCAGCAGCATCACCATCAGCATCAGCATCAGCACCAACATCAGCATCGGCATCAGCATCACCATCAGCATTCCCATCACCATCACCATCAGCATCACCATCAGCATCAACATCAGCATCACCATCCCCATCAGCATCACCATTAGCATCAGCATCACCATCAGCATCACAATCACCATCAACATCAGCATCAGCAAGAGCACCACCACCACCATCAGCATCACCATCAGCACCACCATCAGCATCACCATCAGCATCAGCATCACCATCACGACCAGCATCTGCATCAGCATCAGCACCACCATCAGCACTCCATCAGCTTCACCATCAGCATCAGCATCAGCATCAGCATCACCATCAGCATCACCATCAGCATCACCACCAGCATCAGCATCAGCATCAGCATCGCCATCAGCACCAGCATCAGCATCAGCATCAGCATCAGCACCTGCATCACCATCAGCACCATCAGCATCACCATCAGCACCACCATCAGCAGCAGCATCAGCATCAGCATCAGCACCACCATCAGCATCAGCATCAGAATCAGCATCAGCATCACCATCAGCATCACCATCAGCACCATCATCAGCATCACCATCAGCATCACCACCAGCACCAGCACCAGCATCAGCATCAGCATCAGCATCAGCATCTCCATCAGCATCAGCATCAGCATCACCATCACCATCAGCATCAGCATCAGCATCAGCATCACCATCAGCATCAGCACCAGCACCAGCATCAGCATCAGCACCATCATCAGCATCACCATCAGCACCAGCACCAGCATCAGCATCAGCATCAGCATCACCATCGCCATCAGCATCACCATCACCATCAGCACCAGCATCAGCATCAGCATCAGCATCAGCATCACCATCAGCATCAGCATCAGCATCACCATCAGCACCAGCATCAGCATCACCACCACCACCAGCATCAGCACCACCATCAGCCAGCATCAGCATCAGCATCAGCACCAGCACCACCATCAGCATCAGCATCACCACCAGCATCACCATCAGCATCAGCATCAGCATCAGCATCAGACTCAGCATCAGCATCACCATCAGCATCACCATCAGCACCATCATCAGCATCACCATCAGCCTCACCACCAGCACCAGCATCAGCATCAGCATCACCACCAGCACCATCAGCATCACCATCACCATCACCATCAGCATCACCATCACCATCAGCATCAGCATCAGACTCACCATCAGCATCACCATCATCATCAGCAGCATGCACCAGCATCAGCATCAGCATCAGCATCACCATCAGCACGGCCGCAGCATCAGCATCAGCATCACCATCAGCATCACCACCAGCATCAGCATCAGCAGCATCACCATCAGCATCAGCACCAACATCAGCATCGGCATCAGCATCACCATCAGCATTCCCATCACCATCACCATCAGCATCAACATCAGCATCAACATCAGCATCACCATCCCCATCAGCATCACCATTAGCATCAGCATCACCATCAGCATCACAATCACCATCAACATCAGCATCAGCAAGAGCACCACCACCACCATCAGCATCACCATCAGCACCACCACCAGCATCACCATCAGCATCAGCATCACCATCACCACCAGCATCTGCATCAGCATCAGCACCACCATCAGCACTCCATCAGCTTCACCATCAGCATCAGCATCAGCATCAGCATCACCATCAGCATCACCATCAGCATCACCACCAGCATCAGCATCAGCATCAGCATCACCATCAGCACCAGCATCAGCATCAGCATCAGCACCTGCATCACCATCAGCACCATCAGCAGCAGCAGCAGCATCAGCATCAGCATCACCATCAGCATCAGCATCAGAATCAGCATCACCATCAGCATCACCATCAGCACCATCATCAGCATCACCATCACCATCAGCACCATCATCAGCATCACCATCAGCATCACCACCAGCACCAGCACCAGCACCAGCACCAGCATCAGCATCAGCATCAGCATCAGCATCTCCATCAGCATCAGCATCACCATCACCATCAGCATCAGCATCAGCATCACCATCAGCATCAGCACCAGCACCAGCATCAGCATCAGCACCATCATCAGCATCACCATCAGCACCAGCACCAGCATCAGCATCAGCATCAGCATCACCATCGCCATCAGCATCACCATCACCATCAGCACCAGCATCACCATCAGCACCAGCATCAGCATCACCACCACCACCAGCATCAGCACCACCATCAGCCAACATCAGCATCAGCATCAGCACCAGCACCACCATCAGCATCAGCATCACCACCAGCATCACCATCAGCATCAGCATCAGCATCAGACTCAGCATCAGCATCACCATCAGCATCACCATCAGCACCATCATCAGCATCACCATCAGCCTCACCACCAGCACCAGCATCAGCATCAGCATCACCACCAGCACCAGCACCATCAGCATCACCATCACCACCACCATCAGCATCACCATCACCATCACCATCAGCATCAGCATCAGACTCAGCATCAGCATCACCATCAGCATCACCATCAGCACCATCATCAGCATCACCATCAGCATCACCACCAGCACCAGCATCAGCATCAGCATCAGCATCCCCATCACCATCAGCATCACCATCACCATCAGCATCAGCATCAGCATCAGCACCAGCATCAGCATCACCATCAGCACCATCATCACCATCAGCATCAGCACCACCATCAGCACCAGCATCAGAACCAGCATCAGCACCAGCATCAGCACCATCATCAGCACCATCATCACCATCGCCATCGCCATCAGCACCAGCATCAGCATCAGCATCAGCATCAAAATCACCATCAGCACCAGCACCAGCATCAGCACCAGCATCAGCATCAGCATCAAAATCACTATCAGCACCAGCATCAGAACCAGCATCAGCACCATCATCAGCACCATCATCACCATCGCCATCAGCATCAGCACCAGCATCCGCATCAGCATCAAAATCACCATCAGCACCATCATCAGCACCATCATCAGCATCGCCATCAGCATCAGCACCAGCATCAGCATCAAAATCACTATCAGCACCATCATCAGCACCATCATCAGCATCATCATCAGCACCAGCATCACCATCGCCATCAGCACCATCATCAGCACCATCATCAGCATCGCCATCACCATCAGCACCAGCATCAGCATCAGCGCCAGCATCAGCACCAGCATCAGCATCAAAATCACTATCAGCACCAGCACCAGAACCAGCATCAGCACCATCATCAGCACCATCATCAGCAACATCATCACCATCGCCATCAGCATCAGCACCAGCATCAGCATCAGCATCAAAATCACCATCAGCACCAGCACCAGCATCAGCACCAGCACCAGCACCAGCATCAAAATCACTATCAGCACCAGCATCAGAACCAGCATCAGCACCATCATCAGCACCATCATCACCATCGCCATCAGCATCAGCACCAGCATCAGCATCAGCATCAGCATCAAAATCACCATCAGCACCAGCACCAGCATCAGCATCAGCACCAGCATCAGCACCAGCATCAGCATCAGCATCAAAATCACCATCAGCACCAGCACCAGCATCAGCATCAGCACCAGCACCAGCATCAGCATCAGCACCAGCACCAGCACCAGCATCAAAATCACTATCAGCACCAGCATCAGAACCAGCATCAGAACCAGCAACAGCACCATCATCAGCACCATCATCAGCACCATCATCACCATCGCCATCAGCATCAGCACCAGCATCGGCATTAGCATCAAAATCACCATCAGCACCAGCACCAGCATCAGCATCAGCACCAGCACCAGCATCAGCACCAGCATCAGCATCAGCATCACAATCAGCACCATCATCAGCAACATCATCACCATCGCCATCAGCATCAGCACCAGCATCAGCATCAGCATCAGCATCACCATCAGCACCAGCACCAGCATCAGCATCAGCACCAGCACCAGCATCAGCACCAGCATCAGCATCAGCATCACAATCAGCACCATCATCAGCAACATCATCACCATCGCCATCAGCATCAGCACCAGCATCAGCATCAGCATCACCATCAGCACCAGCACCAGCATCAGCATCAGCACCAGCACCAGCATCAGCACCATCATCAGCATCAGCGTCACAATCAGCACCATCATCAGCACCATCATCAGCATCATCATCAGCATCACCTCCATCAGCATCAGCATCAGCATCAGCATCACAATCAGCACCACCATCAGCACCATCATCAGCATCACCACCATCGCCATCAGCATCAGCACCAGCATCAGCATCAGCATCAAAATCACTATCGGCACCAGCACCAGCATCAGCATCAGCACCAGCACCAGCATCAGCACCAGCATCAACATCAGCATCACAATCAGCACCATCATCAGCACCATCATCAGCATCGCCATCAGCATCAGCACCAGCATCAGCATCAGCATCAAAATCACTATCAGCACCAGCACCAGCATCAGCACCAGCATCAGCATCAGCGTCACAATCAGCACCATCATCAGCACCATCATCAGCATCGCCATCAGCATCAGCACCAGCATCAGCATCAGCGTCACAATCAGCACCATCATCAGCACCATCATCAGCATCGCCATCAGCATCAGCACCAGGCATCAGCATCACAATCAGCACCATCAGCACCTCAGCATCGCCAGCATCAGCACAGCATCAGCAATCAGCGTCACAATCAGCACCATCATCAGCACCATCATCAGCATCGCCATCAGCATCATCAGCATCAGCACCAGCATCAGCATCAGCATCACAGCATCAGCACCATCATCAGCACCATCATCAGCATCGCCATCAGCATCAGCACCAGCATCAGCATCAGCGTCACAATCAGCACCATCATCAGCACCATCATCAGCATCGCCATCAGCATCAGCACCAGCATCAGCATCAGCATCACAATCAGCACCATCATCAGCACCATCATCAGCATCGCCATCAGCATCAGCACCAGCATCAGCGTCACAATCAGCACCATCATCAGCACCATCATCAGCATCGCCATCAGCATCAGCACCAGCATCAGCATCAGCGTCACAATCAGCACCATCATCAGCACCATCATCAGCATCGCCATCAGCATCAGCACCAGCATCAGCATCAGCATCACAATCAGCACCATCATCAGCACCATCATCAGCATCGCCATCAGCATCAGCACCAGCACCAGCATCAGCGTCACAATCAGCACCATCATCAGCACCATCATCAGCATCGCCATCAGCATCAGCACCAGCATCAGCATCAGCGTCACAATCAGCACCATCATCAGCACCATCATCAGCATCGCCATCAGCATCAGCACCAGCATCAGCATCAGCGTCACAATCAGCACCATCATCAGCACCATCATCAGCATCGCCATCAGCATCAGCACCAGCATCAGCATCAGCATCACAATCAGCACCATCATCAGCACCATCATCAGCATCGCCATCAGCATCAGCACCAGCATCAGCACCAGCATCACAATCAGCACCATCATCAGCACCATCATCAGCATCGCCATCAGCATCAGCACCAGCATCACCATCAGCATCACCATCAGCACCAGCATCAGCACCATCATCAGCATCGCCATCAGCATCAGCACCAGCATCAGCATCAGCATCACAATCAGCCCCATCATCAGCACCATCATCAGCATCGCCATCAGCATCAGCACCAGCATCACCATCAGCATCACCATCAGCACCAGCATCAGCATCAGCATTTCTTCCCAACGCAGCCCACCGCCCGCCTTGAGGTGAGGTCGATTTCGTGGAGGATTTGGGCCCGAGCGCCTCAACGGTGCAGAAGGGCCGGATCTTGGCCCTTGGAGGATGTGGGGAACCCGGTGGAACCCGGACGTAGGGAGCGGGTGGGGGGCCATAAGGGCCATAGGTAACACTGGAGGACGGTTGATGAAGTTGATGAAATTCATGGTTTTTGATGGTTCTTGATGGTGGTTGCAGTTGGGGAGAGAGTTTTCTTTTTGATCTGCAAAATGTTGATGTAATTAAGATGTCGATGGAACCGGTGTGAATTTGCTGGTTGTGCATGTGGTTGTGCGTGTGGTCACTTTTTTGGGTGGTGGTGGCAATGACCATGCAAATGGCGATGACAGGGCAACTTTGTTTTCTTGCAGATGTTTGCAATTTTCTTTCAGGAACTCCAAATGTGGGATGCCACTCCCATTCAATTTGATAGTCCTCATTGAGACGAACGGATATAAGTGGAACCCAGTAGCTCTGGAGTTCAACAAATTTCTCGACACTCACATCAGTCACATGATCCGGAAAAAACCCGAGATCTGGCTATGGATCAATATCTATTACTCAGCTAGCTTGGTGTGAACTACAGGGTACAGGTTTTGACCCATAGCCATCTGAGGTTGTCGCAACTGCCTGTGTGGCGGTGGTGGTCGCGTCATGACTGAAGCATCTGACCTCAGCAAAACCAGTTCTGGTGGAGGAACTGTTGTCCCCACTGGTGCCAAAGAAGTAGTCCCTTACCTGTACTAATTGAGACTTTGAACATCAAGAACGATCAAGAATGGGAATTTAGCTACAAATTCACAAAATGAATCAATCTACATCCAATACTAAAGCAGGTTTGCAGGCAGGTACATATGCAAAGGAAGTGATTACCTTCCGGCGATCAAACATGGCAGTGGGATATTTTCGAGGTGCTTTGAAACCATGAAAGTGTACAAAAGGACCTTTCAATTGCCAGGGTTAAACTTGTTGACCAAAGATCAGCCTCTCCTTTTGCTCGGAAGTTTGAGCAGCTCCGCCGCTCAGGTCGCTTCTGGCTCAGTCCCCAGAAACGTCATCATTTCAGGAGGCTGCTTTCGTGATGTGCTGAAGGCGTGGATGGGTTGATGGTCGATGGTTCTATGTTGGCTTGGGATCCGGCTGCTGGAGGGAGCTTCCAACCTAGTAACCAGACCCAGACAAACTTCCGATACTTTGCAGTGCTTGTAGTTTGCAAATCTCATTGGTAGGTTTGATGGATCAGAGGGGGCTCATTCTGTGGCCCTGCTTCGTTGCTTCCATTGAACAGATTTAGAGGGTGGCTTCCAAAGCACAACCAGAATCTTTGCCATTAATCCATATTTATCCTATCCCGTGATTCAAAAAACATATTTCTCCCATTCTATGGTCCCAAAAAGGTGATTTCATCCCCTACATGGGGAATTTCCCATGGTTCATGGGGGATGGGATGTGAACTTCTTGGACGTGGCAGATGGATGGTGAGGGATGCCGCTGCGGATCTGCTGGCACCTGGGTGGTGACGCCCTCTATAGGCAGGGGATGTCCATGGTAGAAACCACCAGGGGATGATTTTGGGGACCCGTTTATTTCAGGACACCTCCACATGGCAATAGAGAAAATATGAGAAAATCCCATGGAAAAACAGATAGGTTTTGACCCATCAGCATACACACTTGCAGGATTCTGAATGCTCTTTTTGATGCATAGTAGGAGGTTTCCGAAAATCCTCTTCAAGTATCTTCAAGTCATCTACATAAATTAGACCATGACTTAGTATTGAAACCTATGGTGATGACCGGACAGGCCGACGTCGACGCATGAGTCCTGCACCTGCCAGGCGGGCCAAGAGTGGGATGCCGAGGTCGAGAAATCGGCTGTTGATGGTTTTTGAAAGTGAGACTGGATATATTGGATACATATTATACATATATTATATATATATACATATATAAGACATATCACATATCATATATAACTATTCAGATGAGCAGAATATATTCTCCAATCATATCATATATCTAATATAGTCTATATTAGATATATGATATGATTGGAGAATATATTCTGCTCATCTGAATAATCTGAATGCAGACCTACAAGTAGCCTGAAGCTTGAGGCGTGCGGCCTCAGATAGACATCTTGTGAATTGATTTTGAAGGCAGACCTTCTGGTTCAAGTTGGGCGGCCTGGTTCCCATCTGTAGGACTTGGCGCCGCCGGGGCTTGCAAGACAATGGCGGATGAAGACAATACTTGGTTGGTGGACATGATCGTTCAAATGGTGAATTCTCCATCTTGGAATGAACCCATTGATGCCTTCGTGGCAGAAAAATGCCTGATCTTCGACAACCTTGAGGAAGAGATGAAGCATGAGTACATGGAGTTGCACCAAGAGTTTGGTGGCCTGGTTGAAAGTCTTCTAGCAGCACACTTGCTGGAAGTCGACATTTCGCCCGAGGATTTTGAGAGACAGGTGATGGAAAGTGGCTTGAAAGATGATGAACGCATGCAGAGAGTGGTGTTGCAGCTCATTGCGGCCGAGGATTTCCTAGAATTCCGGAACATGATGCTTCGGCAGCATCTGAAGATGCAGCAGGAGGCTCAAGGCCACTTCGGTCCAACCATGAGTGCCGAGGAGGAGCGTTTGGCCAACGATGCTGCCATCGCGGCAGCCATCGCGGCGGATGCCTCCACCCTCGAGGAACAGCAGGCGGCCGCCGCGTCCCTGGCCGCCCCGGCTGCCTCGGCGGCCCCGGCTGCGGCTGCGCCCGTGGCACCGGCACCGGCGCCCTCGGCGGTGGAGGAGAGGGCCTTTGGTGCCGCTGGGGGATCCTATGGCCGGGCAGTCTTTGCACCAGGCAAGCAGAAACCCGCCGGCAGCGCCAAGGCAGCAGCGATCCGAAAGGCCTTGATGAATGGTTTGTGGCCCAGTTAGTGATGTGATTTGGTTGTGACGAGAAGTCCCCTTAAAGGGGAGCACTGCAGCGAATAGTGCAGGAAAAAGACAGTGAGTCGCATTGCTCGCATTGCGTATTGAGTCTTGGTGAGAAGGTCGCTGTTTTTGTAGAATTTTGATGGTAGTCATTCCGTTGCGCATTTCACAGCACTGCAGTATCTCTGTTGTTGGGCCTGCTTGGCCAGCTCTACCATTTGCAGCATGATGAACCAAAGTTGCTCCCCGATCCCTATCTCAATTGCTGACCTTATTATTGTAGATGTATAATTGAGTGATTAAACATGATTGAAATATCAGTCATATAAATCCGGGAGCCACTGTGCGAACAGTATATCATTCCCACCAAATGTACATATGGCTTTGTTTTAAAATAGGGGGCCCCTAATTTCCTTGGTCAATCATCATTATACCCATTAAAAATTGCTGGTAAATCAGTAAATTCCCCATTTTCAGACCCAAATCATACTATGTGGTTCTATCTCCAATCATCTCCGTTAATTTCCATTAGATCCATTTTAGGATGCCCATGAAATTCCATTAAGTTCCATTAGATCCCATGTGACTTAGCTGAACCCCATGGGCCCTATCCCATGGTTATCGAAAAACTCCAGGCATCGTTGGCTCCGACGTTTCCATTGGCCAAAGCTTTGGGGAAAGACGGCACGACCTGCCCCGCAGCCCATGTCCAGCACGGCCAGGGGCCCAGTGGGTGGTGCAGCCTGTGGTTCATCATGATATAACCAAAAACAACCATAGATAGCAATTATTAGCACAGGTTATATCCACTAAGAAAGACAACTATTTAGTTATTTTACTTCAAATGATCCCCACCCTGACATATTGTTTTGACATTCTATCTGGCATTCTATTTGACATACATTCTGACATTCTATCTGGATGCTATTTGGCGTCTATTCTGACATTCTTTCTGAAATTCTTTCTGGCATTCTATCTGGCATCTATTCTGACATTCTTTCTGACATTCTATCTGACACATATTCTGGCATTCTATCTGGCATTTTTTCTGGTATTCTGTGTGACATATGTTCCGACATTCTATCTTGCATTTTTTCTGGCATTCTGTCTGACAGCATCCGGAGCTGGCGATATGGCTCGGATCCGTTGAACTAGAGACCCTCACCTGGCAGGTGGGGAACAATCATAATGGACAATGGTGGTTGATAATGGCTGATGATAGATGAAGAATGGATAACTGGAATAATGTGGGAAACCAATCATATGTGAATTAATTTGAATCATCCCATCCCCCGACAATATTGTATAAATAGGGACACATAGGGATTGCAATGAGATATTAACTATCAACCATAGGGGTTAATTAATGTGGAAAACCCAATGGCATAAACAACTTTGGGGATGGTTGGAATCCCACCCATAGAACATGTGATTTTGGGGATGGTTTATGGCATTGGATTTACCACATTAATCGGAGTGCAATTTCTACAGGACATCAAATGAAATTCAACATAATTCAACGCAGGATTCAGAAGCCACTTTGATACAAGAAGTCCCCAGGACGGCATCAATGCAGCCATGAATTCGACTTTTGTACAACCCAAGTGCATTTCTTTCACAACATCAGTAACATGACCAAATTTCTGCAGATTCCCAATTGGTGACTTCTATTTCCCAATGAAACCAACGTCTCTATATTCAAACCAGGTGACACTGCGCGTGGACAACTCCTTCGCTGTCAGCTTGGCGGGAGCCAAACTACCCCAACCCACGCCGTTGCCGCACTTCAACTTCCCAGTGGCGTACCTTGAAAACGCAATGGGATGCTGCTGGTGGCTGCCTTCAAAGGGGTCAATCCTTGGTATTTTTTTCCAAAGAAAACCATTCTAATCATTGCGGGGCCATAGCTGTCACCTGATTTTTCTTCAATGCTTGGTGAGGTGCAAAGGGTCACAGCAAAACGTTCGCCGTGGTGCCGTGTTGCAGCCTTTCAGGTTACAAGTGAATGACGCTTTGGTGGTGCCATCGGACCAGGATGCCAGCTGGTTGCTGTCGGGTCTCACTATGTGATGCCGCCCTGTTCCCGTTGGCGTCCAATTGGAAGGGACGGCAAGGGAAGGGATAAATGGGGAAAAATATCAAACTAAGCTTTTGCGAGGCTTTACAAACATAGGGACGTTTGACGGTCTTCACATCCAGAATGGGGAAAGAAACCCGAGTGTTTTGGTAAGTGCTGCTGTTTGTAGAGTTTATATAGGCTGTATGTAGGCTGTTGTAGAGTTTATGTTGGCGTTATCGCAGCAGTGCTGCCTGCAGCAGTCTTGTTCGGAACACGCCGAGCGACGCGAGGGGAGTGTAGGAGGAACGACGGAGGGTACCAAGGGTGAGTGAGGCAGCGGTTTTTGCTGAAGCAATCCAACTGCTTGACAAAACCGGCTTTAAAGAAACCAGTTGCAACATTCATGGTTACAAATGGTTTACAACCACCTGTTACAGGTGGAACCTCTAGCGTCAACCCTCATCCAGCAGTTTTTTAAGTTAAACCGCGCTGGCAACAGCCATCAACAACCCATAGCAACATCACAACATGACACATTTACCCTCTGGTTATGTCAAAATAGCTATTGAAAATGACCATTTATAGTGGATGTTCCCATTGAAAATGGTGATTTTCCATAGTTATGTTAGTTTACCAGAGGGTAAGTGAAAAATGTTACACAAATAGCTGTGTATAACTTCCAACATTCCAACGTAGACGAACGCCAAGAGGGTGTGACGCAAATCATTGCAGCAACCAGCGGAGCTAGCTCCGGAAATGTTGTAACTACGATGCGGCCGAGAGATCCAAGGTCCGAAATGCTGCAAACACCGAAGAAATTAGATATTTTAGGTCCAAAATGGTACAAAATACCCTGGACATGAACGATTTTAGTTCCAAAATGCAACAGCTACCATGCGCGATGGCAGGTTCGAGTTCCGACACCTTGCAAATACCATGCAAATACCACGCAAAGAGGGGGGTTTGATGGGTTTGGAATCTTTTGTTGATCTCAATATATGTCAACAGTATTTTTTTTTGGGATCCCCTCACCCTACGGTGCCAGGTTGTCAGATCAGACGGGCTCCACGCTGAAACACTTCGGGGCTGGGTGGGGTTCTGAGATCTGGGACCCTTCCGTCACCAGTATTCGTCCATCGCGGATATCTGGGTTATCCTCAGTTGGCGAATTTTTGGTGCTTTTTTACTGGGGAAAGCCATCGGATAAGCCATTGGATGATTTTAGACAAAGCCAGAAATCGTGATGAACAGGTTGAATCACCCTGAGATGAGACAAGCGTGATGGAGATGATGCAAGGGGATGAGGTTGAGTGAATCCTTCAATCATGTTTGAAACCGTTGATGGTGTTGCGGCATGGATTCTGCAGACAAAAAACGAGGCCTTTGCTCCTGAATTTCACAAAAGACAATGATGGTCGGGCACTCAGGGAACATATTCAAATAAAACACCATCAAAATCCATCAAATAATTATAGCTTCAATGGATTGGGTTTCAGTCTCAGTAACTTTTCTCTTGAAGGATGGCAGCCGAGATCAAAAAATTCGAGATCTTGTGGAACCGAGGACTGGAACTGGCTTTCTCCTCCATTTTGCAGGCAGAGTTTCGCTCAGCTTTGCCAGTATCAAATGCACACACTTAAATAACTTAAATATGGAGGTTTCGTTTGCTCATAGCTGGAAGATCAACACAATTTTGATAAAGAACACGGATTTGCAGAACACAAAAAAATGATCACTTGATTGGTGGTGCGGCAAGATTCCTCACCACATAACATAGATGCCTGAAGTATCGTACAGGGGATTGACCTATATAGCCTATATCCATCCGCAGTATACATATCAACCCATAACAGAACCATCCAACAATAACGGGCCTCCAAGACGTAGAATCTAACTGAGTCTCTAACGAGCGGCTAACGTTTGGATTCCACATTTTCAGGCCCGCGAACTGCAAATTTTGCATGCGCGGCACATCACCCTGCGGCAGAATGCCGCCATCGATGCCAATGTGCCGGGGGGACGCAGCGATCGAGCTGGTGAGCTGGGGAGATCAGGCCAAACCAATGGCTTATGGATGCTTATGGATGTTTATGGTTTATGGCACTTTAGTATGCAGTAGCTGGAACCATGGCTATTCTTAGTGAATGACTAAAGGACTCCACAGAGGAATCTCTGTGGAGCCCGAGAAAACCTGGATTTCCAGAGGTTGTGAGCAATCGAAATGAGGATCTCAATCTTGTAGGATGGGCCAGTATGGATCTGAAATGTCAAATCCATGAAGATCTCTGAACAATCTTCCCCCCCCAAAAAAATAAAGGAGCCGGTGCGACTTCAACAATGCCCAGTTCATGCGTGGTGATTGATGCTTATATGGGGGTTATGGATTGCGGAGGAGGTAGTCATAGGTAGTCCATTTTCGTTTTCTGTCCAAAGATGTTGCACCCCAAAAATCCAGTGTATTACCCTCTGGTAAACTAACATAGCTATGGAAAATCACAATTTTTAATGGGTAAATCCACTATAAATGGTCATTTTCAATAGCTATGTTAGTTTACCAGTGTTTTATCATGTTTTATCATCATTTTCTGCATGACAATTCCCACATTTTGGGGTAATTCTGGACAAAGCCACCTGGGAATCCAGGTGGCGAGTCTGGTTGCGGACGAGATCCATGCGCATCAGGGGGCGTCCAGAAGCCCAACCACGGTGGTTGCGGCCAAAAATCATTCGTCAACACCCACTTTGCTAGTCATCCAATGGTTCATAGGGATTTATAATAACCATTATAAGGATCCTTATTATGGATGGGATGACCATCAACCATATAGTGAGTATTGACCATGGCTCACATGGATTTCCTGGGATTTCCCCAATGAATCTTTTTTCTTCGGGAGAATTTGGCCTGCAGTTTTTAAGCGGTTCAGCCGTTGGCGCCACTTCCCAGGCTGGGTCAGGGCGAAGGTTTCTTCAAGATGCAGGCCAAGAAGGTGATCTTGGGCAGCGGACGCTTGCGGGCTGGCTCCATCATTGCTGAGGAGGAGATGGCGATCTGCAAAAATCTGCCAGGGAGATGAAACGAGATTTGAGGCTTATTTGAGTTATTTGAGGACTTAGACTACCCCATGGTACCCCCCAAAATCCCGATAAATCCACTGGTTGAGCATTTTCCCTGCAGGATCTGGTGATCAAGCGTGGGAGCCGCCTTCAGGCGATGATGGGTGTGATAGACCAGTGATAGATGTGGTCATCCGAGAATAGGTCGTATAGGTCGTGCCCTTGCCAGGAACCCCAGCAGTTTTGTTTTTGGTAAACACACAGTGGCATGGTGTTGCGTTGCGTTGCCAGTCCAGCCAACGTCGTTGCGACCAACTTCCAGTACGCTTGTGGGAGTCCTCAGGGAGTGCGCATGAATCATTGCGTGATCCAGCTGTGTCTCCCAAAATCAGAGACCTCCCAAAGTCTCCAAACCTGACTGTTTTGTTTTTACTGCCTCAGGATGAGTCCTTGTGATGGTTTCCTTTCGACGATGGATCCTTCCAACCAAAGCTGGTTTGAGAACGTGAGCTTCGACATCATGCTTGCCAGCAGGCCAAGCCTTGCCCATGGATGACATTGTGGACCAATGAAGTGGTGAGAAGTGACCATGGTCCATGGTCTGAAGTTTGTGAAACCGTTGCATCATATAAACATGGGTCAAGACACCTAGTCACCTAGTGGTACGTCACCCCAAAAAACTGCGCAGGGAAAGGTGAATATGGCATGATGTGGCACTTAGACAAACTTGACACATTTTAAACAAAGCATTCCTGCACATGGGCATAGGGTCAGAGAACCAAGATCTTTTTTCAGGAATGGCAGCATCGTCGTGGAGGATGAAGCCGAAATCTACGTTCCAAGCTCAAAGACCTGAGAGATCCGAGATGTCAAAGATTGAGATCCAGACTGATAGGGAACCTGAAAACTGGAGTCTGACTGGAGAAAAGGCTGCCATTTTTGGAGTACCTATGAGTACCTGAAAACTCGCAGCTCTGCCAAAGGCTGGATCCTTTCTCCTGTGCAGCAAGGAGAATATCACAGTGTCTTGGCCGTGGCTTCAAGAGGGGGCTTGTCTCATTTGGAAAATGGTGGGGTCATGTTGGATCTACATGGGTCCCAATTTTCGAAAACAAGGCGGTCATTTCCTATGGTTTGAACAATTTACTTTCCTATTGTTTGACGGCACTTTAATTTTCGATTTTTCTTAGGACCTTACTAAGGTCACCTTAGACTCCTTAGACTGTCATAGTATGAAAGCAGTCTGGTTTGTCCTACTGTACTGCTTCCAGGAGGGTGATTGGATGGGCCCTCATTCAATCGCCAAGCTGTTTGATGCAGTGATGGGTCTATCAGTGAAGTGACAAAGGGATGCAAATGCCACAAGCAGGGTCCGTCATTGTAGTATATTCTTGGATTTGCGGAAGGTTTTTTTTCTAGTTTCCCTATCTATCGATCAATCTATTATTGGGGGAATGTAGTTTTTTTGTAGGAACTGCAATCCATAATCACAGGTGTGACCGGCAGTATAGTACCGAACCTGGGTGATAGGCAAAACACCAACCTTGAAGGGTCCCAAAATTAAAATTGTTGTCTTTAGGACCATTGCAGGGAAAACTAGATATGTAGCTGATCATATTCAGCAAAATCCCAGGGTGTTCCTTGCAAATTTCCCCTCAAAACACAACAAACCAATGAAAAAAGCTGGGATTTAAACCCCAAAAATCCCAAGAAATCCTCCATCTTCACCCAGCTTTTCCAATCGCCAGGTGCGCGGCTTAGTCAGTGCCAAAGGCCTCGGCTGTGCGCCCAACCGCGGTGAAGGACCTGGAACATCGCCGCAGGCAGGATAAACCATCTCCTAAATCACCATAAATAGCTGGTATAAACGGTATGGTTACCATTCCCAGTCATGGGTGGTTGAACATTGTTTTATCCACATTCAGATATATTGATGATCACAATCCATGAAGGATCGAACACAGCAACAGACAGGTTCAGAGTAGCAACTCTCGAAGAGGAGGCCGGCGGACGAAGGTTTTGACAGGATGATCAACCCATACTTGTGGATATACCATGATATACCCAACCAAGAAGCAACCAGTTCTTTGAGGAAATAATGCTCATGCTGCGGGTACAACCCTTTGCAAGGAATTGGGACTGGCAGCTTTGAGGTTGGTTCACTTTTGGCGCTTGTTGGACAGCTATCAAAAAGACGGGAGGTCTGTGACCCTCCAAAATAGAGGGTTTGCATAGCATTTCTCCAAAACTGTGAGAATTTGAAAGGAACCGATCCAAACTTGAGGGTTTGTTTATTTGAGGTTTTTTCTATATATAGGTATTTACACATAGTCTTCACATAGTTAACTTGTTAAACCCTTACACATAGTTAATTTATGTTAATTTGTTAAACCGCATATTAAACCAACCCCAATATTCCCATGTGATAAAAACAACATCCCCATATCATAGGTTTCTGGCATTGGGCTTCTTAGGCAACGAACTGACCTGCGGCGGTGGAGGGGGTGGACACTGCGGCAACGGTGGCGATGGCGTGCGGAACCGATCCCATGCGCGCTGCATGGGGACTGGAGGTGGGGCAGCTGGGGCAGCTGGGGCAGCTGGGGCTGGGCGAAAAAAATGGCCGGGTCTTGGAGGTTGGGATAGCCATGGAGAGCCATTTTTTTGGGGATACCCCCTGAGCACCCAGTCATTTTTTGGGTGGTTTTGGGTGACAGGCATGGGGCAAAATATGGCAAAATCGAGTTGAACATCGAGTTGTGAAACCCTAAGGGGCGTCCCAACATCAATGTTGGATCAACTAGCTTATTTCATGATATACATGATATAATTTTATATAATCAACATTAATCAACGAGTTATGGGAGTTATTTCCATCCAGGTCTCAAGGCCCATCAAGGCCTTATTTACCTCCAGGTCTCAAGTACGATGGCTGGTGGACCTCCGAAACGGTCACTTGGTGGCTGGTGTGACCAGATGCGTGTGTAATGTGGGATGAGTGTTATATGTCCTTGTATAATGTGTATAATATCATGTACCCTCTGGTAAATAAACATAGACCCTGAAAATCACCAATTTTTAATGGAAACTAGTCTTCCAACCCCTATCTGCCAGGGTCTATGTTAATTTACCAGAGGGTATATGATATGTATTATATAATACACATATCTGTATATAATATATTATAATATTGTTATAAGTTATGTACCATCCTGCTTGTAACACTCTGAAGCATGAACAGATGCCTCATGTTGACTGGAAACTATATTGCTTCAGGACGGATTTCTGGTGGCTTTTACAACAATCATCCCGAATTTCTAGCATCATCTAGAATCTGCAATCAATGCTTGGTAATATATATATATATATATATATATGTTGAGGTCATCAATATACATAATATCAACATATATATATAAATGCTTGTTACTTGTTGGACCCACTACCCTTTGGTAATCAAAGATGGTGACGGAACATCCACCATTTCTAGATGATTTTCCCATTGAATCCTCCATTGCGGGGATTTTCCATTGCCACATTTGATTACCAGAGGGATCCAGAGGGTATATTCCATAATCATCCCATTAAACTCCCATTAAACCGTTAATGTTAATACCATGATTTACAAATGGGATTAGATAATAATACCATAATCATCCCATTAAAATCATCTAAAAATCATCCCATTAACTATAGTTAGTATCTATTTTTAGATGATTTTCCAATCTAATCCCATGGAAAATCACATGAAGTGACGCAATTTTGGCAACCGCGCGGGGCGCGCTGAATCAACGCTGAGTTTGGGAGCGCCAAACCTTCCAAAGTACCCACCTGGTCAGCCAGCGGTTGGAACCTCAGATGTGACCGGAAGCAATGCTGGAGGTATCTCAAAATGGTGAGATTCTCATAGATTACTGTATAGATAGCCTCTGGTTATTTAACGTAGCCATGGTATATATGGCCCATAGAAATAGATGGTTTACCTAGCTATAAAATGGTGGATCTTTCCATATAAATCACCATTTTCCCATGGTTTTCCCATGGTTTTGCTATCAAAAATGGCGGATCTTTCCATGGCGAACTGTTAGTCATAACTTCAAAAGTTTTTTTTTTTCTTTTTTCGATAATCCATGTGAGATGATCATGATGATTCTAATCATCATGAAACTTATAGATCATTAAGATGATCATTTGATCATGAAAATAGATTCCCATATTTTCATGAATAGACGATATCATTTTTTTTGAATCTATTGATGATGATTAGACAGTGGAACTGTCAATAGATCATCTATCGATGAAAAGAGATTCCCACAATGGGATGGTGATAATCTTGGACTCCAGCATTCAGAAACACACTTAGAAGGGGTTGAGCAACATTATGCGTTGCAGAATAGATGCTTTGATCCCTAAGTCACAGATCAGAATAGGGATTGGGTTGGATATCACATTAGTATCACTAATATCACATTCCATCCATACTCTAGTATCACTACATCCTAATACTCTAGTATCACTAATATCACATATCACATTCCATGAGTGGTTTATCTATACGTAGCATTTGGGTTTTGCGCTGGAGGTGGAGGAGGAGATTCTGCGGGTGCCGGCGGTGGCATCATCTGGATTGAAACGGCGGTTGGGTCCTTGGGCGGTGCCCCTGTCCCGTGGAGATAGATTTAGCCTCTGGTTATGCCAAAATAGCTATTGAAAATGGCCATTTATAGTGGATTTTCCCATTAAAAATGGTGCTGGTAAACTAACATAGCTATTGAAAATGGCCATTTATAGTGGATTTTCCCATTAAAAATGGTGCTGGTAAACTAACATAGCTATTGAAAATTGCCATAGAAATAGTGGATTTTCCCATTAATAGCATGGTGATTTTCCAGTTCGCTATGTAACAAATTACCAGAGGGTAACTGATGGCTAAAATGAGATACTGTATAGCACAGCCAGCTCCCAAAAAGACAAGTAACATCCAAATGAGATGGTCGGTCCAGGACCCGCTATCCCCAATGCTGTGGTCAACCACAAACTCTCTGCCTGTCTACACATATGGCAAAAATATATGCTGGTGTATACATAGTGTGGTCCCACATCTTGGAATTGTCAAGGAATCAATACTCAATACGAACAAACCTGGTGCTGTTTTTTTAGGTTTTTTTTTTTTTTCCGATGCACAAAATTGCCTCAACATGTTTGCATCAACTGCTCATCATGCCATCCACCGCTGAAAAATGTTCCCTTCGCAAAAATCAATTGCAAGTCCGCTTTGAGTATGTCATTGATCGACATTGTTGCCCCCTTTTTCACCGGGGACACCGGGGACAGGTAACCGGTATGTCAACATGAGTGAACACTCTCCGTACCATAGAATTGCTGCCCATAGGCCCATAGTTCTGAGGGGTTGGAACTCCCTCTCTCTCTCTCTCTATATACAAAAAAAACATGAATGCGTGCTCGCATATTTTTGTCTTGATACATGTCTGTCATGTCTGTCATAAATAGATAAACATATTCCATATTCGATTATACATACCATCTGGTTATTTAACATAGCTATTGAAAATCACCATTTTATAGCTAGGTAAACCATCTATAAATGAGCTATTTTCCATATGTTTTAGTCATAAAAAATGAATCCAAAGTAAAGGGCACCATGGTCCACGCCTACCGCTGCCATCCTACAGGCGTTGCACATGCCATCCAACAGCACGGGCATTTCAGCCAGCGGCGAGGCGACATGGCATCGGCTTGTGAGTTGAGAAGCGAGCCATTAACAATACTACATGAGTTGATTGGTGATGAAATTGGAGGTCATATAGATACACAAATAGATCAATAAAATTCAATAAATAGATACATAAAAATATGTATATATATATATTAGATATACATAATATATATATATATAATATGATATAATATAATAAAATATGATATAATATAATATACTATGATATGATATTATATAATATAATATAACATGATATGATATGATATGATATAATCTAAATTTACTATACCTGGCTTAGGGGGATTCTGACCCATAACTGACGGGAAACTTATCAGCCAAGCAGTATTTTAGATGGGATGGGAAAACGTTTTTCGCAGGATGCGACGGCCAGAGTCGATGGTGGTGATGGTTCTGGTGGCGGTGCTGGTGGAACCGTTATCATCAATGTGACCAAAGTGAACGGCAGTTCTGACATTGAGGCGGGGAGTAACACGAGTAACACGAGCTAATGTAGTAAAACAATGCCATAAAGCATCCCCAACAACTTGCAATCGGGATTGAACGCATCCCCGAATATCAGGCTTATTGGGTCTAGCTTATTACTTGGATTGTTCACTTTCTTTCTGATGTGACGCAAATCGTACGTGCTGGATGGCCGGTTGCCACAGCCTTCCTGTTCAGGCTGTAGGAGGAAGGGGCGGCGGTTGCATAGGCGATCCGTGCTGGGTTTCTGTGAAGAGAATGATGACATCGGGCCTATCCCGTTGATTGACGTTGATCCTGTTTAGTTCCTTACACTTACCCTCTGGTAAATAAACATAGACCCTGAAAATCACAAATTTTTAATGAAAACTAGTCTTCCAACCCCTATCTGCCAGGGTCTATGTTAATTTACCAGAGGGTATAGCCTTGAATATATCCATGTTCTCTGAGTGCCGACGTCGCACAATGTGCTCATGCATAATACATCATTGGAGTTTATGGCATCGGGTTTCCCCTGGCGTTCTTTTGCATGGCAATGGACCATTTATGGAACAAATCCAATTTAACCGGTTGGCATTTCCGTTGCTGTATTTGACTACAATAGGGTGTGTAGATCCCCATTTTTCCTGGTAGCCACATGTTTGTTGGTGAAATTCTGAAATCAGCATTTTTCTACCGGAGTTTCCCCCGATACTTACCGTGAAAACAGCAGATCCGATGGGAAAACCCATGGGTTTCTGGGCCCAAAACTCCCAAGTCCTTGCTCGCTCGAGGCGGAGGAGGCGGTGGTGGGGCCATTGGAAGTGCTGGCCCCAACGCTTCAGAGGCGGAGCTGAGAAATGATGGGACTGTTGCGGGAATGAATCATCGGCAATAGGGATTTGAATGGGATTTTTGAAGAGATTTCATGGGATTTCATGGGATATTATATATATATACATAAATATATGTATAACTTATGACTAACTCAAGCATAATCGTGTGGGTGAGTCTTTAAGCATTTGTTTTGAACATGGGGATGAACCATAAAGTCTTTTGGATTAACCAGCCAATCTATAGGATATCATTTTGAGGATTCAATGGGATTTATAGCGAACAAATCAGGGGATGTTACCAACAAAAAAAATACGGGTAACCAATCATTCTCCGGGGTCAGACTTGGGATATCGCCGGGAGGTAGAATCGCAGCGATATGATATGTGGGTGTGTCTCAAAATGGGGTAGTAGGGCCTCCCAGTTGTGGCAATTTTAGCAGGGAAAGTGATGACTAACCAGTGAATTTAGAGGCACCCTGTTTTCAGACAAACCCAAATGACATTGGTGATATTGCACCCAAAGAATGATATTTTTTGGAAGCCCACCCACCCAATCTTGTAACTGTTCCTGTTTGAACATGGCAAATTAAAGGTTCCATATTGGCTTTCCGTGGATTTTCTGGTCATTGTGGGACATTTACATCTTCCACAACTTAAGGCGAGTTGGAAGCAACATGTTCTCCATTTTTTTCACGAGAGGCTATATGGGTATGTCTGAAAATAGGGAACCTATCCACCAGTATGGTCGTTTACCACCAACTTTTTTCCTCAGGAAAGATTCTGTAAAATCCAAGTTTTTGATGGTTAAATACCTGATCACTTGGATTGGTTGAGTGGTTAAATCATGTTGTTTTTTGGTGGTACTTGTCCATTTTTTGCGTCAACATCCAGCCATTTTTCTGCCGAATGTTGAAGAAATCCCTATGGAGGTTTGGGCCGACTACACCGGAAGCCTGGTGGTGCGAGGAGGAGGAGGTGATAGTTCAGTGGCCTGCAGAGGCTTCACGGGGGAACGAGGATGCAGCGGCGAAGCTTGGCAAAGGGGAACAACTATGGTGAGAAACATGGTGATGATGATGGCTAGGTTCTGAAAAAATCTCCAGACGAATCCAGGTGATTATGAATAGCCGGAATATTCACTGGAATATTGTATATATTGTATATAATATTCAACGAAACATGGGAACATTAAAAATTGTAATGGTCATTTAGGGGGCTACATTCATTCTCTAAGGCACATTTATAACGGTGTTGTTCGTTTTTCCGTGAATAACTGAATAACTTTATTTTTTGGGGGGGAATTTGGATGTCAAATATATAGCCATTCACAAATTGGAAGAATGATAGGATACAATGGGATGGAAATGGTCTTTGATCATCCAAGATGAAGGAGTGCCCTGTGGAAGTTTGGCCTCAAACTACCCACTCTGATCTTCGGGATTCGCTGTGGATTTGCTGTGGGCTGTGGCAGATCCTGTCTTGAAAACCCCTTCAGGGAGCCACCCGTCACTTAGGAATTGCTGCAGCTGGGTGTCGGCAGCTCAAGATTTTGATGGAGTTGGTTGCAATTATGGCATATTATGTTATTATGGATGCACATGGCATAAACAGGTAACACCCGCTCCCCCAATTGAAATGATCATTTTCACATATTTTCATTATTGGGTCATCCGTTTTTTGGGAGCCGGTCCCAATTACTTCAGGTTTGCGACCCAGGGCATGCAGGGATCTTTTGCGCGGAATGTCCTGCGGGCACCTACAATCCGCCGGGCTGCCCATGTCCCACAAGAAGTAGAGAAAGGATGAGAAAGGTCTGTCAAGGGGAACGGAGTGCAGCCAATACTCTTGATTCAGTGATGGATGTTTCGTGTTTCTGTACCCTCTTGTAATATAACAGTTTGCTATGATAATAATAACTTTATTCAAATTTTAAGAACGGTAAATTACGAAAGACAGCCGACAGGCTAGGTGAAGTTGCTGTTTGCGAACGAAGTGAGTATCAAGGGCCGAAATCAGTCTGTATATGTCTGTATCGAGGGCGTTTCGAGCTTCTTGTCGGGGCCATGCACCGGTGGGGTATCGATTCCCCTGGTCCATGAGCGGGGTTGGACCTGGAGGGAATGGAAAAGATTCCGGACCGCGTCAGATAGAAGGCGCACCCTCGTAGCAACAATCTTTTGCATCCAGCTTCTCCAGGACTGTACCAGCTTGTGCGTTTGAAAGCGTCCTTTGCTGGGAATTGCCAGATGCCATTAGAGTTTGCTTCTGCCCGGTTCGCTGCTGACAGCAGGCATTTGCCCAGGCTTGTGGTGCCATCGCGACAAACATTGCAGGGCTGTTGTTTCCGCCAAAAAACAGGTCATCAAGCTAAGCCATTCGTCATTTTCCACAGCAAACTGCTAGAAATTGTTCAACCCTATTCCTCCAATATGGATATAAAAGTCCATGGTTCCAAACCACCATAAAGCCATATTAGTGATGATTAAAAGTGGTTAATGATCCCCATGGATTTTCCTTTCTATCCCTTCCCTTCTCGGCATTTTTAAAAAAAGGCCTGAAGCTCCATTGAACATCACCGCCTCGTGGTGGCCTTGGTGCTGGGTCTTGCCCGTTTTTCAATCGCATGGTAGACATATATGTCATATCTGATTCCAGTTGGATTCCAGTTGGATTCACTGATTTTCCACGACATATTCTGATTTTATCTGATTTTCGGATTTTATCATATGGTATCAAGTGCAATTTTCTATCAACAGTTCCGAGTTTCTCTCTGTCAGAGCACGTGGCACCCCTGATTTGACATTGCTGAAACATGCTGAAACCAAGGTTTCGAGTCTGCTTGCCGTGCAAGAACAAACCAGCTCAGGGCTACTACACAGCCACTGGCTGGCTCAACGAATCCTGCCCCTACGCCTGTCCTTCCGGTTTTCCCCCTATGGAAGTGAACCCCGACTGTCACTGGGACTTGGATGGTGAGGTGGTTGAGATGGTCTCACGATCTGGGTGGTTGAGATGGTTGGATGATTGGAATTCGTTTAGGTCAACTTTGAGACCTCCCAAGCCAGAAGTGTCTGTCCTTTCATGTCATGTCAACTATTGTTGTCAACTACTGAACCAGTTTTTTGGGTCCAATTCACGGGCGCCAACTGAGACGACTGACGTGAGTAAAAACAACTGTGCTTCCGGGGTCCAGAGGGACTGTCCGTAAAACAGGGGGATTTCCATCCAAAAACAGGGCCATTTCAATTAGCTGATTACTTAGGGGACCCGGATTTTTTTCTCCATTCTCGGGCAATGAAAACTGCTGCAGATTTTATGTGAACGAATGGATATGGCTTGAGCATCGATCTCGGTTACAAAGGTGATGACCCCTGGAGCTACTACTTTGCTTTCTTTGGAGGGGTCGGAGCCCCAGGAATGACCAAGAAACACCAAGAAAAGGAGGATCATCAATTCTTGTACCAACATGCTGTTGATATCCTTCGGCCAATCATCCAGCAACGTTTAAAAATTTTGGATCATTTTTTGGATGCTGTGACTCAAAGAAGTTCTGGCCCTTCAACTGGGCTGGGTACCCTTTGGTAAACTAACATAGCTATGGAAAATCACCATTTATAGTGAGTTTTCCCATTAATAACATGGTGATTTTCCACAGCTATGTTAGTTTACCAGAGGGTATGTCTCCCATGTTTGCTTGTCAACCAACCGTGTTTTGTTTGGTTGGCCAGGTCTGGGGCGTTGCCTTGTTAGCCCTCCTCTCCGCCATCTTCTTCGGGCTGTTGATCGGCGCCAAGCGTGTGCAGACGCGGCGACGCCTGCAGTGGCTGCAGAAGCAGCGCAACACCGGACACCGCTATGTGGGCCTGGAAACTCAGGAGCTGACTGGAGGGATGTTTTTATCAATGTGGGATATCTTTGTATTCATCATAGAGTCATACATGTTTAGAATAACACAATAAAATGGAGAACATATCATATAATGATATATAACAAAAATAGAAAACATGATAACAATGATGATGATAATGATAGTAACACTTTTTAAAAATAATATATAGTAATATATAATGATATATCATAATATAATATAACATGATAAGACTAGTAGTAATAATACTTATTAACAATGAAGATAATAGATAAACAAAAATAGTAATAATAAATAACACTAACACCAATCATAGTATATAATATATATATATATTATGCATAGATACCACCAGCAGTTTTTTGTGTCCCAATTTGTATCACTATCTTTGGGGCCAGGTCCCTTCGTCGGTCCAAGGCATGAACGACGAAGAGATGCTGCTCTTTGAGTCGCTACGGGGCAGGTGGATGGGTTGCTGCTGGGTATAGCTCGACTATTTCCACGGGGCTGCTGCAGTTAACCATCATTAACCATCATTAACAAATGGTCCATTAACCATCATTAACCATCATCATTAACCATCATTAATCATCATTAATCATCATTAACCATCATTAACCATCATTAATGACCTGCAGTTAACCATCATTAACCATTTCAGGTGCTGCTGCAGTTATCATTAACCATTATCATAACCAGTACTGGTGAACATGATTCCAAATGTTTTTTTTTTTGAAAGCTCACCTGCTGCTGTTTTAATTCATGTCAACATGGGGGAGTCTTGGAGTGGCAAACGTCAAATGGCATTTTTTTTTTTGTTTCCATGCTTGAGACTCGAGTGGCAAGGCATCCCTTGGCTGATATTGATGTGGGTGTCGCAGAGGGCACCGTGGGGGATGCCGGAACCTTGGCGGATTGGAAGCAGAACTGGAAGAAGCCTCCCCAAAAACATCCAAAAACCCAAAAATAGTGGACATGAACTGGTTTTTGCAGGTCTTTTGGAAGATTTCTTACAGGTTACCCTCTGGTAAACGTTCACAATCGTTCACATAACTATGGAAAATCACCGTGCTATTAATGGGAAAACTCACTATAAATGGCCATTTTCAATAGCTATTTTGGAATAACCAGAGGTACTTTTTTTCACACAAACGTCCCGCCTCAGTTTGTGAGTGCTGTGCACAGCCTGCGCAGCCGCACCGTGGGTGAGTCGCGGCCGTCCTGATCCCCAGCTGTGCGGAGCAAACAAGGAATCTCGAAACATGGCATTTGATTTCCGGACTTCCGGATGGACTATACATATATATATATACATACATATGTATGTATGTATATATATATAACATTATATAACATGATTCTGGGAAAGACATAGAAAGCATGTCAAGTGGTCCATTTGTTGTGGATGCTGGAGGCCACCAGGTTTCTGGATTGCCAGGCGCTGGCTGATGGGCTACGTCAGCAGCTGTTGGAGTCGATGGAGATCACGGCGGAAAAGTGGGAAGAAGGAGGTCGGCCTGGCATCTGGGGGAAACATGAGAAAAACCATGGGTTTTTCCAGATTTTTTCCACCTAATTGTGAGGATATATGGGGATATTTGGGGAGATGATCCATGGTATTTTTTTGGATGGTGGGGCCGTGGGAGGCCTGTATTTGATTTTATTCGTGGGTTGAGTTGTTTTTTTTGGTAACCTTGGTTTTAGTTGGATGGGATACCGTTGCGGTAGACCATGGTGCTTGGAAGATGGAATGAGTTGCTTTGAAGCATCGGCTTTTCACACTCTGAATCTCTTGATCTTGTGCAGAAATGGTGGCTTGGGCGAGGGAGATATGAATTGACAGTTTGAATGAGATTCTATGGTTGATGTAGCTATGGACTGATGTCTTGACTGACTGACCGATTCTCCAGCACTTCTGTCGGACACCATTGGAACAGTGGAAGGCACACCTCCTGCACATTGGCGACTTGTGCGGCACCAAGCAGATTTTTCTGTTGAAATCTCGTCCGCCCGCTCGGAAGATCCTTCCACTCATCGAGTAGATTCATGGTATGTGAAATGGGTATGGATCAATACCTATGAAAATACCATTTTTAATGGGATGAACATCCATAAATCCCAGCTATTTTGATGTGAACTACAGGGGTACTATTGGTTTTGACACACTGCCAAATGATGTGAAGAGTGAGTATGAAGTCCCCCTGCTGTTCTGCCAGATATACCCAGATATGCCCAGATATACCCAGATATACCCAGATATACCCAGATATACTGTTCCGGTGTCGGAACCAGAACAGTCATGACTTTCGGAGATCGACACGGCCCGACATGGAAACCCAGGCCGTACCACACGGCACGGATCTACATCTTCGGTGAGAATGTTCCAAGAGATCCCTGGCGCCTGTCGCTTCAAGTGCCCGAAGAGCTGCGGCAGTACATTGATGAGCGACGTAGGATGCCCCAGGAGGCCCTGGTGATTTTGGGTGATTTTGTGGTGACCAAATTAGAGGTTTTCTGAAGAGGTATCCAGGCTGGATGGTTTATTTCATGGAAAATCCTGTTGAAACGATTAAACATGGATGAAAAATAGGGGTACACCATGGCACACCTAGTTTAGGAAACCACCAAATTGCTTTTTGGGGTAATTGTGATAAGCAAATTTACGGTGAGACCAGACTTTGATCTCCATCAAGGCTGGACCAACTTCGCCGAAGAAGTGAACAGTCGCTGTGGCAAGAGGTGTCTGGGACAGCTGGAAAATCCCCGCACTAAATGGAGGTTTTAATAGGAAAATCATCTATAAATGAGGGGATATTATGATATTTGATTGCCATCCCAGCTCACATTTGGGACTGGAACCCAACTATGTCTCTGTTTTTGTGTGAATTTGGTAATTCCTACTACTTCCGAGCAAAAGGTCCAGCCCCGCAGAAACATGTGCAGGATGCGATTTCAGCTGGTTGCAGAAGGAGTTTTGAGATGGCTCTACCTGCCTGTGGCTGAGTGCGCTGGCCTCATCCCACTATGGTCCTACCAACTCCTTGTTTGAAACCACCTCAGCCTTTGATGGGCAGAAGTCTCATCCGTTTTTTTCCAGGTGAGCTTTACCAAAAAGAACCCGGATGGTTTAGTAATGTTTAGCAAGTCCAAATTTGCAGAAATAAAGACGATGCATCATTATTCCATCTCCTCAGCTAATACAGTATATATTATAATATATATATATATAATATAATATAATATATATATATATAATATTATATATATATAATTATATATATAATTATATATATAATATACATATATATAATTATATATATAATATACATATATATAATTATATATATAATATACATATATATATATAATATACATATATATATACATTATAAAACACATATATATATATATATGTATATATACAGACCCTGAGAATCCGCATTTTTTAAATTTTAGAGGAAAGTCGTCACAGGGTCTGTGTTAGTTCGAGGCAGGGTATGTCCCGCTATACATTCACTAATATAATATTCTCATTGTCATTATGCTTTCATGTTTGTTGGTAATGGGGATACAATGGAAATATCAACCATTATATATAATTATAATTAATTATATATATATATATATCCGTCATATATACATTTTTTTAAAGAATCATATTCCCATTTTGTGTCCCCACAATACGGTTGGTATCATTTAATCCCAATTATACCTTGATATCCAGCGGATGGCCCTCCAGGTACATCCGCTGGCGGCTGCGCTTCTCGCGCGCAGCCGAGGTCGCGGCCTTCGTCTGGTCGCGAAGTTCGGCACCCATGCGGGGTCGAAAAAATGGGTTACCCTAGGGTTTTTACGAACAGTTCGGATGTGGAACATCAACTATGGATCTAGACTGTTTTCCAGGGGAAACCATGGGTTTTCCACATCTATGTTAGGTTACCCGAGGGTTAACGGTTAAAGACGGATTTTCCAGAAATTTGTGGGGATGAATCAATGAACATCCAGAACTAGCAGCGTTTTTTTGATCCAACATATGGTTTGGTAGGCCAATTCTACTGTAGATAGAAGCAACTTATATGTATAATATATATATATAGACATGTGTTTATGTATCTAATATTGTATATAATAATATATAAATATAAATTAAATAATGTATATATATATATATATGACCTACATAACCTATATCTGTCTTAGCATTTTCCATTGCCCCTCCGGCTCCTGTTGAGGTGAAGACTCCCGACCGGAACAGACCATCTGGCGCCTGGGTTCTGCAGCCCAGAGATCTGGCGAATGGCAAAGATTTTGATCTAAGGACAACCAAAGGTTGGCTAAAGTCTAAAGATTTAGGACAAAAACAACAAGATTCTAAGATGACTTAGATCTTTAGTTAGTTTTCGAAGATAGTTCTTTTTCAAGAAACTGCTCGTGTTCTCGGGCCAGGATTGCTTAAAGATTTGGGACCGAAACACAACATTTCGTCAGAAAGGAAGCCCATGGTTTGGTGGGGAGTAAGGCAAATCACGGGCACGTTTCAGGTTGATGAACCCACAGGTGAATTGCCCATGGTTATTTCATGAAAATTGGGTTGAAATTGGTTTAGTTGCTAACAACAAAAATAACAACAGGTCATCCCCCATTTTCATTTATTTTCCTTGGGAAAGTTGTGTGCTTTGAGCCATAAGGCCTGGACAATTACAGCCGCTTCGGCCTGAAGTTTGGCAGGGGCACCCAGAGCCATGTCCTCATTGGGATCCCATGGGGATCTTGCTGAGTTTTAAAAAGCACTGAACGTCATTCAACCACAACCATCCTTGTGGCCAAATTTTGATCGTCATTTCAGTCCTGATGTCAACGTGACACCTCAAGGCACTGATCGTGAGATGACCTTGGCATATGTCGACATCCTCGACTATTGCAAGGCTCCAGAGGCGAGTTTGGGACCTGGAAACTGACCACCGCTTCCCAGTTCTGCGCCATCTGCGCCGTTGCAGAACTGGGTCATCAAACCTCAACTTCCGATGCTCATCGCCATGGCGGGAGATGGGGAGTACACTGCTCCGTGCCCCGGGGTTCGGGGTTCCGCTGCAGAACTTGGGGCTGAAGAATGGGCTCCGAGGTTAGCTATAGAACTTGGTTGGTCAGATATTTCGAGATCCATTTTCGATCATGTTTCAGTTGGGTTGAAACCCCAAAGTCGACTATTTCGCGGATAAATCCGAGTGGCTTGACCGCTGATAAAAAAAGGTACCACCTCGACTATGCAGACCCCTTTGTGCAGTCCGTGGCGCAATATTTGGGCCGGCGGACCTGGCATCAGGTGAGGAAAGGGGGTATCTTGAGGGGATGGGATGAATGAGATTTTGAGGATACCAACTGACAGCATCCAACTGACAGCCCATTGAGGTTGAGATTGAACAACATAGATGACACATGTGCAGACTACTTTGAACTGTTTGATCGTCCTCTTCCAACGAATTCATCAATACACACCCTGGGTTTCCCATTTTGTTGTGGATAATATGCATATATATATATAATATGCATATATATATATAATATGTATATATATATATACACACTATATAGTTGATTTTTTGTTGATTTTAGTTAATGAATGGTCGATGAACCCTCTATCCCAGGCCATGGATATTGTAGTGGCCTTGTAGTTGACTCCATGGCAACCGGATGGGAGGTGCTGCTTCCCTTCAACTTGCTGGCCCGGCTGCTTCCTCCCAACCCAACGGAGGAGGCAGGATCCACCAAAACTCCACACTCTATCAACACTCAAAAAACCAACAACTCCACCAAAATCATCTCTACATCGAGTTTCGATTCGATTTTTGGGACCCATCTATTACCCTGCTGTGCAAATGTGAAGGACATGAAGCCTCTGCGGCGCTCCATGCAACGTGTCGGACGCTGAGAGTCAAGGTCCAGGTTCAGCAAGATGCACACATTTGTGTATGGGGCGGACAGTAAACACCGTAAACACCGCACCCCCAAAATTGGGAAGCCGAACATTCCCAAACAATCAAGGTGCCATCTATTCTATGAAACAAAATCATCGGCAGGTTCGCAAATGCTTAGGCTTTTGACCCATGGCCCATGCTTTCAAATTCCACCAGGTGTCCAACAGGATCTTGCGACAGACTGATATCGAGCCAGGGGACTCAGCTGCAACATGGACAGAAACCTCGGATGAAAAAAAAGCGGCTCATGGAAAATTTCTGATGGTATGATACGGTGGTTGATGTGGTTGTGAAATTTAGCAGTTTAAGTTTTTCATGCAACTTGCGTCACAGTAAGATCCAAAAAAAACCTGTAGAATCTCCGGGTCTGAAAAATGGTTTCCCCCAAAGTTGGTGGTATCACGTTGCTGGTTTTATACATAATACATGTATAGACTCTGTATATATATAATATATATATATATGTTATATATATATATTATATATATAGATCATGATAGATCCCCAAGAATGGTTGGTTTTCCAGGTTTCCCCAGGTCTCCCCATTGGTTTCCCCATTGGCTGGTTTCCAACACTTAGCGTGGCAGGTGTCACGCTGTCCTCTTCGAAGTTCAGGTTCCAAAGACGAACTTCCCGCGCAGAAGGCGGAGCGGTAACCAGTGGGAAGGGCTTGAAAAAACCATAAGCATTGGCTTATAAACTACTGTGGATATATATATATATATATTATATCTTATGTATTATATCAGCCATAAGTGGACTAAGTGGTTTATATTTAATGAATCAATGTATCATCCATAAGCCATGTATCCCACGGGTGATTTTAGAAGCTGATTCGTAGCCACGATGCCTAGGATGCAGCTGTCGGTCAGCACCAGTTCTTTGGGGGTATTCTCTGGTGTCATCAAACATGGCTTGCCATTAAAACCTTCATTTATTTCGATGTTTTTTCCATTGAAACCTTCATTTAGTGCGAGGATGTGCCAGGTTTAATGACGGGAAATGATACCTCCAGTCGTCCCGTAGCCCGTCCTGCCACGACCGGGGCAGGACTGCTGAAGTCACACCACGACAAGGTCAGCTGGTAGTCTGGTAGTTTGCCTAACTAAGGCTTTTTGGTCTGTTGATGTCTGTTGATGTTTGTTGGACATTTCTTGAAACTGGGCAATGCATCACTAGATTTGGGTTTACCCTCTGGTAAACTAACATAGCTATGGAAAATCACCATTTTTAATGGGTAAATCCACTATTTCTATGGCAATTTTCCATAGCTTTTTGTATGTTTACCAGAGGGTATCTGAAAATAGGCTACCCCCAAAATCCCGTGGCTTCATCGGCAATTTCGTCCTGGGGATACCATGGGGTACCATGGGGTAGCCCAGGTCGGCAGGCTTCCTGGGACATCCAGATCAGCCATGTGGAACAACCAGAGGTCATTGCAGGTGGGATCAAAGTTACAGGATGAAGATAGATGTTATAAATTTGGGAAACCTATGGGACAAATATATGGGAAAGTTACAGGAATTTCAGATATGGAGATGGCTTGACAAATGTTGAGTTGGCCTGTGATTTTTCCATGATTTGTTGGGGGATCAACACCGACTATGGCTATGAAGACCTCAGGTTCACCAACTCTTTGATCACATAAATAGCAGCCAGGAATGGAGACCCAAGTGGACTATACTTCTCATGGTAAAATATACATAACATATACCATTGTTATCCCAGGTATGCCATGATTTTTCCTCAGAATGTTGGTTTTCCCTAGGGTAATTCAACATAGCTATCCAACACCACCATGAAAACCAAGAAAATCTTAGATGGTCTATAAATTGGACATGGCTTCTGTAGCAAACTGGAGCAAATTACCAAAAGCTATTTATTAATCTATCTATATACCTGGACCTCCATTTATTTCGATGATTGTCCCATTCAAATCTCCATTTAGTGCGGGGATTTCCAATGATTTCCAATTATTAGCCCATATAATTTTCCATTTAAGTTCTTTCCCATGTATTGTCCCAGATTTTGTCCCCTTTATCGGGAGATTTCCGATCCTTTTCCCATTATATATATATATATGTATGTATGTAATCTATGAACATATTTGTATCATAGTTATAAGGGATTCTCCATCTATTTTCCCACATCAATTGCAAATTTCCATGGATTTTCCTATATATTATATGATATCCCCTAGATTTTCCCATCTTTCTATCGCGTCAAAGATTGCGTCGCAGGCCGCTCCGGCTGGAACAGCTCCGAACGGACGCCTACGGGGAGTCTGACGCCGGTGATGCCGGGGAAACCCGGGGAAACCCGGGAACTTTTGGTTCAGGGTTGGTGGGTTGGTGAGTGGTGAATGGTTGAGCCATAGGAAAATGGTGGTTTTAATGGGAAAACCATAGGAAAACCATAGGAAAACCATAGGAAAACCATAGGAAAATGGAGGTTTACCCTCTGGTAAACTGTCACAAATAACTAATGGGAAAGATCCACCATGCTATGAATGGGAAAATCAACTTTTTAATGGTCCAGCTATTCAATAGCTATGTAACAAATTACCAGAGGGTATCAACCACCATTGATAAGAAAAACACCAAATACCATTGATACGTATTGGGTAATCTATGGCTGAAAATAATCTTAAAAAATCTTAAAACATCTATGACCATTGATTTGTATCTGTTGGTTAAATGGTTGACTTTATATTCTATGACCATTGAATTGATTTGTGTAGATCTGTGGTTTGAATTGGCTTAAACAATCTATGACCATTGATTTGTGTAGATCTGTGGGTTGAATTGGCTAAAAGAAATCTATGACCATTGATTTGTGTAGATCTGTGAATGGTTGAATGGTTGAATGGTGAATGATGGTTAATAGAAATATCTATGGAACATCTATGGAAAATCTATAGTTAATAATGGGAATGTCGATGGTTAATGATGGCTACAATACCAATGGGGTTGATGATGGTTTTTTTGGATGATGGGCGGAGGTCCGTGGAGCACGTGCTGCGACGCCGCTTGGCGTTGGTGCTAACCCAGAGGGGTGCCAACTGGAACTCCTCCAGCACGGGAGACACAGGGGAGATGGAGATGGGAACCTGTTCCAATGTCCATATCTTTGGGAATTATTGAAAAAAAAGGAAAAAAAGGAATTCTGAAATGGAAACAAAACAGGAGAAACAAAGTAGGCAAACAAACATTCCCCGGAATATTAAACACCGCAAACTTAGGTATTAGATGGTATTGGATATGTCTTCGGAACCTTTTGGGGGAATTTGGGGTTTTCGCCTTGGGGTTTCTTCTGTGCTCCCACAGACAGAAACGCCCACATGGAGAGATTGGAACGGGGATTGCCATCAAAGATGCAGATTTTGATGAAGTTCCCAGCCCCATGCGCCAAGTCAGATTGTATTTTTCTTGGTTGGCTTGACAAATTGCGCCAGAGATTTGACAAGACACGTATCTTTGCATGGGATTGCATTTTTTGGTGTTTGTGGTTTGTGGGTTGCGGCATGATACATCCAGTCGTAATGGAGACCATTTCACTGGTAGAAGTGGTGACTCCTTGGATCACTGAGGGACAGCACTTCATGAGCGGCTGAGTCGTGCTTGGTACTGAGATGGGGTGACATCATGTACATCTCACAACGTGGCGGATGTGCAACATGGAGCTGCATGTACCCTCTGGTAATGACTAACATAGCTATGGAAAATCACCATGCTATTAATGGGAAAATCCACTATTTCTATGGCCATTTTCAATAGCTATTTTGTCATAACCAGAGGGTACATCATCAAATCATCCACGATGACAGCGCAGGTCATTCCCTCTCCACTGGGAGGTTTGGTCAAAAAGCTCAGCACCAGTGGCGATGAGGGAAACTTTTCGATGAGGGAAATCCAATCGAAACAGCTCGAAACCACTTTGAAAAAGAGACTTTCGATGGCTTTTAAAAGCCATCTAGCTGGTTGCAGTATGTTCTCACCCCATTTGTTTTATGATTTATACGAATGCTAGTAAAATTTTTGTAAAGCAGTAAATTACTATAGTAAACCATCATAAACCATCCCAATCTTACCCTCTTTATGGGTGGTATAAACCATCAACATGTGGATGCGACATGGCCGAGGTCTACCCCACCGACTTCCTGCACCTGGCGCAGTACTCACCGGCCATCTGCCCGTCCCCCCTGCCGGACTTCCACGCGTTCCCGGAGCTGCCCGGAGTCCAGGGATGGGGAAGGGTCCCTCGGAGCCAAGCTGGGGTAGCTGACTCAGAGCTTTCTGCCAGGATTTATGTGTAAGTTAAACAGCCACTGCTGTTTAAAAAAGGCTATAAATAAATGTTTATAGATTTTTACTTGTAAGAAAAGCATTTTTATGGTGCTTTTCTGCTCCGATGCTGATCCTGGTTTTTTTCCAAAGCACATTGCTGAACTATCCTAAGCAACGTTGTTATCTTTGGTCCATGGCTTTTCCCCTAGGCCCTAGGGGCCCTGATGACCATCAATCCATCAGGATTTCCCAGTTGGGGATGACTTGGATGACACCATGGCCAGGCCTGAACTGGATCGTCCAGATGCCTACCAGGACTTCGATAGCCTTCTGAGGCGCCACTGGGGATCTATGGGATCTATGGGATATGGAGGCTATGGGATCATACTGGGGATGCTGGGCTGGGATACTGGGGATTTCTATGTTTGATTGTTAAATATGACATGAATGCCTGAAAAAATGGGGACCGACTGTCGAGGAATTTTCATGGAGCCCTCCGGACTAAAAGTGAGAGATGGGTGGATCTGGATGTAGTCCACTTGCAAATCTGGAAGATCGGTCCCAACTCCAAGGCAAAGAAGTGCCGGACGCTTTGGAAGTCAAAACCTCAGCAGCGACACTTTTTCATCCACACCCCTTAGACATCTGTTAAATCCACAAATTGACCATCATTTTCCTCATTAAAAATAGCAATTTTGTGGAGGTAGAGCAACATTTTTCCATAGGTTTTTCCCATGAAAATAGCCACAGAAATCCGAAATCCATGGCCCCCGATGGCCCAGATAGCACGCTGAGCGCTGCCTTTCGCGATTGCGGATGGGCCGAGAGCTATAGCGAGCCGCTGTCGTCGCAGCCTCGGAGCTTGAGCTGAGACTTTTTGTCGAACTACTTCGCGGCAGAAGTGTGGAGCTAACAACAGGTGGAACTACGTAATGATGACAATGACAGTGATGATAATGATAGTGAGAATAGTGATAATAGCAGTAGTGATAATAGTGATAATTAGTAATAATCATAGTACTATGAGCATTTGCTCATAGTAATGATCATTTTTTGACAGTATTGATCACAATGATAATAATGATGATAATGATCTGATACTAGTAATATCATCCATGTTTTTGGTTGGTTTTGGAATGACTGCTCGAAAAACTGCCGTTTCTTGCTGCCAAGGCCGCAAGTCTCCACCTACACCTTGCCACTAGGCCGACACCTTGCCGTTGTGGTGGAAAATTGGTGGAAGTCATTGGTCTTCCGCCAGAAAAGACCATGAATGGGGGATGATCTCTCAAGAATTACATTTCAACATGTTTCAATATATTTCAATATATTTCAATATATTTCACAAGTCCTCCCAGAATGGTTGTTGGACCTATCCCACATCACCGTTGACCCTGCGGCAGATCAATCCCCTCCGTCAAGACATCGGCTCGCGCGCTGGCGCCGGATCAATGGACCTCGAAGTGCATTCGATGCGTGAAGCGCTCAGTGACTCAGTGGGATGAGGGTATGGGTCAATACCTATAGATACATTTTTAGTGGGATGAACATCCATTTACCAGCTATTTTGGGGTTCGCTAGGTACCAGGGTTTTGACCCATCCCCATGAAGCGCTGAAGCCGGTTCCGATGAAACCACCGTTCTTCGGTTGGGTAACTCGTTGTGTTGATATAGTGTGCTCCACGTAAACCATGCGATGTTTTTAATAGATTTAATAGCCATTTCGAGGGTATAGCAATGGTTATGATAGATTAGAATCCCATCTTCAGATTTTGCTGTTTAATGGGGATTTGATCGCAAAGCATTTTAATGGTAATGATAGATTAGACTACATCAGAAGCAAATTGGCTTTGTTGGTGGATTTACCACATGGATGCCTTCCCCCATCCCCATTAAACACACACACACACGAAACCATGGTTTAGTAGGGGATGAAATAACATATCTGGGACCATAGAATAAGGTGCGTTTTTTGTCTGAACATGGGATGGGATTATCCAATAATCATCAATATTGTCAATATCCAACCATAGCTGATGGTGGATTTGTTGGTGGATTTACCCGCCTGTAATCAAAGGTGGCAATGGTCAATTCCCCATTTAGAGATGATTTTCCCATTGAAACCTCCATTCATTGGGGGATTTTCCATTGCCACGTTTGATTACCAGAGGGTATATTCCATAATCATCCCATTGAAGAGTTCAACTATAGTTAGTATCTATCATTACTATACATATCCAACACGGATTTACTGCATTAGTTCCGTTTTAGTTCCACTTCTTCCCCCCTAAACCGCTTTCCGCTTTCCAAGTTTCCCAGGATGTCGGAAGTCATTGGAGAAAGCTTCGTGCGCATCATCCAGCGCTTGGAGGCGGGGGCTTCCATATATATTATAAATACAGATATCCATAGATATCCTTCATCATGTTTCATCCAAATCTGGGGAAAGGGGAAAGAAGATGTGTGAAAACTGGGTCTCCGGGTGAGGGTTTTGGGGGTGAATGGTTTTTAAAGTCCGAAGCTTTGATCCGAGGACAGCCTGCACTTTTTAGCGGCGCCCGGAAATCATATCTACAGCTGGCTGATGCCTCAGTGTGCTCCTCTGAGCTCCGACCAAAATCAACAGGATTCGCTTGGGAGTTTTACGCCATGAGAGTATGGTGACATTGAACATGTTGAAACTTGAGATCCTTTTTAAATATTTTGGGGGGGACTCTTCAAATAAACCCAAGCCATTATGATTCATATTTTTGGGGTGAACATGGAATCAATGGATTGGTTTAAGGGGAAATTTACAGGAAAGCCCCATGATCTTCATGGTAAAATCGATGGTTTCCGGTTAAGATTTTCCCTTAAATCAATCCATTGAGGAAGAAGCTGCTCCTAGGTATCTCAGAAGACTGCGTGCCATCCGTGCCATTGGTGGTGTGGGCCGACAGACGACTCCTCAGTTTTCCCAGATCGGGGGTTTCCCCGGGGAAAGGGCGAATGATTCGATCTGAAGGAGAGGCCGGATGTGGATCGATTGCCATTCCGGGCCGGCCTCTTTTTCGGCCTCCATTGCCATCATTTTCGAGAGTTTTTAGCAGGTTAGATCTCGATTTGGGTGTGGAGAACTTGGAAATGCCCTGAAAAAAACAGGATGTTGTACTCCGCAGAGAATGTGGATCCACCACTTTCCATTTCTTCCGACCTTGGTAATTCCTCAAGGTCCAATGATTGCTTTCTTTTGTTGGTTTCATCCATACATCCCACGAATATCCCCATTGTTATAAATTATAACAACCATTATGGTTGGTTTATGGTTGGTCACGCCATTTTTTGTTGGTACATTCCCATATGAAATCCATATTTTTTGATGGTTGCGGTTCTTCTTGGTTTGTCCTATGTTCAGATCGACCAAGGACCGGACTGTACCTCAGACATCGGAAGCCGCGCGGATCGCAGGTGGGACGGCGGTCTTTATAAATGGCTGTGGTTTTCACGCACGGAATTGATGGGATCTAACTTAAGAATTGGGATTTCATGGGATTTTACCAATAAAACAAGATATGATAGGCATGGGATTTTCACGCAGCAGAGTCGGGTTGAAATGGGATGTTGATGCGATGTATAGCAGCCATCAATATGTTTTGGTTTGTTTGAAATTTTGGGATACCAATGGCCAGTTTAAAGGGGAACATGATGATCAACCATCCTGGATTTGGGGTGTACACAATGGAAACATGCGAATGCTCTCCAAACGAACGGCCCCAGGAGTCCACGCTGCTGTGTTTGATGATGACGGTGGTGGTCGCCACCCTGGGCTTCATCGCGCAATCCGCCATACTCTTCAGGCGGCGGAGATTGGAAGGGCCATGGCCATGGCGATTCTGGTGTACCAGGATGGAAGGTCGAATTTTGCAGGTCTGGATTTGGATTTGGTCGGATAAATCTTGCTTCATCACTATCATTCCAAAGAACTGTTGTATCCAGTATAAATCCACCAACCCCTAGAACAGACCTTAAACATCCTTAAGCCATTTACCACTTAGTAAGTAGGTTATAACCCCAGTTATAGTTGTACTAACCCTACTGAGCCCGTTGATTTCACATATGTTAACCACCAAGTAGCCCTTGAAACAAGCCGCTTTGGACGTTGGGGCTCTACGTGTAGCTGGTCGATCGCCCAGGCTTTCAGCATTTGATGGCCATAGATACAGGAATGTCATACCCCCAAAAAAAAACTGCAGAGTAGCAGCTGCACAGATTTATACTATTGAATAGTTACTATTGCTATAATATAGAAGAATTTTCATCTACGTGGCACTACCAGGGTGGTACTCCCACATACTTCCACGATTGTTGAATGCCGCTTTTCTGCAGTCGGGCAATCCTTTAATAGGTTCTTGAAACAAATGGGCGTGTATTAAACGGGGGGATACCCTCAAATGTTTCAAAATTAAAGGGACAACTTATATGGTAAACACGTGGATTTTAGGGAGCTCCTATATTGAAGGCAGCAAACTTGTAGCGACCTGAACATGGGTGATGGAGGTGCTGTTCCTAGCGTCTGGCGAGATACTGACAGCTCTTGATCAAGATGTTTTCGATGGCAAAACTGCGAGAGAGGTGAAGCAAATCTCCAGATTTCGGCAAAGACTCTTCGCGGAAGATGGTTTTCGCGAGATTCAAGACGATGTGAGGTTTTTGGATCGGCTCCCGTGCAAGTGCAGCTGCTTATGTTGGAGTTCTTGCTGCCAGATGCTGAAGAGGGCGAACGCATGATTTCTGCATGCCGGAGAAACGATTCAGCCAGCGTAGAACAGTTTCTTCAAGGTCCTCGAAATCCGAACATAGGTGGGAATGGGCCAAAACTATCCAAGACTATTTACACTCCCAATGTAAGATGAGCATACCATACAAGAGGGTTTTCAGTTCTGGCCTGTGAAGCCCAAAATGCCAGGGTGAAATGACCCACATTCGAGGTGAAGATGTAGATCTTCAGCCCCTACACCATGCTGCATTGGAGGGACATGTCGAACCCGTGCGCCTATTGCTCGAGGCAGGTGCAGATAAAAATGCAGCAGAAACCGGACTGGGTTTTTCGCCAGTACATCTTGCAGCTCACCAAGGCCATCTTGACATCGTCCACTTTCTCATCGAATGCGGTGCCAACAAGGATCAGCCGACAACGGATGATGGGCACCACGCAGCGCAAGAGGGGCATCTCCGCGTTATTCACTTGTTGCTTGAGTCCTGTTCGGATATTGACAGAACCACCCAGAGCGGAGCAACTGCCTTGGATGTGGCATTGGAACGTGGCCATCGTGAAGTTGTTGGCTTCCTGGCTTCACTTGAGGCCAAAGAGCCTCCCAAGAAGATTCGTAGAAGGAGAGACATGCAGTGACAGTCAGGCATTCAGAAATTGGGACATGACAGGGGACATGTGGCGAATGATTGGGGATTTACTCAAGGTTGTCTATTGGAATATTCTATATAGCCCCATCCTGAAGACAATGCTGGATGAAAGAGGTAAATGTGGCCGTGTTTGTTTCGGATATCAAGGGGGTGTTCTACCGCATGTTTGAACCCCCCCATGATTGCTTCCAGGGTCAACTGTGTTGGTAAAATCGCATGAAATCCAAATATATCGCAACCAGTAGGATGATGTAGGATGACCATCCGTCAGGTTGCAGCCGCGCCACACCGCCTTCTTTGCCGCGGGAGACCCATTTTCAGCACCAATTCACTCTTGGGGATTCAACATGATTAAACCACATTGCGCCATATCCAGAGAGATTCAGTATTAGATCGTATCATACTATAAATATGAACCATATTGAAACAAAACAGTACTCGCTTACCATATCAGTACCATATTGTTGGTATGTTGGCACATGTTGGCACCATTGCCGATGTTGCCAATGTCGCGCAGTTTTCCCAAGGCGTTGCTGCTCCCACCCTTCGCAGATTTGTTGGCGTTGGTGAACACCACGCTGTTCCTCTGCGGTGCTGCGGAACAGACCTCAGTCGGCGGGTTGGTTTTTGTTTGTTCGAAGTTCAGACTGAGTTATCCTCTGGTGAACTAACATAGCTATTGAAAATGGCCATTTATAGTGGATTTTCCCATTAAAAATGGTGATTTTCCATAGCTATGTTAAATTACCAGAGGGTAAACATAGGTTTTGTCTGAAAATACGGGACCCCCAAATCCGTGAGTTTTGTATCTTGTTTCTTCGTCAGAAATCGTGACCGCTTTCAGACACAAGCCATGATATGCAGGTTTAGATTCGACACCAGGTCTTCAATGGGCAGTATCCCTTCGCTACCATGGCATCCCGTGCCATCTCGTGGCATTCCATGGCACCAGGACGGTACCACGGCGTGTCTCTTTGTGGTGGCCTCCAATCTCAACTCGTTGATCGGGCTGTTGTCTCGCTTGATGGCTATGGAGCGCTGGCGATCTTTGGGGTTGTTCCATGTTGGGGGCCCCTGGGGGCCCCTGGGGATACTGCAGATACATGCAGATGCCCTGAAATCTACTAAAAAACCACGGGAAAGCATGGTAAATCATCATTTTCCTGATTCTTTGACGACTATAGTTTAGTGGTGGCTAGGGAGCCCATCTTCAGCCAAATTTTGGGCTGGAGCTGGTGTCTATCTTGTCCGGCTCGGATCACGGGTACTGTTAGCAATTGGGGTTTCCTAAGTCATGGGGGTACTGTACCCCCATATAAATCATCCATTTACAGATGGATTTTCCATGAAATAAACCATCCAGCTATCCAGTTATTGGGGTACCCCGATGTATGGAAACACCCATAATTAGAAGTGTTGCTTAAAGCAAACGTTTTTTGTCCTACGCTGAGGTTCTGGGGGAGTATCTCATGGTGTTTACGGTGAAGGTCTTCATGTGCAGATTGGTGAATCTCACCATTGCCTACTACGAGGCTTTTCCGTGTGAAAGGGGGTGAGGTTGGAAAAGGATCGCGGGTTTGGCGATAACACCAGTTGCCCTGGATGCTGTTGTGAAACCAAGACTTTACCCTTTGGCAATCTAAATTGGCAATGGAAACAATGCCCCATGTATAGATTCTATAGATTCTCTGTGTATAGATTATTTACATTCATTTATCAATATTTTCATTCTAGTTTCTCATTTGATCGGATTTTCCTAGCCAAGTTAGATCATCGCAAGGGTCTATCCCTGCGATTTTGGGAGGCAGAACCAGCTCTCTTGGAGCCGGGTGGCAACGATGCCGACCACGAATGGGTGCGGACCTCAAATAGATCGGGGAGAAAATCTTCGAAGACTTCAGAACCATGAGACCATGATTCAATAACATCTAATAGTTTTTTTTGGATGTTCTAAGATGTTCTAAGCACATTGAAACTAAAGAAGAACCACAGAAAACATATAGAATCTGATAGAACTTGAAAGCCTTCTACACGCTGGGGATTTCTTTGGGACTCAGCATACGATTGGTTTCCGGTCTTCCCTCCTGGGCAGGTCCGTGATCATGTGCTGTTCCGCCGGCCCACGGCCAGTCCGCCAAAGGAAGCGGCTTGGGGCCCCCAGGGTGGGAATTGTTGGTGCTCCAAGCCGTGTCGTTTGAGGGAAATGATAGCCACAAAGGTTAGGAAAAAGGAGGAACTGGGCAACCTTGGGAATTTTACTTCTGTTCTCAACCAAGTCTTTGCCCTTGTATCTGGGGTGTGTGGAGGAAGCCAGTGAGTCTTGGGCGGATTTTCCTATCTACATCTCTCGCGCCCCAGGCTGGCTCTGCGTCTGTAGTTTCTGGGCGACCGCAACCTCTGGAGGCTCTTTCAACCCCCTTGCACTGAGGGAGATAGAGGGGATTATCTCAGAATGGGTATACACCCCCCAAATATCACATTTTTTATATATTTTTCATATTTATCATGGGGAAGATGATCATAAACCATGATTTTTGTGGCCCAGAGTGGCAGTCTGACTATGTCTGACCGTGCAGGAGATGTATGTGGAACACAACGCCCAGAGCTGGTCAGTTCAGGGCTTGGACTCCTCTCGTGCACTCTCGGACAGATTCGAGGCGGAGGGGTGTCCTATCGGATGGGAATCTCGGGGAGGCTCCGGAAATTTTTGTGTACACGGCTATCCCTGCTGCTCTGCTTGGATCATCCCACTTCTCAACTGGCCACTTGATGCCACTTGAATATTTTTGAATCACATAGAATCACCTGCTTGTCAAGAGAGAAAACACCAGGTGACTCACCAATCATGGAATATCATGGATCTCCTCTATTTTTGCGAGTTACAAAATGCATTTGTTCTGCTGATCCACACAGGAAGATCAGGAAGGGGGTCGATGCTTCGGGGCTTGCTGCTACAGGGGTCTTACGCGGGTGCTCGAACTTTTCAATGGGACCGGGGGGGGGCAGGGCGGACAAACAAAGCAAGGGAAACGTTGGATGCTGGCGCAACTGGTAATTGGTGACATCCCTGCTGCCAAGATCTAAATTTGCGGCTCGTTGAATCCGCATGCTGGTCAAGCTCTTGTTCACCTTTATATTATATATATAGGTTGAATCCACATCCTTGTATTTTTTGGTTTTAAATGTGTTCTTCTTTTTTCTTTCTCGATCCCATTTTTGCTGGCTTAACTTGCTGCCTGATAGGAGATGCCCGGCGAGCGCATCACACCTTCAGAACAAGCGTCACCTGTCAATGTTGAGGCAGCTCAGAACACCAGGGGTGAAATCCCAGCGGAAATTGCATGAAATTCACTATGTTTCACTCACTTAAAAGGAGGGTGTCTCAATCTTTTGGGACCCCATGGGACCCTTTAAACCCTTAAACTCATCCAACATTTTGATCGTTTTGAATTGGGAAAGCAAGGCTTCTAACTGCTGTGCTCCTAGAAAGACAAGGGCCTCCAGATGTGGTGAATTGGATGACCCCAATGCCATCACCTTGTAGCTTGCTTCGCCAAAATGATCAACCCAAAAGAGCTGATGCTTGAGAAATGTTGAGAATTTGATGAAACTGGGTGTTTTTATGTGAAATTGGATGATCTAGAATCTAGAATTTGATGAAACTGGTGGTTTTTATGTGAAATTGGATGATTGGATGATCTAGAATTTGATTCTTGTTGATTGGGAATCATCCCACTTGTGGGCTTTGGGAAGTTCAGTGGCTCATTGTGCGGATCCAGCAATCAGAGACCCAGTTGAGCAATGCGTGGAATGTCAATAGGTTGGGGGTACCAAAGCAGTCCTGTTGATCAGGTTGTAGTCTTTATAATTATATGTACAGAATTATCACCACCAAAATTACAGAATGATCATCGCCCAAAATTATAGGATACACACAAATTTATGCCCCTTTTTTGCTTTGAAAGTTTGGGTCATAAATTATTTTGCGAGTAGAAAATTCTCTTTTCCAAACTGGTGGCTCCAGTTCCAATCCTCAAACTCAGGCTGAAAGGCAGCGACAGCGTGAGTGCCACCGGACCTGTCTTGTAGCGGACGGGGAGATCACCGTGACACGACTGGGAGATCAGTGGAGGTGTGACCACCAAAAGATGGGCTGTATATATGATATGATATGTATATATATATACACATAATATCATGCATCATATGTAATACAGAAAAGATAATAGATGATAGATGATAGACAATAAACACATATAGCATATCATATAATGTATAATCTTTAAACCATAATACATGTATATATAATCATAATGGCCACCAGGAACTGTAGCACAATTAACCAAGGCCTACATATCCCAAAAGCTTGGTCAGCTCAAGGTCTGCTGCGTGGCCAGGTGTTTCTGATGGCTGGACGCCGCTTGTCCACAAAATGAGTAAATCATCATTTCATATCGATAGAATAGAGTCTCCAGACTTTTCCTAAACCTCCAGCTGCTGGCCCCCTCCTCTTGACTGGGCGTTCTCGTATTCTGAGAGAGACTTGATTCCGGGTTGAGATTGACAAGGTTGACATAGTTTCAAGAAGTGGGGTTGCTGGAGTGTACAAAGAATCCTTTAGTATTCCTTTCCTGGAACCCCTAACAGCCTGAAAGTTGGCCGCATCATGTCTGACCTGAGCCAGGAATACCATGGAATACCTGCACTTGGGACATGAATTCAAGGAAACAGCATAGAACAAACATCTTGAGCACTTTCACACTGACAAACTAGCCATGTTGGCGTTCCAGGCGCATGGGATGGTACAGTACAGTTAAACTGTCACTTTTCAGGACTTCCCAGTCCTCAGCACCTCAGCACCTCAGCGTGCACCGCGCAAAATATGTAAAATGACTTGATCTGGTGGATCCACATGGTATGGTGCTGGTGGATTCACCATGCGGTGGATTCACCACGAGTAATTTAAGTGAGTCTCACATGGCCTTCCATCCCATGAGACATGACTTGGAGCGCATGGCAACATCTCTGCAGCCTTCGTGGCTCAGTATGTCCTGTTTCACGGAAGTTCCCAACGCTCAAAGTGGCTTTGTGGATGATGATGTGAAACAGAGGTGCCGGGGGCGGGTTTTGGAACTGGAAACCCTTGGCTGGTGACTCCATGTTTCCATGTAATATTTCTTTTACAAACCAAGCTGAGCCAGTGAGCGTACTCCCTCCCTGTTGAGAACCAGGCAAATTGGCAGGTCCTGGGGGTGCGTTAGAATCTTCAGAATAGAATTTGCGGATATTTGCGGTATCTACAATCTTGCCATCTGGTGAATACCCTGGAACGGGCAACTTTCTCTCTGGAACATGGGTGTTATATTCCACCTAGGTGAATTCATGGAATTCAATTAGGATCAATGGCGGCAGGTTGGCAAAGCAATTGGCTTTGACCGTGCAGAGCCTGGGAGTAAACACCTGGCGATCTGGAAAGCCTGAAAGAAAGATGGGCCGGTTTTAGGCGAACATTGGCTAAAACGAACACTTCTGGTGGATTTTGGTTTTAGGTTCCCAGTGAGTTTTAATCATAAACATGTACAAACCCAGAATTTGCAGAGACCCCATTTTTGTTGTACCTTCGCCGAGGCAAAGTTAGCTTGATTCAACATGCTGCTCCTGAAAGCAGCGTCCGGGGGCCCTGGGGGCCCTGGGGGCCCTGGCTGTGTGCCACGAAAGCAGTGAGACTTTGTCGTAATATATCCAAAAATTGGGAATGTGGCTGGGCCTGGCTGGGCATGCTGGGCTGGTGATTTCACGCGCTTCTCATGTTCCATCCCCATTTTGAAATGAGTTGCAATTGATTTTGTACTTCTACTTTCAATAGAATCTATACGCTGCATATTTTCCAATTGAACGAGAGTTTTGAGGGATGATGTGGGTTGAAGCATAGACACCACCCAGTCCTCCATTCTTGGCCCGACCATGCCCGAGGTTTTATCCGCCCCCGCGTGCTGCGGCACCTAGCGAAGGATCGAGGTGCCACCCATGGAAGAGACGATCCGATATTCTCAAAATGTTTATCTGAATTTTCATGAATTTTCATTACATTGATTTGATCCGTTGGAAGCAAACTCTGGGAAACTGCCAAAGGTTAAAAAACACACATGGACGTCAGTAAGATTCGCGCCCTTAGCAATCTTAGCAACTGGCCTGAAAGCAGTCTGTTCCTCTGACAGCGGCTCAAATGTTTTACCTGCCTTCAAAGCTCTTCGTAGCGTATGGCAGACAGCAGATGCGAGGCGCGATCCGTGTTTGTGTTTGATGGGTTTGATTGGCCTTTTTCTGCGGGTGCCTGTCGAAACACATCTTTTCATCTTGAACCTTAATTATTGTGGATGAAGAAGCACCAGCCCAAGTTGAAATATGTTGATTCCATGTTGATTCCATGTTGATTCCATGATTCTATTCCTGCTGCTGCTGCTGAGTTGAACCCTTCTTCTTCAGGCCATTGAAAAGGCCATGGCGGAAGGAGGTGCCACCGTGGCACATTTGGCCCCTTTGTCTTTAGCCATGCTGCCACGTCTGTAGGCATCTCAGCATTCATATGAAATCATATGACTTTTCTTTACCAATTTTCCAGGAATCCCATCATGGGATGGCCATACCGGCCATACCCCAGAAAAACGTTTTGACCATGCTGCCATATGTTGTACTTAAAGGATGTGAAAATCTAACATGTCGAATGACACCAGAATCGTCCCAGGAACATCCGTCCCAGCTAACATGTCCTATCTATCACTGATTTGCTGTTGAGAAAGTACCGGGCTTGTACCCTCCATTAGGGTAACTGATGGGTAACTAATTCTTGCAACTGAAGAGGGTAACTGATTCATAGCCAGGAGCGGCAACGGCAATGGAGAAAGACGATGGCGCCACGGCCACAGTAGCTCCTCCCCCTGTCCAATCGCTTCGTTTTCTGAGGCGGGATGGCTGTGGCCCGAATTCTGGACCCAACCCTGGGATGGTCCTTCGGTCATTTCTTTTTGAGCCATACCCACATATTCTTCTTTGTTGGATGATCATACACTTACACAAGGACCGGTAAACGTGCCATTTTGCGTGCTTTTACATTTTAAGCGTCACCCTGAGATGGTTGTGTTAACAGTGATTCCCTTACTGTTTAGATGATGCTTCAATGGGACTAAATGGGACGTTTCCCCCACCCCTGCTACGTGCAACCGAGATCCCTAAAATTCACAACCCATTCCAGCGGTAGGACCTTTGGCACCGAGAATGAGGTGACGGGGATGGGGATGGGCTATCCTCAACAGTATGGAAAACATCATTGCCAGATGGAAGTTGGACCTTTTAGCTTCCCTGCCTTGGCCGGGATATGCCGGGATGCAATTTGTAGTGTGGAATCACCACTTCCTATTTGGGAGGCTTCCATTGCATATGAAAATGGATGATATCGATAAGTTAATCCCTATGTATCATATACCATCATGTTTCCATATATAAATAAATAGATATAAATAAATACATTAATAGATGCATAAATAGATACATACATAAATACATACATAAATACATACATAAATACATACATAAATAAATAAACATATATATATATATATTATAGATACACGGCGCACATGCATATTTGACTCATTCACAGCAATGATTACATAATGTTACATCCTTTACTACTACCATTATTGTTATTACTATTATTATCACTCTTATCATTACTGCCACTCTAATAATGGTTATCAGTATCAGTATCATCAGTATCATCAGTATCATCAGTATCATCAGTCTCATCAGTGTCATCAGTATCATCAGTCTCATCAGTGTCATGAGTGTCATGAGTATCATGAGTATCATGAGTATCATGAGTATCATGAGTATCATGAGTATCATGAGTATCATGAGTATCATGAGTATCATGAGTATCATGAGTATCATGAGTATCATTATCATCATCGTCGTCATCATCATCATCATCATCATCATCATATTTACATATTTACATATTTACATATATTTACTACTATTTCTGATCTTACAACATATATATATATATAATATAATTCAATACTATATACTATGATATAATATGATATGATATAATATAATATAACATAACATAACATAATATAATAATATATAATTTAACATAATCTACCGTGTCTATTTAGGTTATCGTTAGGATTGTTATTCTACTGCAGCCCTGGCGACTCCGGACGCCTCGGACTTAAGTAAGGCGAAGCCGGGCTCGGTGCCGGACGCGTCCGGTAGCACGGAGGGGACCAGTCGGAATTAAGGAGTTTAGAAGTTTGACCCCTATATAATATTATTATAATATGTAATATTATATTACAATCATTATATCATTGTCTTTTTTTTTGGAAGGTGATTTGAGAGGTCGATGCGGAAAATCACCAAGCAGAGTTTTTTTGGGGGGGATAAAAGACAGCAAAGTATGCGGATGGATTGGTGGAGGACAGGTGGACATGTGTATGGCTCAAAATGCTTGACCCCCTTTTTTTGGATGACAACATCTTGAAGTTATCACTGTTATGGGCCCTCTGGAACCATGTTCGATCTATGTCCGCCTGAACTGCACGTCATTGAGGACAACAGAGTCTGCTGTACCGGGGCAGGTTCTTCCATCTGCAGAGCACAACTCTCAGGGCCTGGAAACACCTGGTGCTGCCAGTTGGATGGGACACATCTGCAATCTCAACATGATTGGATTGCTCCAACTTTGCTGCTTCTGTTTCGCGTTCAATATCCTGATACAGCATTGGAGCACAATCTGTCAAAATGAGTCAAAATGCACATTCGGATATGTTTACTATAGTTCCAAGCCTCATCTTTGTATGCATCTGAACATGGAATACACCTCCAAGTGGCCACTCTAAGCGGAAAACCAAGGCCACAGGTGGATCCACCGGGCGAAGTGCAAAGCCAGGGCCAAGGGTCTGGTGACCAAGGGACGTGTCGCAGCTGATGAAATAATATATGAAACACTTGGGAAAAGGCAAGATACTTTGGGTGATTTCTGGTGGTATTTTGATGATCACCCAAATGTCATAGCACATTTCATCACCACATATCACCACATGATTTCAATCTGATGATATACTGTAAACGGCCGGACGCCTCAAGGCCGCCACCCCAGAAAGCCGCACCCACTCCGCCGGAAGCTCAGGGGGCTGACAACCGATAATAGCTGGATTTTAATGGTTTGTTGGAGGTTATATTGGGTGATATATATATATGCACATATGTATGTATGCATATATGCATATATGTATATATGTGTATATATGTATATATGTACATGCATATATATATATATATGTATATGTATATGTATGTGTATGTATATATATATATATGCACATATGTATGTATGCATATATGCATATATGCATATATGTGTATATATGTATATATGTACATGCATATATATATGTATATGTATGTGTATATATATATATATGCACATATGTATGTATGCATATATGCATATATGTATATATGTGTATATATGTATATATGTACATGCATATATATGTATGTATGTATGTATGTATGTATGTATGTATGTATATGTATGTATATATATATACATATATATGCACATATGTATGTATGCATATATGCATATATGCATATATGTGTATATATGTATATATGTACATGCATATATATATATGTATTTATATGTATGTGTATATATATATGCACATATGTATGTATGCATATATGCATATATGCATATATGTGTATATATGTATATATGTACATGCATATATATATATATGTATATGTATGTGTATATATATATGCACATATGTATGTATGCATATATGCATATATGCATATATGTATATATGTGTATATATGTGTATATATGTATATATGTACATGCATATATATATATATGTATATGTATATGTATGTATGTATATATATATATATGTATGTATGCATATATGCATATATGTATATATGTGTATATATGTATATATGTACATGCATATATATAATATATGTATATGTATGTATATATATATGCACATATGTATGTATGCATATATGCATATATGTATATATTTCTATATATGTATATATGTACATGCATATATAATATATATATATATATATGTATGTATGTATATATATATGCACATATGTATGTATGCATATATGCATATATGTATATATATGTATATATATATATATGTATATATATGTATATATGTGTATATATATATACATATACATATATGCATATATATATATGTATATGTAGGTATATATATATGTATATACGTATACATGTATATTGCATACCTCACAATATCCATCACTATCCATCAAACAATGGTGTGTGTGTGTAATAGGAACCATGATAATGGCAATGTTCATTGTAACACCAATACCTGAAGTAATAAGGGGGCAATAAGACCAAACCAAATAACAAAATGAGAGAATCATACCAACAATAATATAACGACAACAATCATCACCATCACCACCATTCGATTGAACACAGATGCCCCCAGTCCCAGTTTTCCACCATCTCCAAGGCCAGCTGAGAAAGACCTGCACTGGCGGCATCAGCAGCATTTAGCATACCTGAAGAGTCTTGGTAGTTTGGACCTCAGCGAGAGTGAACTGAGAACTGGACTGGGCAGAAAACTGGATGCTTGATGTTTCTTTCTTGTTGGAGGGGGTGAAAGTTCGAGTGCGAAGAATGGGAGTGTTCTATCCTTCGTGCCGGGTTTGACACGTTCAATTACACCAAGTCTGCCGCTGGAGCTCAGTTTCGGCTTAGGTGAAGCCTACCGTATGGCCGTGGATGACACCGAAGGGCTTTCGCCACCCGTGAAGGAAAGTGAGGCCAGGGAAGAGTTAAGGGGCTGCTAGAGACAGTTAAGCCCTGTTAAGCCCCGTTTCAGATGTGCGGTGGTAGTTGTTATGAGATTTGGGGCAAATGCACCAGTTATCTTGGGATATTGTGATTGGTTGATATTGGTTGTATTGCCAGCCTGTCATGACAATTATAGGTCCTATGGAAGTGTTGGAACCCCCCACTCTGAGAGAGTGGCAATGGATCTACATGCTGATTTACAGCCACAAGACATGCCATTTGAATCTGCGTTTTCTGAGTGTTAAAATTATTTGAGCCATACAAGAAACATCAAGAAACTGGGTAGACCCGGTATGCCAAAAAATCTCATGGTCGATCATATCATTTCTCCTATCACTGGCTGCCAGAGTCGGATCCTCCGTCAGGTCGATGATACCACCTGCACTCCCAGTCAACGAGGTCAATGCCTCGTTGCCGAAAACCGTGGATGATCAGCCCCGTTTTTCCAATGGATGATCAGACAGCCATTCCTAATGGCAATATCGTGGGATATCCCTACGAGTTCATTGAGTATAGCCATCAAAATCCCATGGTTTGTGATGATCTTCTCATTCAATAGCCATCAAAATGGTCACAACTGGGACATCCGCTTACGGTTCAACCATCAATCATAGGGGCACGGACAATAAAAAAATGATGGCGGCACCAAGCAACCCTGAGAATTATATGATGGGACGCCCTGTGCAATGAGAAATGCCACTGAACTAAATGCCTCCATGGCCAATTTAGATTGCTTGAGGGCTGGAGTAGGGGATTGAGTCAAAAGAAGGAAGCTTCTTTCAAGGACATGTTCTGCTTCTAAATCTATCTACTGTAAATCTCATGTAGGACTCAAATTCACCATTGACGGTCAAACCATGTCAAACCTATACAGGATTTTAGCAGAACGTGCGCAACTGGCGCAAGGAGTGGCTCCGATGTTTCGATTGCCGAGGTCCAGAGCTGTTGCAGTGCTTGAGCGTCGATGTCATGATCTGAGCGAAGAGCTCCTCCTATCATCGGTCAGATCCTACTGTCATCATGTGGCTATGGATCAATACCTATGAAAATACCATTTTTAGTGGGTTATTCACATCCATAAATCCCAGGCTATTTTGATGTGAACAAACATGGGGTACAACCTTGGTTTTGACACACTGCCACTGTCATCATGTCATCGTTGATCCCATCACTTTGGAGTGGTCCCACTGGCGAGTTGTGGATGGCGTCCGGGGCGAGATGATGAATTGAGCCTCCGAGGTAAAGCATCTGTTTGAGGACACATATAACTACACTTGGGAAACTTCAATGGTATGAGACCCAGACACACCCAGTTTTCTATGTTGTCTTCCAGTGAAACAGCTGCTTTCATCCTAGATTTTCCATTTTAGTCCAGGATCAGTTGAGCCATGCCCTCCAAGATGTTGTGATTCGCTCCATCAGTTGAACCATGTTGAACCCAAAACTCCCAAAATTGTGCGATGTTCCCAACATCACCTGCACCTGGTTCCCAGGTGGAAAAGCACTTGGATGAGGCGATGGCGGTGGTGTCTCCGACACAAGAAGAGAAGCAGGTGGACTGGCCCCGAATCTGCTCGCTGATCGCCCATCTTGATCCATTCTTGGTATTTCAAGAACCATCCAAAGTTGATGGTAATGATGCATCCGTACACATTCATGTAATATATATAATATATATATATATATCATGTATAACTGTATACAAAGTACATGATTTATATGACAGTTATGTCTATACACACAGATACATTTTTTACACCCGTAAATGTACAGCCTGGCCTGTCTCCCAGTTGGCAAGCCCACGGCCACTGACCACTCCTGGCAGAGGTGCTTTTGGGGAAGGTGCTGTGATAAACCCAACTGATTTTCCAGCCATTCGAATCTCGATGGATAATTGTAGTTTATTGAATTTTATTGATGTTTATTTATAGTTTATTCACCCCGCTTCGCGTGGGGTGGCCGCCCACACCGCAGGTTTATTTCGGTCCGTGAGAGGGGCTAAGGGTGGTTTTCCCCCGTGGGGGCTCCCCAAGCTAAGAATTTTCACTTCCCCCCCCCGTGGGGGCTCCCCAAGCTAGGGAATTTTCACTTTTCCCCCCCGTGGGGGCTCCCCAAGCTAGGGAATTTTCACTTTTCCCCCCCGTGGGGGCTCCCCAAGCTAGGGAATTTTCACTTTTCCCCCCCGTGGGGGCTCCCCAAGCTAGGGAATTTTCACTTTTCCCCCCCGTGGGGGCTTCCCAAGCCAGGGAATTTTCACTTTTCCCCGCCGTGACAGCTTCCCAAGCTATGGAATTTTCACTTTTCCCTCCCTTGGAGGCTCTCCAAGCTGCGGAATTTCAAATAGCTAGACAACGACGCCTAGATAGTCCCCCAAATCCCGTGTTCTTTGAATGTGTTTCCATGTTTTTGCAATGGTTTCCTTCAAAGCACGGTGCTTTACACTTTTGTCGCCATAAAACCGGTCGAAAACATCATGTTCGACAATGCTTCCAATTCCCTTATCTCCCCAACCGTTGAAAATACCGCTATTTACAGTGTTTTCTTCAATTTTTCCATGTTCCAATGCCGGTAGCCAACTCCAACATATATATAAGAAATCCTTCCAAAACATTGTTTTTGACAGTGTTTTTCCAATGTTTCCAGTCAAACAGACGGTAATTTACACGTTTTTTGCCATAAAGGCAGTAAATCCTTCCAAAACATTGCTTTTGACAGTGTTTTTGTAATGCTTCCAGTCAAGCATACGGTAATTTACACGTTTTTTGCTATAACGTCAGTCCAAAACACTTGTTTTTGCAGTGTTTTCAATGCTCTGGCATCCAAAAACCCTGCAAAATCTTGCTATGTACAATGTTTTTTTCATTTTTGGCCGTTTTTCCATTGCCGGAAAGCTACCAAAATGACCCAAAATTCCATTTCAATACCCTCTTGCGCTCAGACACCCAAAAATCCTCGAAAAATGTCGAAAACACCACCGTATTCTGGTCTCGGTGCGAAACCGTTTTTGGGCCCCACCCCCCCCCCAGCTAAAGCTGATATAGCGACTGCTATATTAACAAATGTCATTGAGCATTTAGTGTTGCTGTTTTGCCCCCCAATAAGCACGCCTTCACCGCCAAAGCGGTGTGGGCGGATTTTAGTTTGTTATATATAGTTTATCAATGTTTATTAATGTTTATTTATCGTTGATGATTTCGTTGAACGCATCTGATGCTGGTCTTGGGACCTGAGATTCCCGCGCAGGTGTGAGGGAAGTGCTCAAAACGACTCCCAGTAGTGTGGAGAATTGGTCACAGGCTGGGATTCGCCAGGTGGGTAACCATTTACCCTCTGGTAAACTAACATAGCTATGGAAAATCACCATTTTTTATGGGAAAATCCACTATAAATGGCCATTTTCAATAGCTATGTTAAATCACCAGAGGGTAACCATGGCCGTTTCAGCCATTTTCTGCCAAGCCATGGCTGACATTGGACAAACTGGTCATTTGGAAGGAAGAAGACCGCGAGATTTGGGACAAACTGAAGGCACAATTGCTGGAACCTCAACTGGTGTTCTTGGTTCTTGGGTCCTGCGCTTTTTGGACATCTATCATCATCTATCAGTACATATGTACATATGGGTGATGGTTGATGATAGTCACTTAGTGTTTGAGAATTTTGAACACAAAATATTGGGATATCAGCGGTCATCACCAACATATGGATAGATTATATACATTATACATATAGATGATTATATCATATTCTAATCCCATATATTTTGGGATTGTAACGACAAGAATACCTTAAGTGCTATAGGATGAACCCACTGAGGCAGAGTTTGGAGGATTCTGTGGGTGAACTGACAAGGAAGACCATGCAGGAAGCTGAGGAAGCTGATGGGCCAATGGGTATTCGAAGAAAAAAAACGTCGTAAATTTGATGATGAACCACATCATTTCCCACATATTAAAAACCTATTTGGGGATATAATGAGTGATAATCTATGATCATCTGCTAAAATGGCCTTTGGCCATCAGCCAGAGCCGAGGCCCAAACAGCGCCGGACCTTGGAGACCCCCCATCCATGGCCAAAGGATGCTGGGATGGCGGGTTTCTTTCAGGGCTTCCGGAGGTCCATTCCCGTGGGGCCTCCTGGCGGTCCCGGGCTGGCGCCCATGCGCCATGTGTCACGGGAGACCTTGAGTGAGCCGGGCTCCTCTTCGGATGTCTCCTCTTCCAAGGCGGGTCCCAAAACGCTGCCTCCACACGGTCCAGTCAGCATGTCCCATTTTTACGGCAGGGCCACAGTTCCATGGCTTCAGTACCGCAACGTGCTGAGTCGGGAGACCCAGGGAATTTTCGTGCAGCACAAGATTGTAGCAATTGACAATGAGATTTGGATAGTTTATCAGACAACGTCGACAGTGTCAGAAAACACAGGACGGTGTCAGAGAACACGTGTGGCAGAACAGGAATGTCAAAGTCAGAAAACAAGAACGTCGAAGTCAGAAAACACTAACATCGAAGTCAGGTGCTAACACTTATCTCCCTATTCGACAAACAATAGTATTTTCCTCACAGTTCCAAGTCATTGATTAAACTTCCCCCAAGCCCCACATGCAAGAGTATTTCTCTATTCACAGCCTTCCCTTCCCAAGAGTTTTTGTCGCGATTCCAAGTCATTGTTTGAACATCCCGCCCAAAGCCCCACGTGCAGTTCCAAGATGTTCCAAGTGCGGCCGACATCAACATACCTGGTTTCTGACACCAACATTTCCGTTTTCCGACTCGACACCAACCCTGCCCGTTTATCAGATGTCTATCTATCTATCTATCTATCAATCGATCGATCGATCGATCGATCGATCTATCTATCTATCTATCTATCTATCTATCTATCTATCTATCTATCTCTCTCTCTCTATATATATATACACACACTGTATATCATACTATACATATAAAAATATGTTTATGCTTGTTAATGCTTGGGCACCTGGATCTGACTCTTTCCAAAATCACCCTGGAAAATCAGCACAGTCATTGTTCAACCTTGCCGCCAGGCAAGGATCAATGGAACCAGAGGCTGCGGCGGATCTCCACTGGTATCATTGGACATGGGGTGAAATCAACCAGGCATACCATCGAAATACCGTGGTTAATTACCATGGCCATGAGCTCCTTGGTAGGCGATGCGGGATGCCAGATGCGTGTCGCTTGTCCGGGGGATTCCTAATTTTTTGGGATGCTTCCAGACAATTCCAGACAATTCCAGACAATTCCAGACAATTTGTAAAGACTTTTTGGCAAAAGGTTGATTCCTTTGATGGTTGCAAATTTGCCGTGAACTTATTACTTGTATTTGCTTTTGGCCAAGTTCGAACTTTTTGTCAAAGCAGGTGCATGTTGATTGATCGCTCTCAGACTTGGTTCCGCGGGAAACGTCTTACCGGAACAATCAGGACCACCCACCCCCAATAGTGTCATGCTCTAGAAAAACAAACGTGAGTTCCTTCCTCCACAACGCCCCCCGGTCCAACCACTATATACGTGGTTGTTCCCTGCAAGATAGCTTCGGGTAATCTAAAAATCCATCAAAATCCAGCAAATTTATGACATCATTTTCCCATTCGAGAGTGATAGCCTGATAGCCCACCCCTGAGGCAGATGAGTTGCCGGAGCAGGAGCAGTAACAGCTTGGCTTCGGCTGGGTGGGGATGCCAAATCTGAAAACAGGGTACCCCCAGCCATGGATGATCATCATTTTCGCTATTCTTAAAAAATTGCTATTAACACATATTTAATGGCTATTAACACATATTGGAAATGAACACTTTTTCCCATTTTCAGATAAAAGATCACCCAACCCTGATATTTTTAAGGTTGGGTGATCTGAAGAAATCTGAAGATTGAAACCATCCGAAAAAGTGACCCAGGCAATTGCCCACGCCCTGCAGTGCCAAAATCATGGGGCCAATGGAGGTGCTACGTGGCGGCCTCAAACATCCCGTTTTTTTTTTTTTGTTTTTTTTTGAACATCTCAAATTGGCCATGCCGGGAATGTTATGATCTAAAGTTTTGTGATGTTTTGTGTCTATACCCATTTTTCCCCACCTGCCAGGTGAGGGTTGTTAGATTTTATGTCAGTTGCCTCCTCCTCCTCCTGCCTCGTCCTCCTCTCGTCCTCCTCTCCTCCTCCTCCTCCTCTCCTCCTCGTCCTCCTCGTCCTCCTTGTCATCCTTGTCGTCCTCTCGTTGTCCTCGTCGTCCTCGTTGTCCTCCTCGTCCTCCTGCTCAACTGCGACTCGCGATCCACAGTGTTCGCTGCCGGACCTCAACCACGACCATCCACGCCCAGTGTTCCCTGCCGGACCTCAACCACGACCATCCACGCCCAGTGTTCCCTGCCGGACCTCAACCACGACCAGCCACGCCCAGTGTTCCCTGCCGGACCTCAACCACGACCATCCACGCCCAGTGTTCCCTGCCGGACCTCATGAGATATGCCAGATAGAATGCCAGAAGATATGCCAGATGGAATGTTAGATAGAATGCCAGAAGATATGCCAGATAAAATGCTATGAGATATGCCAGATAGAATGCCAGAAGGTATGCCAGATAAAATGTCAGATAGAATGACACAAGATATGCCAGATAGAATCCCAGAAGATTTGCCAGATAATATGCCAGAAGATATGCCAGATAGAATGCCAGAAGATATGCCAGAAGATATGCCAGATAGAATCCCAGAAGATTTGCCAGATAATATGCCAGAAGATATGCCAGAAGATATGCCAGATAGAATGCCAGATAGAATGCCAGAAGATATACCAGAAGATATGCCAGATAGAATGCCAGAAGATATGTCAGAATATATGCCAGAAGATATGCCAGATAGAATGCCAGAAGATATGCCAGATAGAATGCGAGAAGATATGCCAGATAGAATGCGAGAAGATATGCCAGATAGAATGCCAGAAGATTTGCCAGATAGAATGCCAGAAGATATGTCAGATAGAATGCCAGAAGATTTGCCATTCAGAAACAGAAAGGACTGTTGTGGCCGCCCAAATCTCACACTTAATATGTATAAAGAATACTTCTTGTGAGATTTGGGTGTCACAACATTCCCTTCCGATAACTTGTATTCTTGTGAGATTTGGGTGTCACAACATTCCCTTCCGATAACTTGTGTGTTGATATCTGTTCAAGCCCCAAGGATTAATCTGGATTAATCTGGGACCAAAAAAAACAAAAAAAACAAAAAAAAAAAAACAAAAAAAACAATGTTTTCAGGACTACTTGGATCAGGGCTATCTTTAGACTAGTCTCCAAAACATTGGTTTTTTTGTTTTTTTTGGTTTTTTTGGTTTTTTTGGTCCCAGATTAATCCAGATTAATCCAAGCTAATCTACGATCATCAGATCTATTTAACATTTAAGTACTAACATGTGGTTGGCTAATTTTCTATATTCTCTGGTCATCTGCCTTTATTGGCTTTTAGCGCCGCTCTCTCTGTGTCTGGACTACTGAAGCAAGTTAATCTAAGATCATCAGATCTATTTAACTACTAATTTCCAACATGTGGTTAGCTATTTTTCTATATTCCCTGCTCATCCATCAAATATAGGCCATGTCGTTTGAATCCACAAGTAAGCATTAGCACATGGAAGTTTCCTCAAGTAAGGATCCATCAAATATATACCATATTGTTTGAATCCACAAGTAAAGATTGGCACATAGAAGTTTCTTCAATTAAGGATCCATCAAGTGACCCTCCAAACAAAGCCTGAGTACTTTATGCCAGGCGCAGGTTCATGTAAAGATCATATCATTGTCTTTTTACCATTTTGGGACCAAGCATCCATAACATTTGAAACATGCTTCTTTGTTGCAGGCAAAAACCTGGGGATACTTGAAACAGTTTTGGATTTTCCATATACATTTTTCCAATAGTAGCTAGCACTTCAATCTCTATATGTTCACTGACAGTTTCCTCCAAAGATTCTTACTTGAGATTTACATGTGATGCTCTTGGATCTGTACAAATGCTTACTTGTGAATACAAAGAAGTTTATTGTTTTGTTTAAAACCTCTTGACTTGAGATTTACATGTGATGTTCTTGGACCTGTACAGATGTTTACTTGTGAACACAAACAGAAACTTGTATTGTCCTGCCTAAAACATCCTTACTTGAGATTTACATGTGATGTTCTTGGATTTTTGTGGTATATTAGAGCATCTTTACTTGAGATTTACATGTGTAGGGGATGATCCTGGGCCTGTACAGATGTTTCCTTGTGAGCCAAAAGAATCTTTTATGGTTCCTTGAAACCTCTTTACTTGAGATTTACATATGATGATCTTGGATCTTTAGAGATGCTTACTTACTTGTGAACAGAAATAACCTTTTATGATTCTTCAAATCATTTTTGTAAACAAGTGCACTGGGCCTTTGCACTTGCAATTGTTTCAAAGTTTTGGGAAAGGAAACAAGTTGCTGGCATTGCCAGTTTTGATTGCATCACACTATGAATTTTATATGTCCATATTGGTGTCCAAAGGTTTCGGAATCAGTGGAATCAAGTCCAAATGTATAATCAAAATCCTTAAAAACCACATGTCAGCCCTTGAATTTCATATAAATTTTATATGAAGTTTATATGCAGTTTATATGCAGTTTATATGCAGTTTCAAAACTACATGTAGTTTATATGCAGTTTTGACCAAACTACATGTAGTTTATATGCAGTTTTGAAAACTGCATATAAACTGCATATAAACTACATATAAACTGCATATAAACTGCATACCAAAAATCTACAGATTTTGAATGATTTTGACATGCCTGGAAAGCTGAAAGCTTGAGATTTTGAACTGCTGCTGCAAGAAAATTTGTGATTTTCAAGGATGACAACTTAGAAAGAAAAAGTATATATACACATGCAAGACCTTTTAGGCAGACCACTAACTGAACCAAAGATACTTTGATGAAATGAACCTGAGGGCCATTGCTGCTAAAGTTTCAGATCCTTTTCAAAACTTGGTAAAGGCTGCAAATAATGTTTCTCACGAAATAATTTCATATGTGTCCCATGACATTTGTCAAGACTGCCTGGAACTTACCAAATAAAATTGCAAGACATTTGGCTAAACAATGGTTCAAGAGTTATTCATGACTTTTTTGTGTAGGTTTCCCAGTGAAATAGTTCATGGTTAATTAAAAACTTGACAACAATAGTTAAAAAAGAGGCGGCCACAACAGTCCCCTCCCTTCAGAAAATGTAAAAATGTCACGGTGGGGATCACACGAAGTAAAGTAATTGTTTTTGTGGGATATAAGATCCGGGGATAAACATTGGGATAATAACATCTAAAATGGGTGAGAATTATGGTGATTTAACCAATTTAACCATCTAAAATGGTGATTTAACATGATTAAACCATCCGATTGACATCCCAATCATTTCAATTTGGGTGATTTAACCATCTAAAATCTAAAATGGGGGGATATAAATGGTGATATGACATGATAGAACCAATCCCAGAAGCGGTTTCAGGCCAAAACACTGCAGAGCATAAGGCTCCATGACGCTATGTTGCCGAAAGCCATCTTGGGTAATAATGATTGATGCCTATTCATTTTGAAGTAAGAATCTGGAGAAAGGTTGATGACACCCTGGGAACTTTCTTCTTCAATGTTCACAGAATGGTGACATGAAGATTCTGAAACACCAGCAAACATTTATATGAATAATAGTTAAAAAGGGACTACTAAGAAAACACTGGAAAGCACTCCAACAGTTCTTCTTTAATTATTTCACTATCAATTGGGACTATCAAGATTCTCATTCCAGTATTGTGTATGACTAATATTGTCTTTCACTAAGAATTAGTCTTGGGATTTTCACTATTGATTGAGACCATTATTCATTTCAGGATGGTAATGGTACCAAAGACTCGCCAAACATGGCTTGACCCTTCCTCAACTTTTTGATTGGTTTTAGGAAATTTTGGTTTAATGTTGATAACATTCTTAATGTGATCGGTGCTCCACCATTATTCAAATCAATATTTATTGGCACTATTCACTGACTGGAGAACCAGTAACTAGCCATTAATGAGCCACTCATTAGCCAACCATTAAATTAACCATTATATAATTAAGTAACCAATATATACTAACCATTAATTAAGAGTTAATTAACCATTAATGATGTCTTTCTAAATGGTCCTCCGGTGTCAATTCCCTCATGTCGCAGCCAAGGCACCCCATCGACGGGAGCTCGAACTCCAGCTGGAAGACCCAGTCACGTAACGTGTGGAAAGCCATGGAAAAAACATGGAAAACCTTGTATATCGGGAAACCCTGGCTTTTCATGGGTTGTGTTTTTTTTGGGGTGTGAAAAGGGCTGAAAATTCCAAATTGTGCAGGGATTTGCAAACGAAACACTGATGCATTTCAGGTCTTTCTTTTTCAGGTGACATGTGGATTCAATGATCAGATACTGAGGCCATTTCACCAGGGAGATCCCTGGTGTACCGGCAAATTTCCTCGCCGGTGGTGGGGAACTGAGGATGAACAGTCAGCTGGAGGAATTTGTCCATCCTTGGTTCATGGTATTTGTGAGAGCCCATGTGAATGCCATTTGTAGATGAGAACGAATCTGAGGCTCTACTCACTCCGCGGATTCCGGGCGAAGTGAGGCTGGGCTTTGGTCAGAAGTGATCGATGAGCTGAACATTAGGAGACTTCTAGATGCCTGGATGATCCCGGGTGTTCTGTAGGTGGATGGATCCAATTTTTTTGCCATTAATTTAAAGGAATCTACTGAGATATCATGCCAAATCGGTAGTACAACTTTCGAAAAAAACCGAATTTCAACGGAGATATCATGGGTTCCCCACAGATTCACAGCTGATCACAGCTGACGTCTGTGCGCCGCCCAGGACCATTATGGGTCCTGCTGGTCCAGCCTACCCACAATGACTGGCCCCACCTGCATAGCGTTACAATTTTCAAGGACGGGAGCGACCAGATGGAGGTTTTTGGGTCCCATGGATTCAGCGATTCACCATGATTCACCCATTTTTGCTGGTGACTTTTGCCATTGATTAGCCAGATTTTTATACGGATATCCATTCGAATCCCAACCATATCACTGTCAGACAGGGGATAAAAAAAGATTGGGATCCCGTTTTTTTCGCAGGAAGTCGAGCACGGCGTGAAGCGCACGCCGTGAGCGGCTTTTTGTTAGGGCCAAAAAAGGCTGAGTGTTCTGAAGAAAGAAACTGCTTAACGATACTTAACGAACGAGAATGATAGTTGGTGAATGTTTATGATGGTGAATGTGATGGTCAATGATGGTTAATGAGTGTTGATTATTTCAGATATAATTAGTATAATTAGTGAGTAGTGTGCCCGATGGGCCAGCAATTCTTGGAATGGGTTGAGTGGACACCGAGTAGTTTGGCCGCTGGCCCTATCAAGGGGTTTCACCGGAATGCTGTGATCCTCACGTCCCAAGGACGACCGTGAAAAAAGACACCATTGGTCGGCAGTAAGAGGCAATTCTGACAGTGCATCAAAACAAGCAAAAACAAGCAGCAGAAAGGATCCAACAAGCACTAATATAGTTGCTTTTTGTGGGTAATTGATCATTCCCTGGTTTATTCTTGCAGATTTCCTGATCGTTTCAGCATGGGGCTACCCAGATAGCCAGATAGCCAAAACTCAAGGGCGTTGAAGCGCCAGATTGCCTCCTGCAGCCTGTAGATCTGGGTCAATGCGTCGATGGGGGCTGAGCCTGTGCTAACCCTGTGCGTTTGTGCGTCGAAAAGAAGTGCCGAAGGTTCGAAAAGTCATTGTGGCCACTGGCCAGTTTTTGCAGGAATGTTCGCTGTCATCAGATCATGCAAACATATGCAAACCAACAGTAACAACTTGAACCCAATATTAACATTAACCAACATTAACCAACAACCTCCCTGTTTCAATGCTTGTGGCAGCTCCCGCAGGTTTGCTTTGCTGCCACAACAGACCGAAGATGAGCTTGAGATTTCAGAGGTTAGGGCCCGAACGCCCATGGACGAGCCCCGAGCGGTTTGTGTTGATGATATAATATTATATACATGTTACATGATTAGGATAACGCACTAGGATCATGTTTTGCTAAGATAACACACTTTAAAAGTCATTACGGGACTACTTACTGTATCAAACAGCATGTAGAAGATGATGTCGCCGACGGTCTTGAAGCCACTGGAAACACACGAACTGACGCTGGCCGGAAACCAGCGCGACAAGAGGATCGTCTTTGGTTGGGGGAGACCTTTCAGGGTATTGGATGGGGTCTCCATTTTGGGAGACCAAAGTGGTGCCGAAAAACGTCTGCAGGTGCATTCGAAGCTCGACAGAGCGCTGAAGTTTTTGCAGCGCGATGTTGGGTTGGGGCACCCGGAGATGTTGACCTTCAACTGAATATATGGTGATGTGATGAAGTTGCAAGGGTTTGCAAGAGTTCCAATATAGTTGTAACAGTTGTACCAAAATCACATGCTCTGAAGCGATTGAACAGAATTCGGAATTCGGTAAGTATAGAATATCAGATGCAGCTTCACTTGTTGCTTTATGACTCAAATGTTTGCTGACAAGCACCATGGGCAAATTCGGACCTCGATCAAAGGTGAAGGAGTGATCTCCAAACATTGGCAGAAAATTGCGGTATATATACGCTGTCTGTCCTATATACATATCATATATAAATATATGTGTCACATATATAAATATACGTATATTATACATTATATATATATGGTCACCCCCCCCCTACGACCCCCCAATGTGTCATTTGTATTGTTATTTACAGCATAAAATGCGTATTTTTAGTATTCCATATATATACATGTATATGCATCTATATACTTCAATATATCTGGTTTGATGATTTCACACACATTTTTATTTTGAACCCAACAGGGCTGACGTGCCCAACTGACGTGCCCAACGTTGCGCAACGAGGTATTCGCTTCTGGATGATGCTCTTGCAGAATCTGGCGGTGGCGTGAGGCGTGGATGAATTTTTGGATGCGACGTTTTCCGGTCTGCGGAACTTGGGAGTCAGGGTACAAGTACTTATCACTATCAAGATCAATATAAATATGAATATGTATAGTTGTTAATATCACTATCAATAATTATTGATATCATCTTGATACTGTAATGTAGTTTTTCATGATATTGCCACAGATATGACCATGATATTGATTGAATTGATTGCCAATGTTCCAGAAGCCTTGTAACACGTCAATTCACCTATTCACATCCACATAGACTGATAATATTACTGTATATGATATAGTATACGTTCTATTATAGACAGATAGACAGGTAGACACAAATAGGATGATAGTTCTCTAGACTAAACGCTTGACCAGTTGGCAAAAAACATCGGCAAAAAACATCGACTAATGGTATTTCCCGGTCCGAAGACATCTTCCGAGCAATGGATGGTTTTCTTCCGGGAAAATCCACCGAACATCAGCCCCTGGTTTTCCTCCGTAAAAATGGGTGGAAAACCTATGTTTTTCCTAGAGTTTTCCAATGGGTTTCCCATGGTTTCCTACGTTGCTGCCAGGCTCGTTCACGACATCGAGGTGATGCAGGCTCTTGGTGCTCTCCCAGCGCGGGGTCGCCGCTCCTGCCGAGCACCTAAGGTGGGCATGGGGGATAGGGGATGGGGGATAGGGGATGGGGATGGGTAGGTTGATGATGAATGATGATTAGTTGAATTCTAGGCTTTGAAGATACTTTGAAGATACGTGAAGCTGATGTTTGGTGATGTTCTTCTGGTTGTGATTGGATTGAACTGTGACCAGGAAGCATTCAGAGGGGATGGCTCAAAATCATTGATCTCAATTCTTGGATATAGTTGGATTATTGGTTACTACCACTGTAAACATCAGTGTAGAAATCCACCTGAAAGTGTCCACTCTAGGGTTCCACGTTAGCTTTCCGGAGTAGAACATGACCGATTCTGTGGGTCCATCCCCAATTTTTGCGCCCAATATCTGTGGCATTCAGGAGCGACCCATCGAAAATGCCGACGAGGCAGATGACATCCTGTCGTGCAAACCCGAGATCGGGAAGTGCCCCAGACGACCGCGTGGCGGCGTGGCGTTGAGCGTTCGGTTGAACTACAGTTTGAGCCATGGATTTGTTGAAAAATGGAGATTATTTGCGCATTTAGGCCATCAAATGATGGGAAAAGTGGGGCCAAAATGATGGACTGAGAACATGGATGAAGATTGAATGCAATCCGAAAGAGTTCCCTTTCAACTTTCGGAAATCTGGTGTCTAAATCCCTATGGAAATCGCGTCTGCCAGGTATGCACATTATAAGGATGACATCGTCCTGGTCTCCAGGCTGGGCGATTTTCTATGAACAGTGTGATGTGTCACCATCAACGAATACCAGTTGAATACCATCTGATTTTCCCTTGCTCCACAAGGCTTTTTCTTTTTTCGCATGTTTGAAATTGAAGAGCACAATTCGAAATACGTTTCCACTGCCTTTCATGCTACGCACTTCGCATCCAAAGATCCTGTTTTAGGCGGTGTCAGTGTCAGTGACTTGCCCAGGAATGGGAAGGTATCTTGATTAGATCCGAAGCGACTGATCCACAACCCCAGATTTGTCACATTTTCCGGTTGCTTTGTGCAGCACTGCTAGTATGTGGGTCTGAATTTGAATCATTCTTTCCGAAAAGTTGGATGGTTTGATGTTAGACGGTTAGACCGTCGTGAGGTTTCATCCTAGCTTATAATTTTGCATTTAATATGTTTAATATTACTGTAATCATTATCGCTCATTATTATACATTATTGGTCATTATTAATCATTATTTATCAGTATCAATCCAAATTCAGTCATATTGGCCGTAGAATCATCCAATTTGCCGCAGATTCGCTGGCTTGGTCCATGGCTTCGAAGAGCGAACGGATCCCAACGCTCCCAACGTGAAGCATGACATGCTGTACAAGAAGGTCTTGCAGGTGCGGAAAACCCCCAAAAGTGGGGATTTCATGGCGATTTTACGGTCCATGTCTTAAACAACAACAACAACAACAACAACAACAACAACAACAACAACAACAACAACAACAACAACAACAACAACAAGTATTACAATAATTACAATTATTACAATTATTACAGTTATTACAATTTCAAGCTGAAAAACATATATATATATAGTTATATATATATATACATACACATATAACAAGGGCATGATCCCGACCTTCATCTTTGGAGATGGGTTGTTTCACCAGTGAAACCATAGCACAGCTGAGGGCATTCGGCTCCTGCACCTGTGTGAATTTCACTACGCTGATGTGGTGCTGACGTTGGCCTATGCGAGCGTATACTTCCGTGGCCCCTCGGCGGCCTTTGATGCCTATTGATGGGGATTTAGAAGGCTAAGAACATTTAAGCATTTAACATTTATGGGGTTTTATGGGGTTTTATGGGGTTTTATTGGGTTTTATTGGGTTTTATGGGGTTTTATGGGGTTTTATGGGGTTTTATGGGGTTTTATGGGGTTTTATGGGGTTTTATGGGGTTTTATGGGGTTTTATGGGGCTTTATGGGGCTTTATGGGGTTTTAAACATTTAACAAAACAAGAATCTTACAACTTTTGATACAAAGGAGTGAATCCCAACATCCAGCTGATTTCATGGTCTTTATTCTGGGAAACGCTTTCGCAATTTCGCAGCCAGGTGCCTTCACTTCACTCGGCAAAACGATGAGCGACTATGAGGCCCGCGCCATAAGATGACAGGAGATCCCAGGATTTCATAAGAAGGCAGCTGGAATGGAGTCCAGATCATTGGATGCTGAAGTATGACGGATTACATATACGAACACATATATATATATATAGAGACACGGTATATCCCGATATATATATATACAGTATATGTACAGTATTATGTATATATTATACACAGTATAATACATACTTTATATACATTACATACATTACATACATTACGTACATGCCGTTACATACCATACATACCATACATACCATACATACCATACATACCACACATAATTTGCACAACATACATACCATACATAACATACATAACATAACATACCATAACATAACATACCATAACATAACATAACACTACAGAGCACAACAGAACACAACATAACACAACATAACAACATTACATTAAATTAAATTGCATTGCATTACATTGCATTTCATTTCATTTCATTACATTATATTGCATTGCATTACATTACATTATATACACTACATTACATTACATTACATTACATGCATACATACAGGACTAACAGTGGCTACACATGTGTAATTACCCTGAATTGCCTCTGGACATAATAAGTACTTCCAGATCAACAGCTTAATTTTGACTCCGCTTGCTGGACTCCGCATGCTGTGAGGCAGCTCACGTCTGTGTCTTGCTCATCTACTTGGCTCATAGCTTCCTCTTTGACGAGACCTGCCCGTTGAGGTGAGAGCGGTGAGAGCGGTGAGAGCGGGGAGAGCGGCGGTCGAGCTGTGATGTCTAAGGCAACAATCTCCTTAAAATGGTTTAAGCCAAAAAAGGTGGGGGATTTCCCTTATGCTTTTTCACTTGGACCAATTTTCGGATTGCGGTGATTTGCCCCATCTTTGGCGCTACTTTGCTCTGTTGCAGGGTATGGCAGCAGCATATCTTCAAGAAATACTGCAATCTCAAGGTGGGCATCTGAAGAGTCCCCCCAGGGCATCCTGGAGCAGATTTCCTGGACCTGTGCTGTGAATTCCATGTAGGACCAAAAGCCATGGCTTAAACGGGTTATTGTAACTGCTATAACTGTTATAACCCAGTGCTTTTTCTTGAAGTTTGGAATCAACTTTTCATTCATTTCTTCCCAGGTCTTGGATGCAGCTCTCTATCGGATTTTCAAGCTTCGAGTTGGGCACCCAGGCTGTGCAGGCACTAGTCGTATTTATTGGATGGGCTGATTTGGGTGCATGGCGCGGGCTTATCCCACTTGTAGCGACGGAAGACCGAGTGACCAAGGGCTTCAAGCTGCGAATCACGGAAGCAGAGGAAAAGGAAGCTCTGAGTGTTCCTGGCTCAGCATCGCAGGTGCTTCAGGTGCTTCAGCTGCTTCAATGATCAGATGGGATCAGATGGGATCAGAAGCTGCTCCCAGGTGCTTCTGTTGCGCACCAATGGTGGCCTTCCGGTGCAGTCCTTAACGTTGACTCTAGAATCTCTGAAGATTGCGAAGCTTTCATCTTGGGTACCCCTCATGGGCTCAGAGTTTTTTTTTGGTGGAGATTTTGGGAGTTTTTTTGCGACTGCTCCTCGTGCGACTTGAAAAAGACATGGTTGCCCCAGTTTCTTCGTTTGCTGCACAGGATGGAAGCAGCACCAGTGGTCAAAGAAGGCCCGGCTTTTGCATCATGCCACGAGCTGTTTAGGTGACCAGTTCCATCTGGTGGAAGCTTTATGCGCTTTACGACTATCAGTGACTATCAGTCCACAGATGAACAGCTCGAGATGCTGAAACTCCAGTCCTGTACCCCCTACCCCTTTGGTTGCTGGGGATCCCGCTGAACGAGGCCGAAGGGACGTAGCTCATCCAGCACGGAATCAACAAAATGTATGGAGAAGGAGGACAGAAAGCAGGTGGCTCATGTATGGTGTGACCAAAAATGGGGGGGGGGATACCTGCGGGATACCCCTCTCCTAGTTGACATTGATAGATCATCATTTGCAGATGGCCATTTTGGTGCGACCCCGGTTTGTTTGACATGCTATGGTTATGCTACTGTGATCTACCCTCCTGAAAAGACGGAACCCAAGCATGGTGCCCGGAAGATTATTTTCCCAGTGGACATGGTATCTTTGGGTTCCATATGGTTCCATGTTTTTTTTTTGGGCTTGGAAATAGATGTGGTGATGTATACTATGGGACCGATGTGTTTTATCGTTATTCTGTTTCCATGTATTTTTTTAAACATAAGGTGATATGGATATCACTTGTGAAGTGTGTTGGCTTCTTTATTTGCCATTTCTGTAAAATCCAGAAACTATTTCTTGCACAGGTAGAAACCATTTGCTAAATACTAGAAACCATTTGCTAGATAAGTAGAATATGTAAAACCAGTTGTTGAGCAAAGTAGAAAATGTAGAAACCATTTGCTAAATCACGGTGATTTACCAGGAACCATTGCTTAAATCAAAGGGTACTATCTGCAAGTAAAAGTTGTTATTGACCATGTCAACAGGGTAAACCTATTCAATCTTAGAGAGAGAGAGAGAGAGAGGAAGAGAGGGAGACACGCACGGAGACGGAAAAAGACACACCACAAACGCAAGCTCTCCGGCTCGAAGCTCACAAGGCACCAGCAGCTACTTCCCCCCAGAGAAGTGCGCAGAATGGTCCTTACTTTCGCAGTGCTTGCCTTGGTAGCCGACTTCGTGGGCGTGGATCGCCCCGTCGGGGGAGCCTTGACGGCAACCACTGTGTTTCGTTTGCCGGCACTGCTTTGGGAGACCGCGCAGGAGACCCTGCGTCGATGCGGCGGCACACGCCAGGTGGCAGACCCGCCCTGCGAGGTCCGGTGCCGTGTCTGGGACCCGCCTCGGCTCCTGTCGCGCGTGGTCCCTTTGGCGGTACTTGGACCTGCACCTACCGGCAGTTGTCATGAGCATCCTCACCCACGCGGCCGTGCAGAAGCTGGCCACCACTGAGCAGGACGCAGAGATCGGCCTCACCACCTGGGTGATCACCGTCTCCCTCCCGAACGGCCGACATAAAAGAAAGGAGGCCCTGGTGCTCAAGGTGGCAATTTGGGAGCAGGCTCAGCAGCCCCAGGGCGAGGGAACAGTCATTTGCTAATAGCCGTTGGTGGTGAGAAAGAACGAATGTCTTTACCCCACACGCCAGTTCAATAGTATAGTACTAGCGCTTCCTTCACCCGTGCTTCACCACAGTGAAACTGTTGACGATTGAAGCTTGAAACCATCTAGAACCCAAATGGGAGTACTATCACGCCATACCAGTTGTAATTAATGCTGTTTCAATCCAGGAAAGGGTGCATCAAACAGCAACAAAAGCAGGGCATACTCTGTGCCTAATGCACTTTGTGCCAAATGCGCCATACAACACTGCGAATGCTTCCACACTCGATACCCACAAGTTGTGGGATCCAAAAGATATCTTCCCCAAACAAAACCAATGTGGCCCATAGCCTTTGCGGGTGAGTTGGGGACGTTGTTAGCCGGGTTTTGCCACATGGCGTTTTTGTGACACCTCAGAGGACACCCAAGTCAGGGATTTCCCCCAAAGTCAGGACTCGTGTGTGCTTGAACTTTTTCTATATCTGTCCGGGTCTGTCGGGGGAGCTTGGAGCCCGGTTTCTTCGGGAGCCTACCAGCTTAACCCTCCTAAGATTAAGATGTAAATATGAAAGATTATTTCTTAAATCCTAGAAACTATTTCTTTACTTGGGCCCCAGCCAAGAAACTATTTACAAAATCAGGTTTGCTTTTACCCATCCAACCATTGGACAAGGATAGCAGTCAATCACTTGAAGTCCAGAGAGTGCCCCGCACAAGTGAACCATGTTCTCACCAAGAGAAAGGCTGCCAGGCTGTTGGTGCAGGCGTTCTTCATTCTCTTTCGTCTATGTTCATTGACTCCTCATCTCAGAATCAGGCACTATTACTTTCTTACCTTTCAACTTGTAAATGGTCTTCATGCTATATCAAAATCTATGTCTATATTTGTCAACTTGAGTTTTATCTATCTTTATTAGTATATTGTCTTGGCAGAAAAAGGGTCTCACAGAAACCGTTTCAAACCGTTTCCGACTACTGTCTAGGTAATAGTCCGAAACTGTTTCAAAACGTTTCCTGCTACTTGCTGCTTCGGCCTGGCAAAAACCCTGAATAGTTTCAAACAGTTTCAAATAGTTCCAAATAGTTTTTAGATATTGCCCATTAGCAAATGGTCCGAAACACCGTTTCAAACCGTTTCATATCACTTACTAGGTAGTAGTCCGAACGATTCCAAACCGTTGCAAACCAATCCCTAGAAAACCTTATAATTTACATTACTTTTGAAATTGTTTCTAAACTTTATGATTTATTGGAAATTGTTTTAACATTTCTTAAACTTGGACTTATTTAGGAAATCGTGTCTGTAAATTGGGTTTAAGAAATAATTTCTGGCCTCCACAACTAAAGGAGCCAAGGCACTCCCCAAGATATCATATGTTATTCCATGGCGATCCATGGTATTTATGAAATTTATGAGGTTTTAATAAATATGTTCATGCTCCACGTGACGCGCATCCGGCAAGGACAGCGGCTCAGCAGATATCATCAACATCTGAGGTGAAAACTCCACCTCCAAGATCCTGGTAATGCAAAAGGCCTCATTCGTTCCTGGTTTCATGGTTTATTTTCAAACATATTATATAAACTAATACTAAACTAATACTAAACTATACTAAACTGGGATTATGAGCTCTTTACCAACGGAGTTGACGAACGTTTTGGACAGTTTGTTTTTTTTTAATTGTATATTTTGGAGGTGTCAGGATCTCTCCTGATCCTCACATGAGGCCCCTGGTGATGGATGTCACTGGGAAGTTCGAAGGATGGCCGTTACATGCCACGGCCCCGTTTCACTTGCCCGCCAAACTCGCCATGCTCAACGGCATGGCGGCGTCCAGGTACCCCGCTGAATCGCGTGGGAATTTGGCAAAGTAATTCTGGTGAATGCAAAGTCTGACTGCAGATTTTTGAATTTTTGTGGACTTCAAACCCATTTGAATCACCATTCTGTTGTGATTCCCATGCCGTATTTTTTTTATAGAAGGAAAACTGGACAGTGACTCCAAAAAATGGTTCGTCATGTTGATCAATTTCGCCAGAACTACAGTTTTGGCCGCAAACGCATAGGTGTAAAGCAAAGCTTCATCAACTAAACTTGCTTCGAGCAGCCCTGACGTCAAACGTTGAAGTCGTTTACAGTGAGTTTTCAGTGTTTTTTTTGATACTCCTCGCTGCATTGATCAGTCGGCTGCTTGAAGACTTAGTCTTCCGTTGTCAGTCACATGTCTCCAGCTAAAAAAAACTTAGTCTTGAAAGTGGATTCAGTACCGTAAACTGGGACAGTTGGATCCATGATTCGTAACATCGTCAAACAGCAATCAACTTTTTTGAAGGGTGTTTTTTCTCCAACAATTTGCAATTTTTTTGGCCAACATGGTGGTGCGACCATGTGACTAAGTTTATAATGATTTTCGTCGCACGCGGTCCGCTGACATCCCAACTGGTTGTCCTGTAACCACGTGCGGCGGTCATTTGCCCAGGTTCCATTGGGCAAGCTGAGGTTTTAAATACTCTACTAAATACATCCCTTGGGATTACTGCATGACTGGGGGTTCCAAAATGAGTCACTTGGGACATCTTGGTAGCATTTTAGAATGTATGGTTGGGACTGACCTTGTGGTACCACGATTGATAAAACATGATATGATTCATACACGGTTGTGTCAAAAATTGCAGGACGAGTCTACCTTACGACACACACACACACACAAGCACACCGCACACAAGCACACACAACACAGAGTCGTCTTGCATCATGCGCACCTATGGGTACGCCAGGGGAACAAGAGTTTCCAAGAGTTAAGTACTTATCGCAAGAGTTGGACCACACATTTGGCATCGAACATATCCAACTGATTGCAACTGGTTCAATATTCTAAAAGATTGGAAGGAAATTGAAGAGTGACAGTGGACCAACCCTTGTGATTGAAATTGGCATCTTTGATATGCTCCATTTCCTAGATCTTCGTGGAAAAGGAACCCTGCAGCTGGCATGGAACATTGATGCTGCGCTGCGTAGCCCAAAAGCATACCGGTATTACTGGGAATGAACACCTATCTCCAGCTAAGAGGTATGGCGAGGTCAGGAACAAGACACAGTTCGCATTCTCAGTCGCGAAATCGTTTTGCTGTCGCGTCATCAGTTGGTTCAAAATTACGGAGAGGGGCGATCCGTGCCACGCAGGACCGGGACTCTTGTGCAGTGGCTCACCGACGCTATATCTTGCTATCGTCGCCGTACATCCAAAGTATCCCAAATTTTCTACAATGGGTGAAAATTGGGTGAAACATCTTGAAACTATTGATATCTATTGATATCTATTGATATCTATTGATGTCCAAATATGAAGGAGCCCCCCAATTGGTGGTCTGTTCTGGCAGCAGATTGGATCATTTTGCATCATGTTATTCTGACACGAGCAGGAAGCAAGATGAAAGGCTGCGGTTTGTCCAGAGATTGAGCTCTTTCTCCATCTGGCGTGTAAATTATCCGAAATTATGGGGATAAGGGATTTCACCAACAGAAATGCTGAGAAGCAGTATTCCATCAAACATCATCAAACACACTTCGACTTGGATTAACATGGATTAACCAATTGATTAACCTCCATTTTCGTGATGTTTGTTGGATTTATGATCCGGAAGAAATCCACCTTTTGTTCGACAAGCGCCTCCTTGTCTCCCCTGTGCACCTGTGCAGGCAGATCGCGGTTGAGCGCTCTCCTGCTTGTGCCCTGACAGCGACAGAATTTCCCAAGGGATTGGTGCGAAGATCGAAATGACACCAATAGAATGGATTATAATATATATATATTATACATATATAGAATTATTTATATGTAACAATGTATATGGAGTAACCAGTCGTGTCTACTACGTATATGTAGATGTAAATGATTGTGATATTTACAATATAATATGATATATATATATATGCTATTATATATATATAGATATGTTGTAAGTTGTACTTGTTAGTGGGCCAAAGTAAAAAAACAACAGCAACATGCTTATTCATCCATGTTCATCCAAGCAATTGATGACAGGTTCTGACATATGCTGGCCTCAGCTTCATCCAATGCACGTCTTGGCCTTGGAAAAGCCCAATGGCTGGAAGATGCTGAAAACTGCCCAAAATCTCGACGCTTGGTGCTGAGGCCCCTGATGGGTCCAAAGTCCACGTCCATGGCAGGTAGATGGGTGGAAGGCAGGTCACTGGAAGGTCACTGGAAGGCTTCATTGGGTAGCGACATGAACCGACCTACTTTGCGGCCCCGATCCATCCAAGTTGTGGGATAATACTTCAGCCATTTTTTGCAAACCGAAACAGGTTGATGGTTGTCGAATATTTGAATCCCGCAATGCTTTGGGTGATGTTTCCATTTTACATTTTCCTTGAGTGGCGCCGTGCTGGATTTGGTGAGGTTCTGCGAAAGCTCATGGCCGAGTACCTGATGTGGCCAGTGTCGACCTTGGTGCATGTCAGTTTGAGGAGTTGCAGACGGCAACTGGCAGTACATACCCTGGCAAAGAAAAACAAGACACAGCGAAAAACTCCAGCATGGGGTGATTTTCCAATACCCTCTGGTAAACTAACATAACTATGGAAAATCACCATTTTCAATGGGAAAATCCACTATATATGGCCATTTTCAATAGCTATGTTAAATTACCAGAGGGTACTGAAATTGTATTGTCAGAATGTGGGAAATACTTGGAAATACCATGGTATATCCTGATGAATACTGCATGGGTAAACCATGGTAAACTCAGACACATCATCAATATAGTTGGGTTATATCATATCAGATAAATTTACTAATTACGTACATCATCATACATCTATATGGAAGTGTATATATGTATGTATATATATATATATATATTATAGGTAAACTAGATGTAAACTAGGTCAACTCATATCCATTTTTACATCTCCGATTCGTTTTTCGGGTTCCGTTGGGTTCCCCGTGGCGTTTTTTTTGACGGATCAGGAGGCGATGGTGACAATCCAGTGGTCATCCCAACGATCTTAGCGTCCTTGGCAGGTGGCGCAGCTTGCTGCGCGGTGGATCCGGTGCTTTTTCTGTTTGGATATTTCTGAATGGATCACTTTGGATCAACAGCAACATGTTTTGATATATGGAAAACAGAATTCACAGAATATTTAATATGTTCTTCATATATTAATGTTTAAATCAATGTGTTCTGATGTTTATTCCGTTTGATGATTTTCTTTGATGTTGTTGTTCTGATTGTTCGATGCCTCCATTGAACCACGCGACTTGGGAATGGACCACGCAGGTCTGGCAGTTGGTGTTGCCTTTGCACGGGCAGTGGAAGTTGCAGGAACCGCTTCTCAGGACAGTACGCCGGTGATCCGATCGAATGGAACCCAGAGGTTACCCTCTGGTAATGACTAACAGTTTGCTATTGAACATGGTGATTTATAGTGAGTTTTCTCATTAACAATGGTGATTTTCCATAGTTATGTAACAAATTACCAGAGGTTACCACCGGTTTTTCACTTCCGACAATGGCCCATTCCACAATGGACACAACGGTTGTGGTCCACTGGGCAAGCTGCGTCAGGAGCGTGGCAATGTGAGTGAAGGCCTAAAGGCAGCGCTGAGTGCAGATGCAGGTGGGGCATTTTCAGTTTGCGCAGGAAGTTTGGAACTTAAGGCATCTTAAGGCAATGTATACAGAACACTGAGAAACCAAAAAGTTAACCTAGATGATGGTTCCCTGTCAATCCAATGGTTTGGTTGAAACTTTTTGACGGATAACAGATGTTGTCCACGGATATCAGGCATGGAAGATGTGGAAGATGATGAGTCCAACAAGCAAAGCGTGCTGCTGCCACTGGTTATGCGCCAAGGGGAGTTGTTCTGGTTGCTCCATGAATGGCTTGGCGATCTTGGCGAACGGCTCAAAACCTCGCGAATTGCCATACTTTGGAGTTTGGTGTGAAGAGAAGGGTACCAGGGGTTTGAAAAAGATGGCCAAATATTTTTCATACTCAGGTGGATGAGGAGTGCAGAAATTTGATACATTCCTATTATAAACAGCCTGCGATCATGGTGTCATGGTTTCTGAGACAATCAGAATATAGTAGAAAGAATAATGCGTATGCATCGTTAGTAGCATATGATATCATATCATCACACAATCTCGTATTTCCCATTTTCGTCATATGGGGATGAGTCAACAGCTATGAATTTCAGATGTGGTCCGGCTCATACTTTTTCAAGCATTTTCCCTCTCACTCTGGTGGCATTTTGGTTAGATGGCTATTTCATAACTTACCACTTTCATGATTTTCAGATATGGGTATGGATCAATACCTATTAATACCATTTTTAGTGGGATGAACATCCATAAATCCCAGCTATTTTGATGTTCACTACAGGGGTACTATTGGTTTTGACACACTGCCATATGATTAGATGCCTTTAAAAGGGTTATGGTAAGGTTATTTAAACCTCCCATTGTCATTGGATTTTCCGGAGGGTTTTTTCCGCCAGGAACTGCTGGAGAGCATGCGGAAGGCGCAAGGCATCTCCACTGAGGAGGCCCGGACATCATTAATACAAGGCATCTCCACTGATGATACTAATAAATGGGTGTGTCTGAAAATAGTGTACCCCTTTTTACCCAATGGTTTTGCTGATCATTATCCCTATTAAATGGCTATTTGTTTGGGAATATACCCTATTTTCAGACAAACCCAAATACAAATAAGTGATATAACTCTAGCGATTATAATTATATAATTCCTGTGATTTCTATCGATGAGATATTGACTATAAGTATTTTTGGTTTTCTTTTTGACTTTGGTTTAGCTTTTAGACTTTTAGACGACGTTTCGAAAAATGGAACGGCACCTTGTTGGCCCGTGCTGGTCCAAGGATCAGGTGAATTGTCACTCCTTCAGGTGAAGAAGCTCAAAAAGGCCAAGGTGGAAGAAGATGATGGCTGGTGGCTTTGCCGCAATGAAGGGCTAATCTCTACTCCCCTACTAAGTGTCAAGCACCATGACCAACTCAACTCACGAAAACACACTTTCATTAGATGCGATTGAAATCACCTGATGACAGTTGCTGAAATCCTGCTACTTGCTGCAGGTAGCGCTGGTCTTACTTGAGAAGGCGCTCTTGTCTCACTCCATATAGTTTGAAAAGCAAGAAGCAATGGGCTCACACCGTGAGATACAAGAAACCGATGAACCACCCATGCAAATCAAAGAACCAGCCCCAATTAAAAATGTCTTCAAAAACACCTCATGCTGCCAGCTGCTAGCATCATCAACCATCTTCTCATACCTTCTCCATATGCATTTGTTCTCATTCCATGATTCTTGGGATCATTTTGAACCGCAAATTGCTGATGTCTGGCGCTTCGCGCCGATTCTTGCGCCCGGGCCTAGCGGTGCCGCGACTCCGCGCCGCCGCCATTGCCCAATTTTCGATGCGCAACCGATTAAAAGAGTCTCAGGGTGAGACATTGAAACGGCAACTGGAGGCTACAAAATCTACTAAGATAGGAGGATGTGATCACAAAAATTGGGGATGTTGTCATCCCACTATTTTTGTTCAGGGATTGGTGCGAGACTTTTTGAATCTGATCTGGCGCAACCTTGTCTCGGCGTGGTTCAAGTTTCAAGGTGCTTGCCAGCCAGAACACTCTCCGGACATTTGCCAATCAGAACACCTACCTACGTCCTAAACAACCCATTGGTGCTTGTTTTCCCGCACTTTATTTCCACCCGACATCAAACCTCGAGCCAAGCACACAGCAGCTTCGACACAGTGGTCATTTCCTGCGGAGAAACACCCCAACCTTCCAGGCGTTTTGGAGAATTGGCTGACCATCTCCACCCCAAAAAGCAACGCAGAAGATCTGGTCCCAGAGACCCAGGGGTGCCACCTTTCGGTCATGGTGTTGCCACAAGCAGTGTTGAGATCTGCGAGTCAGGGGTGCGGAGTCCCAGATGACGCTAATGAAAACCTGGATCTGTACAGAGGAAAGATGCACCAACCATCACTGCTGACGTGTAGTTCACCATTTCGAACGGCGAATATCGCTTGGGAAACACACGATTTGTGATATGGGTTGTCCAAAGATGGGGGATATTGGGGAGTCGTAGCACCAAAAGATACCAAAAGTAGCCATTGCAATTGGTGACATGTGGAGATTTCCTAACATATGGGTACGCCAAGCCAGTTTTCCATAGTTTTCCATTGACCAGCCAGTTTGGATGATTTTGGGATAGCAGCCTGATTCTATTAGGAACGCTCCATGTACCATTTGAATACATTTGATTTTTGGGCCCAAGGCCTGCCCTGGTGGAGCTTAAGAATGGCGACTCCTACACTGGAACCTTGGTGGCGGTGGACAATTTCATGAACATCCGATTGGAGGCAAGTGGGTGTCTTAAAAAATAGGGAGATACCGTGGATATACCACCCACATGGAGGGTTTTCTAAGATTCTGAAGTGGATTCTGGAGGGGTATGTTTTAAGACAAAGCCAAGTGGTCAACTTAAATGGGAGCGGTTGTTTCATGTTGTTTCAATCGTGGCCAGGATGCAGTCTTCACACCTCGAACTGAGCATAAATTCGAGCACATGAAGGAATGCACCATTCGAGGGCAGTTCGTGATGAACTCAGCGTGCCGACTCAGAAATTCTGGAAGTGATGAAGGTCAAGTCTAGGACCTAGGATCCATCATGGTATGAGTGTAATTACAGGTAATTACTGTATATGTGATTATAAAATTGCACGTTTGTGCTATGTATGATTATGTATGTATGTATGTATATATATATATAATTATAGTTATATATACATACACAGTATATTTATCGTTTACATTTTGAAATGAACACTTGAACTTTTGTTAGTCACAACCAATCCTATCCTTTGGCATCTGGGATGTCTCTCAAAAATTCCTCCATGTCCAGCCCAGGTGAAATTCATCCGCTTCCCGGACAACATCCTAGATCGCCTAGACCTCAAGGGACCCTGGGACCCTGGGTGGAGCTTGGGGGACGTCATGGCTGAGGTGTGCTGGCCACACAGGAGGCAGCTCTGGGAAGGCTGGGATGATAGAAACATCAGGGGATCCAGCGGGTTGTAAAGGTTATAGTCTAAGTCATAGTATGTTATAGTACATCTATGGGTGAATTATACTACTGGATACAAACTGTATAGAACTCCAGATGACAAAGGGATGGAGTTGTTTTTCCAATTGAAGGCGTAAAAAAAACATGTTTAACATGGCGAAAAACATTTGCGCTTTGGAATGCATGTGGGATGCTATGATCAGTTATGCTGTAGGCTATTGGACCCTATTTCACAGCACCAACTGTGGAGCCTGGCTGCAGGAAAGGCCGCGGCAAGGAGGGCAAAGGACCAAAACCCGACGATGTCAACAAGATGCTAAGTGTGCCTTGGTGGCAATCGCTGAAGCATTGTTTGGATGGAAATGGAGGTTTCCTAAAGTGGGTGGGTGCCCCAAAATCCTGGCATCCTTGGGTTTCAATATGTTTCAATCCTAAAATGGTCTAATGACTTGGATGATTTGGGGTAGCCCTATTTTCGGAACCCCCAATTTTAAAGGATTGCCAAAATCATCAACTCCCAACTCTGAATAACTCAGGTCCCTTCCTCTCTGATTGGAGCCATCATCGGCCGTGGTGGGGAGACCATCAAGCGTTTCTGCACTGAGAGTGGTGCAAGGATCGAGGCAGGCTGTTGGGCTGGCTGTTGCTGTTCCACTCGTTTCCAGAATCTCCCTACAGATTTCAGATTTCAACAGATTTCAACAGAGGCTTGCGAACATTTCCAGGTGGATCCACCCAATGGGTTTGGTGGGACCAGGTGTCCAAAGATCAGATTGACACCGCGCAAGAAAGGCCCGAGCTCTCGGGGCCCAGCAACTCACTCGGCGAATCTCCCATGGGTGATTTTAGTAACAGGAAGTACATGTAATTACTACAACCAAGATGGTAGATATTTGTAGTATATATATATATATATGTGATACATATCATAAACATACACATATAGTCATTATGTATATATATATATATACACATTATGTGTATATATATATATATATTATAATATGTACTAATATACCCGGATGAAGCGTTGCCCCAGGGTGATCTTCCTTTCCGGTTCTGCGGAGCACGTGGACCGGGCAGAAGCCATGATCAGCGACTTCGTCCGGGAGCGGTTGGGGTGATCTGGGGGAGCCGAATGATTGGAGTCCATCTGGATGTGTTAATGGAATATATGGAATCCATTGGTTAATTCAGATTAATCATCATAGTCCAAAAATTGGCAATTCTCTGGACATCTCCCTTTTCAGGTGGCCAATCGCGCCAGAGGCAGCGGCAAGGGAAATCAGGCAGGAAACCGAAACCGCAGTGCGGCCAGGTGTGCCGTGGTCAACAAAACGGCAGGTTTTTGGCATGGGATGGTGATGACATCATTTCTGGATATTTTTGAGTATTGTCACAGTGTTCTGTACATTGACATATTTATTTCTGGCCACTACAGGGGATCGTCCAGATCAAGCTTGTATGGCCATATTGTATATATACCGCATGTGAGATCTTTCGACGGCACGTACGGCCACTTCCCACTTAGAACTGAGCTGCTCTCTGACTTACGAGCATGTTGTAAGCCGGGCTGACACAACTCCATAGATGGTACCAACAGTTAATTGCTGGCAAGTGCTTCCACAGAAACAAAATCATCAAGGTTTCAGGCTGGTTACATCCTGCAGCACCACCAGAACCGACAGGCCGAAGGCCGGCGTTCCGGAGGACAAAGACATGCTGGGCGCAGCTTGGCGAGTCGTTGTGATCTGGGTTTGGTTGTTGCGGTTGGTTCCTGGCTGTGTCTGATACCATGGAGGCCTCACCATGGGGTGATTTTTTCCAACGGATGAGGTTGGATGATCACAAGATGAGCCCAGCATCCCAGGTGGAAAGGGTGGCAAAAAGGGCGGCGGCAGCGCTCCCACAGGCCAGGAACTGCGATGCTGCAGTGAAGGTTGGATGGGAATGGAGCAATTTTTTCTATTCCAAAGTCTGAAACCCAAAGATTTTCTGGTAAATGGGAATAGTCGGAATAGTGTATTTTGAGACTGGAAACTGGTTAGAGAATGTTGGGGACCAAAATCCTCAGATTTTTTTGTTATGTCATCAAACCAAGCCATCAGGCGGAGCTATGGACAGATTGGAGCCGATGTCGTGGAAGGCTCAGATGACAGCCAGCAGGCTGTGGTGAGGGACTGTACCAGTGGTCAGCCCAATAGGAAACGAAGTTATTTGAAGTTTTTTTTGAACATATTGAACGACGACCTAATGGCACAAGACCTGGAAGATCTTTGAAGATGATTCTCCGTCAGATGGTTCCACATGATGGAAACATATTCCAGATGGATCTCTGAAGGAGTCCAAACTCGGACCAGAGGAATTGCCGCTGGCCTGATTTCGGCATTTTTGCGGGTCCCGGCCACTGAGGATTCCGCTGGGACCTTCATTCAGTGTGTAGCCAAAAAAAGATGGCAGTAAGATGCAGAAAGGTTTGTTTGATCACCTTCATGGCGGTTGATCATGTTATGGGTCGAAATTGGGTACTGTACCCCAATGATAAATAAATGGTTGGTTTATGGTAAACAGTGACCTGGCTTTCTTTATTTCAACCCATACCTATGGTTGATCATGTTGGCTCAGAGCACGTGCTGCCACACTCTGTCACAACGCCGCGTTTGGCTTTTAGCTACATTAGTTCACGTTTCAGTTTGCAATCTCTCAGTATTCTCAGCAAAAGATTTCAAGTGTTCACCGACTGTAGCACTGATCTATAATCATAGTTTTACGGTATTTCTATTCATGGTATCAAAAGATCCATCTCAGCCATCTCCAGGATGTCTATTCCCGACCCAAAATTGATTCCTTCGCAGGAAGCCATGAGCTGTGGCCTTTGGCCATGGCTGGCTTTCCTGTTTGCTGTGGGGGCCAAAAGCTCCAGAATACCTCAGCAGATTTTTACATATTGGGATACTCCGTCCATCCCTTTGAGCGTGCAAGTGACCATCAATACCTGGCAGCGTCAGAATCCTTCCTGGCAGATCCATGTTGTTTCTGGAGAAAATTTGGAAGATTTCCTGAGTTCTGAATCTCTCAGCTCTATCCGAAGTCCTGAATTTAAAGACTTCATGTCCGTCCTGGGTCCAGCCCACATGAGTGACGTAATACGGGTGGAACTGTTGGCTGAGAAGGGTGGCGTATGGTTGGATGCCACAGTGGCAGCAACAGAAGGCTTTGACAAATGGCTAGCGCACGTGGATGAAAGCAGCGCCTGCTTACACATGTTCGACCTGGATTTCCAACTGTTGGAGGCCAAATCGATCAATCTGAGGCACGGATTTCTAGGGTAAAAAACCGGTGGAAACAGAATTTTCAAAGTCTAAAAACGGATTTGCATGTTGGGTGGAAGATATTGAACGTATGTAACACGTATAGGATCTAGGTACCCAATCTCGATTTTCACACCAAAAATCTCTAGGATCCTACGGCTTCCAATGATAGATTTTGGAGAGATATTTTCCCATAGGGTATGGGTCTAAGAGTCTAAAATGGTACGACCCTGAAGAACCACATTTTTTTTAGATTTTTTTAGTCTTAACCATCCAATCATGATCTTCCATAATATCTTCCATACCTTCCATATCTTCCAATCTTCATCTACCCATCCAATTAGTCAAAATTGACCTCATCCTGCGACCCTGGGACCCTGGGATTCATTGGAAGATATGGAAAGATATTAATCGAAAGATATATGGAAAGATATATGGAAACATCCAATTCGATTCATAAAATCATCATCATCTTCCATGTTTCCATCCATTTTTCCATCCATTTTTCCATCCATTCGGAGGAACAGCAGCAATTGGAGGTCGCACTTTTCGGATGGCCACCTGCTGGTGGATCCCGCACGAGAACCGGTGCGGATCCCCGAGAACTGGGGCTTTGCCACGGAAGCCAACTGCCACGCGGTGGCCTTGTGGAGACGGCAGCTCTGGGGACTGATACGCCATCCTGGAGGAAGCTATGGGATATGGGAAAGATCTATGGAATTTCATATGGAATTCACTCCGTATCCCATGAATCATGGAATGTCATGGCTCGGGAAAATGCCAAGTATTGGATATGAATAGATTAGGGGAAATCAAGTTTCTTTTTGAATATCCAAGGTTTGGGGGCATACGGAGGGATGTGAAGGGTCAGAACGCAGTTCGCGGTGAGTATTAGTCATGGGTGGATTTTTCTGCTGGGTATGGCCATCCCTGGGTTCCAGTATGTTCCGATTCTTGTTTCTTGCTGGTTCAAATTTGTTTATTTCCAACAGTTACGCCATTCCCAAAAAAGTCCCATAGTGATTCAATGATGTCTCAGAATGATGGACTTCCAATTGGGGATGGTGAAGTCTCCATTGTGGCCCCTTTGTGACTCCCCCGTTTTTGTGTTGATTCCTTTGTGACTCACAGGAGTGGAAGGAGTTCTTCAAGATGCTCCTTCCATGCATCCATCCTACAGGCCTTGGACCTACGATATCTACGATTGACGACGAAAATCCCCGAGGAAAACTACAGTTGTACATTTCAACATATATTGCGAACAATGGGTCACTTGGTCCCCCAGTCATGATGGCGGATCTTACAGCGGAACTTAGTTTACTTGGGTCTCACAAATCCATGAAATCCAAGAGTGCAGCTAGTTAGCTAGTTATCTCCAGTTGAAAGAACACATCAACCTCAACCTCAACAACAACAACCACAACCACAACAACAACCACAACAACCAACAACCAAAAATCAACAACACCAACAACCAACAACCAACAACACCAACAACCAACAACACCAACAACCAACAAAACCAACAACCAACAAAACCAACAAAACCAACAACCAACAAAACCAACAACCAACAACAACCAACAACAACCAACAACAACCAACAACAACCAACAACAAACAACAACAAACAACAACAAACAACAACAAACAACAACAAACAACAACAAACAACAACAACAACAACAACAACAACAATAACAACACCAACAACCAACACCACCAACAACCAACAACACCAACAACCAACAACCAGCAACCAACAACCAGCAACCACCAACAACCAACAACCAACAACAACCAACAACAACCAACAGCAACCAACAACAACAACAACAACAACAACAACCAACAACAACCAACAACAACCAACAACAACCAACAACAACCAACAACAACAACAACAACAAGAACAAGAACAACAACAACAACAACAGTAATAACAGTAACAGTATGCAGATCGCTGCCTAAGTTGCATCTGCTGGTGTAGGAGATGGCTGTCGCACCTTGTGACTGGCTCCTATGCTTTGTGGCTGGCGATTCCCGAAGCCTCACGGGAGAGCTATCATCTGCTTCCAGCAGAGGACTGGGCCTTCAAGCACTTGGATTACATGCCGGCGCCCTGGCTGTTAGGCGCGGGCTGGACGGCTGGGTATGGCTGGGTGGTGCTTCCCCTGTTGTTGAGCACACCCCTATATTAGGATCTATTCTAAAAACTTGGGGTGTAGTAGGGAGGTGTTTAAGATTAGGGGAATTGGATTTGATGTTCCCCTCTTTACTAAGTATGCTCAGTGGAAGATGATGCAGGTTGACTTAAATTTCCCGCCTGCACCCCGCCCAGATCCAAACATCAGACCTCCCAAAGTTCATCTCCAGACCAGTGACATCTTCAAATCTTCATTTTGAGTACTCCCCAGTCCTTGTTGTTTGGGATCGTTGTTTGGGATCCTTTGAGTCAGGCCCCTCATTGCCACTGGATTACTTCACGGACTATTCGGGCGGTGCCATGTTCGCCTTGGCGCGAGCCAAAGAGGCGGAGCCCGGACCCCCGCAGCTGGGAGCCCTGATGAAACTCAGGCGCTTTGATCGCTGCGCGCTGAATGCCATTGTGGCATATCGCAGCTATGCAGGTCATGGTTCTGAAAGGAGAAAAAACCATAGAGCTGGTGTTTTTTTCGTGATGAACGAGTGTCTTCTTTCTTCTTTGCTCATCTGCAAACAGCAAATAGATGGACTTTTTCTGTCCAACTTTTGGTCATTGACACCCTGCAGGTTCCTCTCCTCTGGCCGAAACTTATGCTCTTCCCATGGAACCTCGCTGGTGGCCGCCTAGTGTAGGAGAAGCCCTGGCAGCCTTCGAAGCAAACCATTGTGGGACATCAGACCGTTGCTGGGTGGAAAAAAAATATCGGGAGTGCTTCGCAATTGTCCAGCCACGGAAACGGGAAGATGTATCATTTTTGTGATTTTATGTTGATTTTGGACATATTGTATTTATGATCATTGGTCCATTGGTAATATTTTGAAACAACCATCCGATTCGCAACGGTAATATGATGTAATATTTGATGATTCGTAAGTTTGGAAATATCAATTGATGACTCAATATTTGGATCACCTTATGGAACTATTACCTTTTGGAAATATCACAGCATATCATGGATCACCTTCTTGATATCCCCATTTGATGCACAGCAATTTTCTGGATGGGATTTCACCGTCCCAGGTTTTCTGCTGTTCTTCTTTGCGTCGATGCGCATGCTTTGTTCGTGCATCTTCTTCTGCCACTGGATTGCATGTTGGAGTTATTTGACAGCGACATTAAGGGGGGTTCTAGGTTCTAAGTGTTTGTTTTTAGATTTAGGATAATTTAGGTTTCTTCCGCCATCTTCCGCCCATTTTTTTGGGGTCAACTTTTCAAAACATTGACTAGTGGGGTAAACCGCCATAAACTACCACCCAAAATCACCATTTAATTTTATGGGTGGTTTATTTACCATCCCCTTAAATGGTAGGTTTATGTGGGCTTTACCACCTTATATCACATTATATCATATAATTATCACATTGTCATGGGGTTTTTGGCCCCTTTTAGGACCATGTAACATGACCCCGAAATGGCTGGTGAATGGGATGGGAAGGTGACGGTTATGATTGGCACCGCATGTTTTACCAAGCCAGGTAACGACCATCCCTGCTTGATGGTGGCCATATGCGTCACCTCTCTTCGCCTCTGCCGCTTCTACATCCAAAGTTTGGCGCGGAAGTCGATCTCCAAAGAGAGATGACCAACGGGAGCTTCAAATTGGTGGGAACCATCCCGCATTTTAGCAGAAATAATATCACACATAGAGATACAATGAAAATTGGAGGTTTATTACTGGGTTTAGCCGTTAGCAGACATGGTACGTTGTGTGGAAGTGGTTTCAAAATGTTTCAAATACGTTTCACGGAAAAGAACGGGATTAAAGATGATTCAATCACCATGAAATGTGGATATAACTGCTTAAGGTTAGATTTGTGGTGGTGAATATCTAACAAACATAGGGGTGTATGATATTATTTCGTTTTCATCCTAACAATGGACCAATCCCCAAGGATTTCCACAGTTTCAGGTGTGAGGCTCAACCACCAACCAGCAAAGCATGTACTCACATTCCGATACTGTTTTAATGCAGAGAGTTAATGGACCTCGGGGTCTCAGTTGACAATTCAGAGCTAGAATCAGCATGTGGCACTGGTTCGAAGCCAGCAGCATCGATTCCAAAAAACAAGTCAGCCAAAAAAGACAGAGTCAAACGAGTGGTTGCCTGATTCATCTGGTTCTTGCACTGCAAACCGTGAGTAACAGTTGCGTCATTCACCTTTCCTGTGATGGCATGAAAGTAGACAGAAGGGAGGCCTGTTTTGTGATCAAGCTGGGGGCGCTGTTTGGGGAGATGAAACGAGCATAGTTGGGTTCAGTTCACATTTCTCCAAAGGAACCGAGATGTTGGACACACAACCACTTGCAGCATCCATCCATCATTTGTACTTCGACTGAATCCTTGCTACATGTCGCTTGGGCCTGATCTTTCGTGGCATGGAAACATCCTCTCTCGCACCTGCAGCTTCGGATGGTGCCCCTCAGAGATAGCGGAGACAGCGGAGACAAGATGTGGGAACTCGATGTTTGAACATGTTTTGAACCTTCACTTGAACTGGATGATTCTTTGATGGTTTTGACTTTCAAAGCATGTCAGTCCAGTAGGGGGAACAATGCCATCTTGAAACCCAAGAACTGGCCACCCAAACAAGAGATTGACAGGCCGAACGACTCTGACTGGACCTAGCTGCCTCAGGTTCAAGCTGCCTCTACCATCCAACATTGGGTACCCTCTGGTAATTTGTTACATAGCGAACTGGAAAATCCTCATTTTTCATGGGAAAACTCACTATTTCAATGGCCATTTTCCATCGTTTTTTGTATGTTTACCAGAGGGTATACGGGATCCAACTTGGCACTTGAGACATGATCTCCCACCTGGCTTTGGCTCAGCCATGCTAAACGGAGAAAAACCCAAACTTGGATGGTTTTGCACTAAGCATTGGCATTTTTTTTAGGTTTTTTTCCTATATATCATATATGTATATTAGATACATTTAGATACCCCAAGTCTTGAGAGCCACATGAAAAGTCCCCGAGTTGTTCCGACATCAAAGCAACAGCAATTTTTCGATCGCCCCATGACCGCCGCCAGCGGCCGTCGCAAATGCGGTTGATGGGTCCCATGGGTTTCACTGTACGGCGGGCATTGGGCTTATTGGTCATGTCGCCAAGCTGCGGCGGATGAGTCTTTTGGGATTTTAAGGGCACCCCAAAAGGGGCAGATTGGGTTCTTCAAAGATACCCTCTGGTAATTTGTAACATAGCGAACTGGAAAATCACCATGTTTAATGGGAAAACTCACTATAAATGGCCATTTTCAATAGCAAACTGTTAGTTTACCAGAGGGTATTTCAGCAGTTGGTTTGATGAAGTATATGTTTGCATGAAGTAAGATAAATGCAGTGGTTGCATTTCTGAAGCATCCTTCAACACCGTTTGCACTAATGTTTGCATTCTTTAACTCCAACCATTGCAGACCCACTGCCAGTGCCTGAGGTTTGTCGGCTACCAATTCTATTGCGTCCATCAGTCCTTGCATGAGCACTTCATGGAGGATGAGGTTGATGGCGGGTCATGGTTCGTAGTGGGTAGTAGTGGGTATGTTTATAACCCAATGGAATACTAATTTTGGGGATGGTTTTATTTAGATTTACCAATTTATGGCAAGATTGGCATTTGGGGTTAGTTTATCATTGAATTTGCATAAAAAAATTACCAGAGTGGCATATTTTTTGGCCTGCAAAATTTGCGCGAAGCAAGATCGCCCCCCTGCCCTAAAAAAAGTGACAGGTGACCATCCCGGAGGACTGGGTTCAAGTGTCCCCCACAGAGCTGGCCTTCTTCTTTCAGACCAACCAGGCGGGGCCATCTTGGTGTCGTGAGCTGAAACAGAACCTGACAATGGGAATCTCAGTGACTCAGTGACACTGAAGATACTGAAGATGATCCACCCATGGAAGAATCCTTCCATGGGTGGATCATCTTCAGTGTCAGTTGATCTTAGTGTTTTTTTGTTCGATGAAGATTTAATCAATCTCTGTTTCAAGGTTTTTTTAATCAGATCCTCCCAGGTGTCGCGCCGGATGGAGTTCTCCATCGCCACCGTTCGGGCGCTGCTCCCGGAGGCGCCCTTCTACTTGTTGAGCGACGGAGGACCCTCGCGCCTTGGAAGGGAAGGGTAGAGTCCGCGGCCAAAATGGCCGGAAGGCCCCGGGCACTTGAAAGTTTCTGCAAGTGATGCGGGGTTGAAAGATGTTTTTCCGGATTGTTTTTGTTAATTTATATGTGCGTGTTTTCCATATTTGTGCATCACTCTTGAAAATGGGTGACTCACATTTTCCGGGTAGGACTGACTCAGCCATCCCAGATTTGGTTTACGAGAGCTCCTACAGTGAACCTCCATATTTGCTGACAGTCCCATCATGGGTTCCCAGTAGATTCTACCTTGAATCAAGCCAACCAAAAACATCATCTTTGGGCACAGAATTCCAGTTATAAGTGGATCTAATCTGTGGTTATATCATGTTATATCCCAACATATCCCAACTTATGGCACATGGAATCCCATGGTTATACCCATTACCCCCCAATTTGGTGGTGAAAAATTGCATCTAAGGTTCCAAGAGGTGGCTGCCAAGTGGAACGTCTCCGCCTTTCGCTCGGTGGGGGTTGAGATGCCTTGAGGGTGGGGTAAAAATGGAGGATAGCTTCAAAATTGTCATTTTATATGGGGAAAATATGGGAATATGAATGATGATAAAACATCAAATTATACACTTTTTGCACATAAATGAAAGCTAAATCTTGAAGGATAAGTTACTTGCTCTGTGGGTTCAAAGTGGGGGAAGCAATGAGGGAACATGTGGTGAAGTAGCTTAGATCATGGACATGGCTGCTGGATGCTGCTGATAGGGCTTGTAGATCCTGGTCTGCAGGAGATGGCGATGCACTTGGCCAAGCTTCTTGGATGCAGAGGAGAAATGAAGGGTTGAGCACGCATCATTTGTCAGATGTTCAAACGTCAAACACCAGTGGCGACAAAGAAGATATACATATCACATACATCTATAATCCAGTTGCAGGTCCATTTTTTCGAGACTTGTCATCAAAGACAAAAATAGAACGTAAGAAACCGGCAATCCCAGCCCGGCCCCTTTTAAAAAGAGACCTCCGGCCCCGCCATCGAGGTATGCGAATCCCAATTTCACCTGCCATCGGCACCTGCATCGACTGGAAGAAGCCGCACGTTGGGCGGAAGCCCGAAACGCTCGGTACCTGACTCTTGGGCGAAAAAAAAAAGGGGCCAGGGGAATTCACCAAAAAAGGAGATTCAAGTAGTTACTATGTAGTTACTCAAGTTACTCCGGTGACCCCAGGGGACCCCAGGGGACCCCAGGGGACCCCAGGGGACCCCAGGGGACCCGGGCAACTAAAGTTAACTAAAGCCTCCAAAAACACCAGGAGTTCTTTTTCATGATCTCTGGGCAAGGGCCTAGTACCCAAGCTGTCTCTTTAGAGTGGCCTCATGAAAGGATCGACCGTCGTATCTGTGCACTGGCAGGATCTCTGTTTTAGAATCTCCAGACTTTTTAGAGGGGCTGGCAGGATCTCGAGAGAAGGATGTTTTGGATGTTTTCAGAGGAACTTCAAGATACTCTGATCGTCCTTTTCAAAAGGATCTCCTCAAGGATCACCGTACTCTCGGACCTCTCAGAGTAACACAGAAGCATCTCTACAAGGCGTTCTTATTCAAGACTCTATTCAAGGACCTTTTGACAAGAACCTCTTGGCAGGGACCGGTTAAAGGAACTCACAACATCTGTACAAGGACACATAGAAGAAACCGGCAAGATCTTTCACGGACGTGATCATGTGGCAGTACGTAGGGTGCTCATTTGCATGGGGCCACTGCACATTCGTAGGGTCATACGTTATCAAGTACCCTCTGGTAATTTAACGTAGCTATTGAAAATGGCCATTTATAGTGGATTTTCCCATTGAAAATGGTGATTTTCCATAGTGATGTTAGTTTACCAGAGGGTACTTGAAGTAGATGCAGCAACCTAGGCTACCGAAAAATCGCCCAGCCAAAGTCTGGGCAGTTGGCACCCGTCCCACAGACTTTGTGGCACTTTTGGGGGTTTGGGTGGGCCTGGGGTGGGGCAATAACGTTCTTTCTACTACATTCTTCACATAATGTTCTTGGTTTTCTTGGTTGTTGACCTTCTTTCGGTTGGGGTTTGGGTGGGCCTGGGGTGGGGCAATAACGTTCTTTCTACTACATTCTTCACATAATGTTCTTGGTTTTCTTGGTTGTTGACCTTCTTTCGGTTGGGGTTTGGGTGGGGTGGGGTGGGGCAATAACGTTCTTTCTACTACATTCTTCACATAATGTTCTTGGTTTTCTTGGTTGTTGACCTTCTTTCGGTTGGGGTTTGGGTGGGCCTGGGGGGGGGCAATAACGTTCTTTCTACTACATTCTTCACATAATGTTCTTGGTTTTCTTGGTTGTTGACCTTCTTTCGGTTGGGGTTTGGGTGGGGTGTGGTGGGGTGGGGTGGGGCAATAACGTTCTTTTTACTACATTCTTCACATAATGTTCTTGGTTTTCTTGGTTGTTGACCTTCTTTCGGTTGGGGTTTGGGTGTGGTGGGGTGGGGCAATAACGTTCTTTCTACTACATTCTTCACATAATGTTCTTGGTTTTCTTGGTTGTTGACCTTCTTTCGGTTGGGGTTTGGGTGTGGTGGGGTGGGGCAAGAACGTTCTTTTTACTACATTCTTCACATAATGTTCTTGGTTTTCTTGGTTGTTGACCTTCTTTCGGTTGGGGTTTGGGTGGGCCTGGGGTGGGGCAATAACGTTCTTTCTACTACATTCTTCACATAATGTTCTTGGTTTTCTTGGTTGTTGACCTTCTTTCGGTTGGGGTTTGGGTGTGGTGGGGTGGGGCAATAACGTTCTTTTACTACTCTTCTTCTTGGTTTTCTTGGTTGGGGTTTGGGTGTGGTGGGGTGGGGGGCAATGTTCTTCACTTGGTTGTTGACAATAGCTTTCTTTCTACTACATTCTTTACATAATGTTCTTGGTTTTCTTGGTTGTTGACCTTCTTTCGGTTGGGGTTTGGGTGTGGTGGGGGGTGGGGCAATACGTTTTTACTTACATTCTTACTAATGTTCTTGGTTTTCTTGGTCGTTGACCTTCTTTCGGTTGGGGTTTGGGTGGGCCTGGGGTGGGGCAAGAACGTTCTTTTTAGTACATTCTTCACATAATGTTCTTGGTTTTCTTGGTTGTTGACCTTCTCTCGGTTGGGGTTTGGGTGGGCCTGGGGTGGGGCAAGAACGTTCTTTTTACTACATTCTTCACATAATGTTCTTGGTTTTCTTGGTTGTTGACCTTCTTTCGGTTGGGGTTTGGGTGGGCCTGGGGTGGGGCAATAACGTTCTTTTTACTACATTCTTCACATAATGTTCTTGGTTTTCTTGGTTGTTGACCTTCTTTCGGTTGGGGTTTGGGTGGGCCTGGGGTGGGGCAATAACGTTCTTTCTACTACATTCTTCACATAATGTTCTTGGTTTTCTTGGTTGTTGACCTTCTTTCGGTTGGGGTTTGGGTGTGGTGGGGTGGGGCAATAGCTTTCTTTCTACTACATTCTTTACATAATGTTCTTGGTTTTCTTGGTTGTTGACCTTCTTTCGGTTGGGGTTTGGGTGTGGTGGGGTGGGGCAATAACGTTCTTTTTACTACATTCTTCACATAATGTTCTTGGTTTTCTTTGGTTGTTGACCTTCTTTCGGTTGGGCGTTTGGGTGTGGTGGGGTGGGGCAATAACGTTCTTTCTACTACATTCTTCACATAATGTTCTTGGTTTTCTTGGTTGTTGACCTTCTTTCGGTTGGGGTTTGGGTGGGCCTGGGGGGGGGCAATAACGTTCTTTTTACTACATTCTTCACATAATGTTCTTGGTTTTCTTGGTTGTTGACCTTCTTTCGGTTGGGTTTGCGGTGTGGTGGAGTGGGGCAAGAACGTCTTTTTATACAATTCTTCACATAATGTCTTGGTGTTTATGTGGTGGATTCTTTGCGGTTGGGGTTTGGGTTTGTTGTTGTGGTGGGGGGGGGCAAGCACGTTCTTGTTGACTAATTCTTTCAAATCAAATGTTCTTGGTTTTCTTGGTTGTGAAATTCTTCGGGTTGGGGTTGGGTGGGCCTGGAGGTGGGGCACATAAACGTTCTTTCTACTACATTTCAAAATAATGTTTCTGGTTGTCTTGGTTGTTGAATTGCTTCGGTATTGGGGTTTGGGGTTGTTTGTGGTGGGGTGGGGGGGGGGGCAATAAAACGTTCTTTTATACTAAGGTCTTCAAAAAATTGTTTCTTGGTTTATTGGTGTTGACCTTCGTAGGTTGGGGTTTGGTGGGTGTGTGGGGTGGTGGTGGCGGTGGGGCAGAGGAAACAAGAACGTTTTTTTAGTACATTCTTCACATAAGGTTCTTGTTTCTTGGTTGTTGACCTTCTTTCGGTTGGGGTTTGGGTGTGGTGGGGTGGGGCAATAACGTTCTTTCTACTACATTCTTCACATAATGTTCTTGGTTTTCTTGGTTGTTGACCTTCTTTCGGTTGGGGTTTGGGTGTGGTGGGGTGGGGCAATAACGTTCTTTTTACTACATTCTTCACATAATGTTCTTGGTTTTCTTTGGTTGTTGACCTTCTTTCGGTTGGGCGTTTGGGTGTGGTGGGGTGGGGCAATAACGTTCTTTCTACTACATTCTTCACATAATGTTCTTGGTTTTCTTGGTTGTTGACCTTCTTTCGGTTGGGGTTTGGGTGTGGTGGGGTGGGGCAAGAACGTTCTTTCTACTACATTCTTCACATAATGTTCTTGGTTTTCTTGGTTGTTGACCTTCTTTCGGTTGGGGTTTGGGTGTGGTGGGGTGGGGCAATAGCTTTCTTTCTACTACATTCTTTACATAATGTTCTTGGTTTTCTTGGTTGTTGACCTTCTTTCGGTTGGGGTTTGGGTGTGGTGGGGTGGGGGCAATAACGTTCTTTTTATACATTTTCAAATAAGGTTCTTGATTTTTTGGTTGTTGACCTTCTTTCTGTGGGGGTTTGGGTGGGGTTGGGGGGGGAAATAAAGTTCTTTTACTACATTCTGCACATAATGTTCTTGGTTTTATTGGTTGTTGACATCTTTCGGTTGGGGTGTCTGTGGGTGTGGTGGGGTGGGGCACAATAACGTTCTTTTTAATACATTCTTACATAAGGTCTGGTTTCGTTGGTTTGTTGACCTTCTTCGGTGGGGTTTGGGTTTTTTTGGGGGGGTGGGGCAATAACGTTCTTTCTACTACATTCTTCACATAATGTTCTTGGTTTTCTTGGTTGTTGACCTTCTTTCGGTTGGGGTGTGGGTGTGGTGGGGTGGGGCAATAACGTTCTTTTTACTACATTCTTCACATAATGTTCTTGGTTTTCTTGGTTGTTGACCTTCTTTCGGTTGGTTGGGGTTTGGGTGTGGTGGGGTGGGGCAATAACGTTCTTTTTACTACATTCTTCACATAATGTTCTTGGTTTTCTTGGTTGTTGACCTTCTTTCGGTTGGGGTTTGGGTGGGGTGTGGTGGGGTGGGGTGGGGCAAGAACGTTCTTTTTAGTACATTCTTCACATAATGTTCTTGGTTTTCTTGGTTGTTGACCTTATTTCGGTTGGGGTTTGGGTGTGGTGGGGTGGGGCAATAATGTTCTTTCTACTACATTCTTCACATAATGTTCTTGGTTTTCTTGGTTGTTGACCTTCTTTCGGTTGGGGTTTGGGTGTGGTGGGGTGGGGCAAGAACGTTCTTTTTACTACATTCTTCACATAATGTTCTTGGTTTTCTTGGTCGTTGACCTTCTTTCGGTTGGGGTTTGGGTGGGCCTGGGGTGGGGCAAGAACGTTCTTTTTAGTACATTCTTCACATAATGTTCTTGGTTTTCTTGGTTGTTGACCTTCTCTCGGTTGGGGTTTGGGTGGGCCTGGGGTGGGGCAAGAACGTTCTTTTTACTACATTCTTCACATAATGTTCTTGGTTTTCTTGGTTGTTGACCTTCTTTCGGTTGGGGTTTGGGTGGGCCTGGGGTGGGGCAATAACGTTCTTTTTACTACATTCTTCACATAATGTTCTTGGTTTTCTTGGTTGTTGACCTTCTTTCGGTTGGGGTTTGGGTGGGCCTGGGGTGGGGCAATAACGTTCTTTCTACTACATTCTTCACATAATGTTCTTGGTTTTCTTGGTTGTTGACCTTCTTTCGGTTGGGGTTTGGGTGTGGTGGGGTGGGGCAATAGCTTTCTTTCTACTACATTCTTTACATAATGTTCTTGGTTTTCTTGGTTGTTGACCTTCTTTCGGTTGGGGTTTGGGTGTGGTGGGGTGGGGCAATAACGTTCTTTTTACTACATTCTTCACATAATGTTCTTGGTTTTCTTTGGTTGTTGACCTTCTTTCGGTTGGGCGTTTGGGTGTGGTGGGGTGGGGCAATAACGTTCTTTCTACTACATTCTTCACATAATGTTCTTGGTTTTCTTGGTTGTTGACCTTCTTTCGGTTGGGGTTTGGGTGGGCCTGGGGGGGGGCAATAACGTTCTTTTTACTACATTCTTCACATAATGTTCTTGGTTTTCTTGGTTGTTGACCTTCTTTCGGTTTGGGGTTGGGTGTGGGTGGGGTGGGGCAATAACGTTCTTTTCTACTACATTCTTCACATAAATGTTCTTGGTTTTCTTGGTTGTTGACCTTCTTTCGGTTGGGTGTGGGTGTGGTGGGGTGGGGCAATAGCTTTCTTTCTACTACATTCTTTACATAATGTTCTTGGTTTTCTTGGTTGTTGACCTTCTTTCGGTTGGGGTTTGGGGTGTGGTGGGGTGGGGCAATAACGTTCTTTCTACTACATTCTTCACATAATGTTCTTGGTTTTCTTGGTTGTTGACCTTCTTTCGGTTGGGGTTTGGGTGTGGTGGGGTGGGGCAATAACTTTCTTTCTACTATATTCTTCACATAATGTTCTTGGTTTTCTTGGTTGTTGACCTTCTTTCGGTTGGGGTTTGGGTGGGGTGGGTTGGGGCAAGAACGTTCTTTTTACTACATTCTTCACATAATGTTCTTGGTTTTCTTGGTTGTTGACCTTCTTTCGGTTGGGGTTTGGGTGGGGTTTGGGTGGGGTGGGGTGGGGCAATAACGTTCTTTCCTTTACGTTTTCACATGACGTTCTTGATAGTAGGCTGTGGACCTTTTATATATCTTGTTACTACGCTATGTTCTTACATATCTTGTGACTAAGTTCTTGATACTATGTTATGGACGTTCTTACATATCTTGTTACTATGTTATTGATAGTACGCTCTTGATGTTAATCCATATCTTTTTATTACGTTATTTGACATATGTTGCAGTTTTTTTGCAGAAACTCCTGTCTTTGTTGACTGCAAAGTGACCAAATGCGTTCTTAAAAAAATTAGTTTGTTTTTTTGCCTTGAAGGCGTTCAAGTGTTAAACACTGCGAAACGTGACTCAAAATGATAATGCATTAAAGACCACCATTGGAAATCGTCCGAAGCGCAGGGAAATTTACATTGCTAAAATCCTTATAACACAGGAAACCTTCAAATGATCGCAATTACCCTGGGAAATGGAAGTCTAGAACGAAGAGACGTTGACAAGAGATACACGCCGCCACCACAATTCCACACGGCCAGCTATGGGACGGGAACCTGGGTAGTTAGACTGAAGAATTGAAGGAAGTTCCGTCAAGAAACTCAGGGCTACGCAAAGTCTCAGTAGCACCTTCTCATCACCACTGGACGCCAACACCTCTTCACATCATCACCGCTTCACACAATCGTCACTTCACATCATCACCGCTTCACACAATCTTCACTTCACATCATCACCGCTTCACACAATCGTCACTTCGCATCATCACCGCTTCACACCAGCACAGCTTCACACCACCAACGCTTCTTATCATCACCACTTCACAGAGTCATCACTTTGCATCATCACCACTTCACATTGCCACTACCTCACATCAACACCATTTCACATCCATCACCACCTCACATCAACTCACATCATCACCCGCATCATCACCGCTTTACAAATATAAAATCAATATATCAAAGTATTTAGTTTTATTTCAAACAGTTTGGAGTGTGTTGGCATGATGCATGGGAAAGCATGAGCATGTGAAGGACCTGCTTGCATTCGCACCGCGACAGCTCGACAATGCTGCTTGACGCCAAAGGCACTGCCAAGGTTGCAGGCTTTGGCATGGCTGTGCTCTCTGAAACTTCCACCTTCCACTCTGAAGTGGTCGGTGTGGTTGGTATCCAAGATGGTTTTCTACATCCTTCCCGCCTACCCCCAACACCACATGGGATAGCTATGGTCTCCCACGTGCCTCCCACTGACCCCCCAACATGACATCGGGATCGCCCAAAAAATGATTTTAGAGCCGTTTACATCATACCATGTTTTTTTGAAGGCGATCCCAATTGATGACATTGGCTTGGCAGCGACCGCCAAGAAAGTCACAGGGGAGGTAGTAACGTCACTCTTTGAACCTTTGTACCGTTCCCTGGGTGAAAAACTCAGCCATGGACAAAAATCATCAATCATTAGCCTCCACGTGCGGCCATCCTGTGTTTTCCTGATCGGTGTCTTACTTTTTCCCGTGACGTGTGCATGGGTCCAAGAATCAACGCGAGCGCCAGTCTACGCTTCAAGGAACCTTGTGAGCCCAACGCCCGTTGTGGAACATCTCCAGCTGCACCACTGCACTCGCCATTCCGTGTACTTTTGAAGTTTCCGAAGCCCGGAAAAAAATCGGAAAAAATCGGATGTGCAGCGATCTTTTGTGCCTATGGTTTCCGGATCATGTTCAAGAATGGGATGACAAAACAGGGTCACAATCCACTGCCATTGCTGAGGATGATTTGGGAAGAGGCTGCTGGGCTGCAGTCGCGGGCATTGTTGTGGCGGGGTTGACCAATATTCAAATTTTGGAATATGAGATCGAAGTATGAAGGATGGATGTGAAAAATGAGATCAATAGGGTATAACGTACATAATCGATGGGATAAATGTTTGAGAAACACCTCAATGTGCCGGACAATGTTTCATCGCATCTTTGTTTTCAGTTGTGCGCTGTGATCGTCGTTTACCGCCCCGAGGATACGCGCATGTTGAGACCTTTGAAGGGTTTTCCAGTTCCTTGGTGATGGAAAGGGTGGTGAATTGGAATTTTTCACCATCCGAAGAATCCGCTCACCGAACATGTCAATCTTTGTGGATCAGTTGGCAGTTGGTTCTACCCTCTGGTAAACTAACAGTTTGCTATTGAAAATGGCCATTTATAGTGGATTTTCCCATTAAAAATGGTGATTTTCCATAGCTATGTTAAATTACCAGAGGGTATATTGTTGAGACATATCCATGTCAGTATTGGTGACGTAAAGCCGAGATGTTTCCCGATTTTTTATCCAGCAGTTTGCAAAGAACGTTGGATTGTTATCCCAGGATGCGGACATGATCACCATGGGCAACATCAAGAACACTCATTGTGGCTGACCAGCATTGAGGTTTGGATGGCTGAAAGATCATCAAATATTATCATGACAATTGAATAAGATGAACCATGACTAAGATATGACAAACTATGATCTGATGATGAAATGGTATGAAACAATTCTAATCCCGTCCTCTTAGAACTATATTACATTACATATCCTCATATGGCCACCCAGAATGAATAGATCTCATACTCAACGGCAGTTCCTAGGGGACTCCAACATGTGCCAACTCTGCCAACATCACTTGTTCAGGTGGCGCCTTTGCACCCGGAAAGGTCGCCTTTTTGATGCTTGGCTTATGAGGTTGGTATGATTGCAGTGCCCTCAGCTGCAACCTATTTTGACTTGAGCCATAATGTGGTAGATCCGAGCAGCTTCGCAGCCTGTCATCCTGGCAATGCCCGGCCAAAGTGGACAACCCTACAAGCAAGTGGACAGCAAAAAAGTGAAGCTATACATCTCATGTCAACAGGTGGTTTGAGTAATGGACAACTTCGTATCCACACTCCCCTCTGGTCATTCTTGACCAGCCACCGATGAAAAAACTCAAAACTAATTTCCCAGCTGCAGCCTTTCAGACGTCGGTTACGTGGTTCCAAGCATCATTATCGGCATCTTCACCACCAACGACTCCCCAGCGTTCCAAGTCATCAACCACTGGGCGGGCACGATCCCTTGCCGTACCACGGCCATACCCAGGAGCCGGCATCTGCTGAGGCACTTGCTGCCGTCGCCCTTTCATAGCCAAGTTTCCATAGGGATCAGCTCGAACTTGTTTAGAAAGATCACCTCAAACTTGTTCAGGAGGATCACCTCCAACATGTTCAGAAGGATCACCTCGAACTCGATCAGGATGGTCATCTCCATTACCTCCAGGCACATTGAAAGATTTAACCCGGAAGAACGTCCAACCATTCCACTGGTCTTTCTGGGGGTCTCTTACAGCAGCCGTCCAACGATCCTCTAACACAAAGCGCTCCCCAGTGCTCTGGTTGAACCCCACTGTGACGCGGTCCAATTCCAGATTCTCACCCTGAATTGGTGCACTGCACCCTTGTGCAAAGGATGAAACAGACGCTTCCGCTGTTCCTTGTGGCTGCGGATCAACCAACCGTGACCTGGTACTCTGCCGCTGTCCATGGTTGAGAGCCACCACGTGGAGCTTCTTCGGATTGCTGAGTTGCCGGAGAAGCTCGCGGAGCCGTTGTAGAAACTCGCAAAGCTTTTACTGCGGCTCCTGATGCTCCACCATCTGGTCCATCATCAGGCGGGTCACGGCCCGGGTATAGTCACGAGGTTCATCTGCTGGACCCTCGTCCACCTTTTTCGCACGCCTTTGAGGCTCCTCAGTGGCAGGCTCGGCATGCTCGGTCGCCCTTGCATGTTCATCGCGTCGTCCAGGTTCAGCAGGCGGCCCGAGCTCCAGTCTACGAATTCCGGCTTCCAACTGTCGAGGCACTGAGAGAGCTCTTGTAGAGGCAGATGTTCTTCTACTCCACTCCTGCTCCTCAATCTCCCGTTCACATTGAACTTCAGCCGATCCAAAGTCTCATCGGTCGTCTGCTGCCCAGCTCGTCGGCGCTGCAACATCGACATGGCTCACACAGTAGCAGCGCGGTGGCTCATAACCTTGGGTTATGAAGCTGGTATGATTGCAGCGCGCAGCTGCAACCTATTTTGACTTGAGCCATAATGTGGTAGATCCGAGCAGCTTCACGGCCTGTCATCCTGGCAATGCCGGGGCCAAAGTGGACAACCCTACAAGTCAGTGGACAGCAAAAAAGTGAAGCTATACATCTCATGTCAACAGGTGGTTTGAGTAATGGACAACTTCATATCCACAGATCCGAAAGATGCTGGGTGTCAGAGATGGAACATCTGGCCATTTTAGCTTGGATTTGGATGGATTTAGGACATAGTATTTTGGTGAATGTCAAATGTTGTGGTCGTTTGGCACCTTTTACGGGGGACAACAATCATGGAGTGATAGATACGGGTATTGTACCCCATTTTGGACAAACCCTGGTGTGAATATGAGAGTACAATGTACAATCATGTCAAACCATTGGGACCCACTGAAACTAGATGAATCAAATTTGGTCGATGTTGTCCAGAAGTCCTTGCTTAATTTCATGGGATTAGTTACCAGCGGGTCTTTCCATCAGTCGCAAGATTTTGCTACATGTACTAGCACTATTTGGTTGTCTTCCAACAAAAATGGACCAAATTTCTTGATTTTGGGGGTTTGATACCCCAGCTTCGAAACCTCGAGGAAACCAGAGGAGATGAGTCCTGGCGACGCCAGACGGAAGAGGTGTGCTGCAACGCATGGGGGGACAAGATGATCCGAACAATTCGGATGATCCCAAAAAGGAAACTTTTGCGCCGGTGTAGGTGCAGCTACTGGTATCGAAAGAACACGAGGGTAACCTGAAATCTTCTGATACGGTGTTCTCTTCACATTGGAGATTACACCAATTGCAGGCAAGCTGCACGCTATGCAGCGAGAAGAGGCTTTTCTGCTGGACCTGCCAGTGCTGTGAAGAGCCCCGGCCGGCTTTTGATAGCTGTGCTAGCTTGGAAGTTGTTCAGTTCGATTTTACCCTGGGATTCTCCAAATTGAGAGCTCAGTTAGGAAAAACCCACGGTGCAATCCCGCCAAGAGCTGTGACAATGCCTTTTGGTTCCCAACAAAACTCTTGGTTTTCCTGCCATATTGGGAACCTGCCACAAGGATCAAATCTTTCCTGGCTGCTCTGGAGAATACCAGTGAAACAGATCCCTGACTGCAATCCCTTGGGGTGAGATTCCTCACGTGATGTTGAAATGCTCCGACTCAGAACCTGGAGTTTGGGGCTGAGGAATTTGTTGCGTACCAGAAGAAAAATCATCTACGACGATGTTTTGGTACATGAATGGTGTATTTCGAAAACATCATCACAAAAAACACACCCAAAGATGGCCATGTTGAAAGCATGTATCATTCCATGTTCATCCTTTTCATCCATGTCTATCATTTTTCAGCAAAAAACTTGGAGGATTGGCGTTGCTGAGGATCTTGAGGCAATGTACGCGGTCCAAGACATGTGCTGGGAAGATTTCGCGCTGGCCAACGGCTTGGTAGTCAAGCGATCACCGGAAGTTCAGCAGACCCGTGGCAAGCAGAAGGGTTTTGGGATGTTTGGGGGAATGTCCATTATGTCCATCAAACAGAACGAAACGACGCATCCCGGCATCTTCTAAAAAGATGAACTCAAGAGCCCTGGTTCAGGGGATCTATTGATTTTGGGGTCTGCTAGAGAGGTTACTAGCTGGAAGGAATCAGTATTGTTTGGGTTCAGCGCAGTGATTAATGCGATCCGGAATCTACGGCTGATGGAATTTTGGCGCTCATCCGAAAATCATGATATCCACGAACGGATACACATCCAGAAGATAAGAAAGAAACATATCCTACAGAATGTCTCAGTTTATTGTGAGTCCCTGAGGTTTGAACACTTGAAACATACCTTCCAAGGCGCGTCGTGTCGCCCAGATTTCCCCATTCTGACCACAAGGATCACAGGATACTTCCTGGACCTGGACCATGCCTTGCATCGACCCAAAGTGGACGATCTCTGGCGAAGGAATTTGCATTGCTTGTCCTGTTTGGACTCATGCGGCTGGCCCCAAATATGGGAGATTTGGGGAGATTTTCGGGAGATTTTTGGATGCCCCAATTGATGGCAAGTTTGATGGGAAAGTGAGGAGGAACCATGGACTATGGGATTTTCCTCCTGGGTTTGGGGGTTTGGGTTTGAGGATATCCAAGTTTGGATGGGGATGGGTTTGGGATCACCAGGATGGGTGGAACCTAAACTGTAGGCAGCCAGGGCTGGATGAGGGTGGCTGACAGCCCAAGATGACTTGACGCTGAGGTAAATCCAGCTGTGGGTGTGGACCCAATCGATCATTGATCGAACATCTTCGCGACTTGGAAGCATTTTTGCAACAGAGTGCGACTTGGATCTGTAGAATAGTTGCATAGGCTGGTCACGCCGGAGGAAGCCAACCTGACTTAAGATTGGTTCAAACCTGACAAGATTGGTTGCAATAACAATATGAAAGCACTCAAGTTCGTTGCAGGTCTAGTCCTACCTGAACCATCCTGAAATTTGAATCGAGTTGATGATGTCCTCAGAAGATCTCAGCGAGGTTTTATGGTCGCCCACCTGAACGAGTACTGGAATCCCCAGTGGTCCGTGTGGCGAAAGTCGCAGCTTCTGTGGGCCCGACCCTGTGAGGCTGGGCCATGCTGGGGTTTATGTCAAAAACTGGTGGAGATTTACCACCATGAAGAAAATGATATAAAATGATAATCATTGATAATGATTGATCACCCATGATTTTTTGATATTTTTGGGGGTTCCAATTTTTAGGGCCAAGATATGACCAGTTGCTTCAACAGGACCCATTTGGATGGTCCCTTGGCGCGAGCGGGTCGCGCTCTGCGGCGTCAGGAGTGTTCCTCTGGCTTCGGGTGCTGGTCGAGCTGCAAGAGTGGATGCATGAAGCTCCTCAGATTGGCAGAAACTATGGTATTCACACTGTATTCACCATGATTGACCTCATGTACATACCATTTTTTGACAACAAATAGTGAATAATTAGTTGCTTCACTTGCATGGGAAACTGCTTGGACATGCTTGGACTATATGCAGCTAGTGGACTAATTACTTGATTTGGCTTGGAAAATCAGGATTTCAATAGATTTTAAAGTTCCAGGTCATTCCAGGTCTGTGCCCTGGTGGTAGCTAAGATAACAGCTGGAGTCATTTGGGATCCCAGGTATTGCCCTGCAGTGGTGCATCCGCACAAGGGAACCACCTTAGATTGCGAGAGGGAGCCGTTGCCAGCTGAAAGAGCTTGAAAAGAAGCGATGGGTCGATGGGCTGCTCGGTAGTGGGAAAGTTGGCTTAAAGTTGGCTTTCCAAGTCTGATCAAATCGTCTAAAGGAGTATTCTTTGAATATGAACCAGTGCCTGGAAACTTGAAGATTTATGAGTCTGTCTTTGGAATAAGGGCAATGAGAGATGCTGAAACTCCTTGGTTGCTATCATCAGAAACAATCACCGTGAGGGTTACCTAAGTTGAGCTCCCTAACGTGACAAGCCATTCAGGCTCAAGAGATTTGGAGCCGAGCAGTGCCATGAACAACAAGCGGACCGTTCTGTGCGAGCACTGGCTCCGTGGCTATTGCCGCAATGGCACCAAGTGCAACTTCGCGCACGGCGCGACCCAGCTCCGTCGGCCCGAAGCCAAGAATGCCCACCCAGAGGACACGGAACTGCGCAAAGCTGTGAATGGAGAAGCTCCGGCACCAGCGAAACTTCTCCAGTGGCGTGAACAGCTTGCTGCACTTCCACAGGGAAGGCAGTTGAGCTTCAAAGGTCTGCGACCAACGGAAAGGTATGCACTGCACCAGCTGGCCAATGAATTCCAGTTGACGCACATGTCAACTGGAGTTGGTGACCAGCGACGACTCCACATCCTGAGGCCTGCGCCGCAGGAGAGCTCTCAAGCATCCCAAGAGACCTCCAGTGGACGTCTATCACGAGCTGAGCAGAAACGTCGTAAGAAGGAACGACTGAGATCCCAACCTTCCAAACAATCTACCCCAGGAGACCTGCAGACTTCTACTGGTATGGAGAATGGCATGGAAGGAGAGAGTGATGGAGTGGAGGAAGAGATGTTGCGGATGCAAGAGCTGCAGTTGGGCTGAATGCTCAGCACTTGTACATCCAGTGCCACTGGAACACATCCAATGGCCCTCAGATTGTTTTGCCCTGTGGTTGTGGTGGTGGTTGATCCGCATGAGGAGAGCATTTGAAAAAACTGCGACAGGGATCTGTCGGCTTCGATGAAAAAGATACGCGGAATTGCCACGTTCTGCTCTTGCAACATTGCATGTTGGTTTGAAACATATTCGCTCCAGCAATTTAATCATGTTACCAGTGATCTTCTCTCTTCTAATCTTTCTCTTCTCTCTGCCTCTGCCCTGCTCTGCTTTTCATCTGCCCATATTGTCGGAAGTTTAACTTCTAAACTTCCTTCGATAATGTTATATTGTTCTTCTTTGCAACCTCGACTCTAAGTCTACCCCGAGTATGTCACCATGTCACACCATATCTTGATCCCATCGAAAACCCAGCTGGAGCTTACAGGTGAACAGAAGGGTTAAGATGGGTTAAGTAGTGATTATATGATATTCTATATACTTTTGAAGGGCTTAGAGGCTTAGATTAGATACAGGCTGGTTGGGTTCAGTGTTTCTGCAACCAACAGACTTGAATCGATGAGTCAACTGCACCAGGTGGTCTGGCAAGCGCTTCGCACATTCTGTGATGCTGAGTGCCAAAAAAATTGCACATGCAGAAGCTGTTATTTGTCTCAGCAAGCAGCATTTGGCATGCTAATGCGGACACAAAGCCATGCTGCCACGCCTTCTGTTTGGATTACATCAGCTGCTGCCAAAAGCGAGGCCAATGCCATGTCATGACACTGTCGCAAGCTTCAAACCAGCTTCGACATATCTTTCCTCCCTACTTGCGCTGGTTTCAAGAGGTTTATCTATCCATCACCCCAGGTGTCTATCCAATCTACTCAAGGAATCACCGTGCTTTTCCATTTTCCAGCAGCCATCCCATGCCCCATCCTTTCCTGAACATCCCATAGACCTGTCAGCATTTTTGACCCATGGGCCTGGTCTTATCATGGCCGGTGGCCGAGCTCGCTGGGGCTCCCATTGGGCTAGCCAGTCTTCACCTATGCCTTCACTGCCTACACTGCCTACGACATGAGTAAACATCCTCAAATGGCTGGTTTGTTTCTAGTTCAGGGCCATAGATCCTATGGGAAGTTTTAGACAGTTGGATGGGTCAATGATGGTCAATGCATAAATCTGACATATTTGGGGGGATGAAGATCCACAGCTTCCAGTTATTTGGATGCTTAATTTTGGATGGACATCCATTTCCCACCCACCACCCAACTGCCGTGTCCCTGACGAAGGCCAAACTGCTTGGCGACTCCTTCGCGGCTCATCAGTGGCACTGGGACTTGGTTGGTATCTCAGGTGCTTCAAAGGTTTGAGCAACTTGAACAGAGCCATTTTGAACCAAAGTGAAGGCAAAATGGTTAAGTTCAAGCGTAGAGGTGATACTGCTGTTCTTGATTGGACTCTTGACAATGGGCACACCAGTTGTAAGCTCTTGGTTCCATGAACGGACAGCTGGTTTGGGCATTTGATCGAGCTATCCGATGAGCAGCTACTGTAAGTGACAGGGCTAACAGGGATCGAATTGGCACTTGCCAAACCGTTGACAGCTGATAAGGGAGCCGGTGGTGATTGTGACGATGAGGTATATGTATCATGTGAACAGGTCTATGGACTTGGTCCTCTGCGCGTGTTTGTTCAGCATCATGAGAAGTAGTGCCTGATTTCGCCATCTGCATGAAACCCATGTCAGATCCTGGAAGAGAGGGAGCTTAGCCAAACCCCAGCAGTTGATCGCGACAGCGATGAGGTCTTGCTGTCAAAGAGCTTCATGACACCTTCTTTGAGGCCAGACAGGATAACATGGGGATATACCAAGATATTTACCTCACTGGGTTTGTTTAGAGGATCATCCAAGGGAACTGATTTTCGTCACCTGACATTTGGGGATCCTGTCAATTTTCGATCGACTCTGCTACAAAAACGGTGTTTGCCGCTGGGGCCGTCACTCAAGTTGCAAGCAGTCTTTGGCGATATTTCGTCTACCCGAAAGATGGAACGGTGTGTTTTTAAACAATGGATCTATACCGTATCTATACCCCATGATATCCCCTTGTATCCCCATTAAACAATGGTTAAATACGGTTAAATATAGATCTATACCCCATGATATCCGATATATATCCCCTTTTCCCATGGACGAAACGTCCCAAACGGGGTCGCGGATTTTTTCCCAGGAAGCACGGGTGGATGCCAGGGCAAGGTGCGGACGAAAGATGACTCGCTTCCAGCTGTTGGAAACTGTGATGCCTGAAACGTGGGGTCGCCTCAAAACTTCGAATCCCTGAAAAATCTCATGGTTTTTTGATGTTTTTTGCATCACTTTTCCCCCGGAAATTGGCACAACCTGCCTAAAAAAACAATGTGATTACTCCATTTTGAGGCCAAACTGGATGTACCCCAACTGGTTGACAGCACCTGAGGTTGTTCTTGGGCTTGGAACCTGAAGCCATCCTTGCAAGGAGGGTCCGGGTTCCCAGTTTCTGCACTGGAGATGTCTCAAAATTGGAACCAACAAAATTCCAACAATGTTGGGTGTTTCCATTTGGAAGGAGCCAATTTTGGTTGTACCAAGAGTTCCTAAATTTTGGGACCCACCTAAATGAATTGTAGACTAGCCATTCACATGGCCAGCCTCTTTGGACATGTGTGAGCTCGTCGTGGTTAGTGTGTTGCAAGGATTTGTGCATGCTGTCTTCACCTAAGAGAAAAGACATGATTTAGTTTAGTGCTTGTTTTGCCTGATATTTCATGTTCAATAGAAAATAGGAACTGATCCAATTTACTCTATTTCTACGGACTTGACTTGTACTAGTAAAAACCAAGGACAGGGAGATGCGTCTCCGGAGCATCATGGCCTCAGCCGAAGGGTTCCAGACTCAACGGTGTGGAAGGCAGTGGCAGTGCCATCGATCAACACAGGGCAGATGTTTTTCAGCGATCATTTTCGAATTTCTTCTGTAGATTAGCTATTTGGATGCGTCTTCCAATGGCTAATTGGATAATGCAATCTTCAGATGACAGCTTTTTAAGCGGGAATAATGGGATAAACAATGATAAACAAGAGTGATCGTCAACATTCATCAACCATTTCCTAAATGGCATACGCCATTTTTCAGAGTGGTAGCTGGTCCTAGTCACCAGCTGGTGCCAAAATCGTGCGGCCTCAAACCGGTTTTTCATCTGAGGCGATCCAAAGAGATCCTGGTGCAACATGGCCGGAGCCCACAGGTCGATTCCATTTTTTGGAGACAGCTGGGCCACAGGTCGAAAGCAACTCTGACAGAACATCTGAACTATTTGCCTGCCATGGGTTTATAGATAGATATATATAATATATATATGTGCTTCAAACTTCTCCTCCCCTCAACCAAGCATCATTTTGGCACAGCCAAGCGCCCCCATCCCATGAAAGCCTCTGAGGCGGCAACGGCGCCGCTGCCCAGCCGTCCCTGCTGAAGTTACACGGGCAGCTGGTGGAGGAGGCACATCAGGTGATGTATCCCTCGATTTCTCGAGAAGAGCTGCAGCAAAGGCCCTGGGAGGGAGTTTGGAGTTTCCGTCTGGGAGGAGGGCTTCCATGGGTTGGGCTTGGCTTGAAATCAACAGAAAAGAATAGGGACCCTCTATGATGATGAATTTCAGCCATCTGTATGATGCGCACTTTGGAATGACAGCAATTAAACATTCCTTTGTGTCTCTTGCCTGGGACATCCAGACAGCCATCCAACATTTACTGTGAGACCATCACTTCTTTCAACAGGCGGCAGACCTTCGGCAACGTCAAGTGGACCGAAGTCAGAGACCTGGCTGGTAAAGCGGACAGACTACATCACATCAAACCGACATGAATGGTTTTGTTATGGGTTAGTTGAGGTATGGCAAGACAAGTGCATGGGTCAATATCATTCAATATCTACGGAACCATCAGACTTCTGAGATGAACATCCATAAAATCCCTAGCCATTCTTGGTGTGAAAACCGGAGGTTTGAGCCATGAGTCTGCATTCCTTGTGGCAATGAGGAAGTGATGCAGCAACTCCTGTCCTACTCACCCTTAGTGGAGGTCAGATCCTACTGGCCACCAGTGGTGGGATGTTGTGATTCCTTTCAGAACAAGATATTTTGAGAGATGGACAAATAAACTAGACATTGAAGTGCAGCTTTGCGTGTCTTGGATCATTTTTAGATCAGACATCATCAAACATCTGCATAAATTGGATTAAATTGGGAGAATGTCCAAATTTATTCACCTGCGGGCCTTGTTACAGGTTGGAGCCGGTGAAGGTCAATGGCAAGCAGAGCTGCGCAGACGTGGTGCTGATGTCACTTGGATCCACTTGGTCGAGAATCAGAAATCTTGGACCCAACCACGAAACGGTGGATCTTTAACCGAAATTTGATTAGGAATGTACCGAATTTTTGGCTAGGTGGATCTTTATGGCACCATTTCTGGAGCTTTAATGATGTAAGCGTGGTTGTCTCTGAAGGGGCACTGGACAGTCAACGTATCATGCTCAAGGATGCTTTGTCTCAGGTTGTTGCTTTTGACAACCTCTCGAGCCCCAGTCGTTTCGATGCAGCATCTTCCAGGCGTGGTTCTTTTTCGGGCCATGAAAGAGACAGCAAGTTGTCCCATTTGGAGAGTCATGGAGAGACATCCTCCTCCTCCTTCTCCTCATCCTCCCTCCTCCTCATCATCGTCGTCGTCATTGATATTTCCATCCATTTCCGTTGCCATTGCCATCACATATAATTTCTTGAGCTGGTTTGAGCAATTCCATTCCACCATTGGTTTGTTATTCGCCGAATGGCAACTGCCACTGTGAGTCAGGTTAGTGGTTCCAGGGGCTGATGTGCAACAAGCAGATGCCGAAGTTTGGGAGCCTAGAACACAGCTGAAGGATGGCAAGACATATTGGGAAGGACAAGATAGTGGAGATGCATATTGATTTGGAAGCGAATGCTAGCTTACAGTAACGATATAATATCTAAAAGTTGTTGGCCATATCATCACGGAAGCGGACAGCACAAACAGGTAGCCTCCTAGAAAGACTAACATGGGTAGAGCAGACATGAGGTGACGATTGATCTTGGCTTTATGACGTGCCCGCTCCATGCTTTTCCGGCGCACCGGGCAAGGCGGCCGTCTCCCAAAGCGCAGGGCGAACCTTGCTGATGGTGTACCCTCCACCTGGTGAAATGGCATCCAGGCCGCAGCTGGGCTGACAGCTTCTAAAAGTCGTATCGGGAGGCCGTGCGGCTGGAAAAAGTTCAATTTTTAGTATCGCGTTGATTTTTAAAGCTTATATTTGTTCATTCTTTCAAGGGGGCAAACGCTGGTTGCTGCTTGCCTGCTGCTGCTTGCCTGCTGCTTGCTGCTGCTTGCTGCTGCTTGCTGCTGCTTGCTGGCTGGCTGGCTTGCTGGTTGGCTGGCTGGCTGGCTTGCTTGCTGCTTGCTTGCCGCTTGCTTGCTGCTTGCTTGCTTCTTGCCTGCTGCTTGCTGCTGCTTGCTGTGCGCAATGCTTCGGCTACTTTTAACTAAATCTCTAATTATAGATGAAACAGGCTGTGCCATGGTGATTCTTCTTCCCTGATGTGACTTTCCACTACCTGATGTGACTTTCTGTATCGCTGCCGTGCCATGGCGATGATGTGACTTTTCCCGCATGATGTGACTTAAGCACGGCGCTCATAGTGGAGCAGACAATAAGATCTGTTGATGTTCCAAACATTGGGAATGCCCGAGAGCCATCAAACTCGTTGTTTCAGTCGGGGGAAGGCTGCTTGCGGGTACTGTTACTGTACCCCATTTTTGGGCACATCACCTCACCTGGGACCATGAAGAGAGTGCTCAACAGCAGAATCATTTTGTATGGGTATAATACGTCTGCGGGCCGATTGGCAGGTGCCTGCAGCGTTACAAGGGGGAGACCCTCATCTATGTTGGGGAAGGTCGAGGTGGTGTCAACGGTGACGACCACTTCTTCGACCTGTTGGCACAAAACTGGAAGTTGGAGGACCGACTGAATCCTATTGACCTGTGGTGAATTTGGATGGGACACAACTCAGGTGAATTTGGATGTAGGGGATGCATTCTGTCTTGTCTGGTCAATGTAGAAGGCAGTGGGTGTGGATCTGCGAAGAGCCAATCGCTGCTCTGCCGAAGCGTTCCAGCTCAGGACACCTTGAGTCTGGAGACTCTGCCATGGCCAAGTGCTGAGGAAAAGTTTGAGCAGAGCGTATGTCTGGTTGGTGGTTTGGAACATTTTGGAACATTTTCTATTTTCCATAATATATGGGATAATCCTTCCCATTAATATTTTTCTGAGGGGTAGGTATACCACCAACCAGATGTGTTTGCACCTTCCGTGTGCCGTTTGCACGCTGTCAGACGTTGTGTCATCCCATCGCTGCGGCGCCTCCCTTGCAGACAAGCTGCTTTTTTAGCTGGCCGAAGTGCAGCATCATTGCTGTCAAGCTCTATCAAAAAAAAGTGTCGCTGTAGCAGTGGCATTGATGCACATCCTGGCCATGGAATGAAGTATTTCTATGTATTTCTGATTCTGCTTCACCCACATCTACATTGGCTAGTCGCATCCTCGTGAAAACCAGTTGTGTGGGCCGGTTGTACATCTCGATGCTGCCTTCAACCAGGTGCTTGTGACCGTTGCAAACATCACTGGTGTGACCCTTGCGCACATGAGCTCTGGGGCAAGGGCCGTGGTATGTTGAGCTGTCAGCTTTGCTCCGAATGATGTGTGGGGTGCAATGACTGGGCCAGCGGCGGAGACTATGGAATCATCGCGGCTTGCAGCCAATGTGATTTTCAGGCATGCGACCTTTGTACAAAGAAAGGGAAGGGCAAAGGCGTGTTGCAATGCGTTCATTGCGGCACGCAACTGTGTCTGCATTGTGAGTTGAAATGTGCTGTCTGGGGTTGCGACCGATGTGATCGGCAGGTCTGTGACCGATGCATATTCGAAGGGAAGGACCGGATTCTAGGCTGTGAGCATTGCGATGCAGTAGGACTGTGCCAGTCTTGCAATGACAAGGGGAAGGGAGAAGGCATGCTTGCCATATTTTCTTGCAGTTACTGTGATCGGCAGGTGTGCAATCTTTGTACGAAGAAAGTTAGCCAAGGTGGCGTGTGGCAATGTGATCATTGCGACCAGCAACTCTGTTTGCGTTGTCTTCGCATTCACAAGGGTGGCTGCCATCGATGTAATCGGCATGTCTGTGAGCGGTGCAACATCCAGGGAAAGGAGAAGGACTCCCTTTGTTGTAGCTATTGCGAAACAGAACTTTGCCCATCTTGCAATGACAAGGGCAAGAGCCAAGGCATGCGTACCATATTGTCTTGCAGCCGATGTGATCAGCAGATCTGTGACCAGTGCGTGGGCAACGCGAGAGGCACAACTGAATACCGGCCAATTGGTATTGCGCTTCGTCAGTCTTGCAAGGACTGGGACTTTTTTGCTATAAGGAATCAAGATCTCAATTCAATGCCTGCAAAGCTGAAAAGGGCACCCTTCAAAGGGAAGTCGATGAAGTCAGGTCTCAACTGACAGATAGCTTGGCAGGTCTTGAGGCATCAAGAGCGCAATTGGATGCCAGTGAAGCTGAAAAGCGCACCCTTCAAATGAAAGTCGTCGACCTCAGATGCCAGCTTGCTGCGGCTGAACACCAATCGAAGCTTGAGCCATTTTCGCAAGTGATGCCTTCCTGTGATGAACTGGCCGACTTTCTCAGAGACACCCTCCCCAATCTCCGACCAGAGATGCAGGCCAAGGTTACAATCCAAGCCCTACGGTGGACCCACAACGGCATCAATGCCCAGCTTGCTTTCGGAGACGACCACGAACATGCAGAAGAGTCCATTTTCAAGCTTTTTGAGCAACTCTTCCGTGAAAGGCTGACACCGCTTGAATTAACCGAAGAAGACCCGCTTCCAGTGTTTTTGCATCGGGGTCCTGACCAGCATTTGGGCTTGTACTCTCGCCGCAACCGTAGACTTACGACCTTGCTGATGTATCAAGCGCTTCGCCGAGAAGAACTTGTGAAGGTTCTCGTCCTTGTGTGTTCGCCGCAAGATCCAAAGTGGAGAAAAGACTGGCAGAAGGCTTACGATGGATCCACAGGTTTGTCCATTCGACCACACGAAGGCAGAAGGGCCCGTGCTCGCCATTGTGGTGTGCCTCTCTTTGAAGGGAACATGCACATGTTCAAAGACACTTTGGCTCGGGCACGGGCAAGGCCACACTCCCAGAAAGTTCAAGAAGCTTTGGATCTTCTTGCTAGTCGGATGAAGCAAAGGCCTTCAAGCCGGGCCAAAGATGAAGAATCTGTGACGTTTGCCAACACAGAGGGAGGGGAAGAAGTCCTCTCGTCACCACCAACCAGGCAACAAGGTCGGACAGGCAAAGGACGAGGAAGAGGCAAAGGCAAGGGCAAGTGACATTCTCTTCACTCAAAAGCAGAATGACGAAACAAAGAGCGCGCCTCTCCTGCGACTGCCGGAATCGTTTTTTTCTGTAGGAGAAATAGCGGACTATGATGGACTATGCCAATGGAATCAGTTCTTGATGGAATGACCATGCCATACTGTGGCATTGTTACCCTCTGGTAAACTAACATAGCTATGGAAAATCACCATTTTTAATGGGAAAACTCACTATAAATGGCCATTTTCAATAGCTATGTTAAATTACCAGAGGGTATATATTTTTTATGCATGTGTGACGTGTTTTGTCGGTCAAGCGATGCTTGCAAGTAATGACAGGTTGCATCCCCCCAAAAAAAAATAGAAATAGTCACAGCTCCAGGACTGTTCCAGCTCTAGGATTTTGAAATCGCTTGTCATTGGCTTTCACTGATGTTCCGTACCTCCATTCTAAGAGTCATGGAAGCTTATGTTTTGATATTGTCTAAAGATGTCTAAAGTGTCAACTTCCAACAGGATCCAACTTATGAAACGCTGATCAAGCGTTGAAAGCACGACTTCATGTTTTCGCTGATTAAGAGTCTGTTGTCAGTTGAATGCAAAAAAAGATTCAGATACAGGCTGCGTTCCTTGGTCAAACATTGCCTGGCACTAAGGAGCTATGAAAGTGTGTACGTGCTAAAACGCGCAGCCGCCGCAGACTCAGGATACTGTCTATCTATATGTGAAACATTGTGAAATCATATGAGTGAAGAGCTTGACCCTGTTGAGAAATCATGCAACCAGTTCAACCAGTTGCATACGGATGAGGAAGAAAGCTCAGCAAAGTGATGGATGTGATGGCCATGTTCCAAAGATTCCGAACAGCCATTGCATTGCCATGCTTCGCCCACTGAGAATCCCATGGCCCACAGAATGAAAATCCTTTGATCAGCTCTGCAGAAGATCGCCCAAATTCATTGAATTCATTGAATTGCCAGGGTTACCAAGAGAGTTCAGATCGTTTTCGTATGTTTTCGTTGCTTCTGCCTTGAATTTGGCCCGAGGGAAGCTTTACTCATACTTGAGAATTCATCAGGAGTGCAAGAGTGTAAGAGTGCAAGTGTTGTGGTTCGAGATTGCTGTGTTGACCTTCCAGCCTCCGTGACTCAATGCAACAAGAGAACAGCCACAAAAATGGTCAAAAATGTCTCTCCATGTTGGCATGCTAATGGAATCTAATGGAGCCTTCGGAACACCAGAACCTGCCATTCATTTTTGCAGAATGCAATGAAACGCGCACGACCCGAGATCAAGAATTTGGAGGTGACGCCTTCACTAGATTTTACTTGCAGTCCAATTGCATCACTCATATGGACAACTTGCTGTCGAATCTCCAGTGTTGTAATCTCTCGCACAACAGCATTTAATGATTAAATGGAGTTCAACGCCTTCGGAGATTGAGCATGAACGGTTTGCCCCTGGCATCTCCAGGTGCCATTGATGGCCTTTAGATGCCTTCAGTTCGTATTATTTGTTAATTTCATTTAGATCCAAGATGATCCAAGCATAGGTAGCCTTAGGATCCTTAGGTAGCCAGAATTCTATTGCCTAGACACGTGCCACTTCAGTTTTGATGGTAACCCTGACCATCCTGGAGACCTGGCAGTCTCGTACCAGGGACATTACCCTCTGGTTATTTAACATAGCCATGGAAAATGGATGAAAATGGCCCATTTATAGATGGTTTACCTGGGTTTACCTGTTAAAAATGGTGATTTTCCATGGCTATGTTAAATAACCAGAGGGTAATGGGTTTTGGTTTTGGGAGGATTGCAAAGCATTGCAAAGCATTGCAAGGGTGGAACAGGTTTTAGTATTTGTACAGTTGAGTTTGAATGAGGAAGTGATGAAGCGACTAATTTTGTGCTGGCCCTGAGTGGAGGCCTTGATTTGCGGGCTGTTCCAGAGAACGGCTTCCTTTAAGCCTTTGGGTTGTTTCAAAGTTGTTTCTTTCATTTTCTTTCTCCAACCATCCACAAGAGTTTTGCTTTGCTGGTATGTTCACGTGTCTTTTTGGATGCCAGTGCCTGATCAATCTAATCTCACCAGCAGGTTGGAGCTGGTGAAGGTCAGTGGCAAGAACTGCCCGCAGTGCAGATGTCACCTGGTCGTTCACTCGGAAGTGTTGAACCCAACGCCATACTGGTCTTTACTACTGCCATAGCCATATCAGTTGACAAGTTCGTCCTTAGCAAATGGACCGGTGCCGGTGCTGCCGCGCTCAGGTTATTTCTTTTGGCTGATCCAGGATCCAGCTACGTTTCGATGCAGCTTTCAGGTGGGGTGCTGTTGAAGTCATGAAGGACAGCAAGTTGTCAATTTGGTGTTTGTACCGTTGGAAATCGATCAAGTAAATCGCCATTTTCATCTTCATGTTTATCAGTGTTATCATCTTTATCTTTATCTTTATCAGTGTCTTTCTCCTCCTCCTCGTCCTCCTCCTCCTCCTCCTCCTCGTCCTCCTCCTCCTCCTCCGCGTCATCGTCATCGTCATCGTCATCATCATCGTCATCATCATCATCATCATCATCACAACAAACGGGTGATGTATCCAGGTCTAGACTGCTGCATCCTCGGTAGGACAGTAGGAACTCCAATATCTATCAAAATCAGTTCTTTAACGTCGACACAACCCTCCTCCATTACCACTACCACAGGCGCAGCAGTGCAAGAATCAGATGTCGAAGTTTGGAAGCCAAAAACATCGCCCAAGGCAAAAGACCGATGGGGATGTGTTGGTCTGGAAGTGACAACTCACTGACGTGATGCAACCCATTCTGCTGGTCAAGTACTAGTGACTAGACTTTGCTTTTCAACGGAGTCAACTGTAATTTTTGGTTAGCTTTGGATCGTGCTGTCACTGCATCCCCCAGTATGACAGTGCCAAATGATTGCCAAATTGTGCGTCTTAGTCTTTTCATGTCTTTTCAATAGTTTCCAAACAGGTCGTCAGGTCGTGTTTATTTCTCACTCCTGGCCACTGGCCAGGGACGTGTGGGGAGCCCTGATCCACGTTGCAGAAGATCGTCAATGGTAACAGCTTCTTCGACAGAAGCTGGAGGACCTATAGTATTGAATCCTATTGACCCATGGTTTGACCTGTGAGTTTTCAGCCAGTGATGGCTTTTCCAGCTAAGGCAGCAAGGAGGTCTTGACAGGAGACATTAGTTGACCAGATAATAGCAGCATTTCACAAGGTTTGATTGCAGGTATTTCCATGTTTTGGGTTCCATCATTGCAGGACACATTGAGTCTTGACACTTTGCCACGGTTCAGTACTCAAGCATTGTTCTTGTACGGAGCAGGGTACGGAGCAGACAGCGTGCTGCCAGATGTGCACACATGTTTTGCTCACATGTTTTGCTTGACACTTCTGCCCTTGCAGACAAGCTCGACGATGTCCAGTTTTATTCATGCATGCTGTGCCAAGAATTGTTTGTTGGTGACCGGAACAGGATTCAGTACTCGAATTCAAAGAACACCAAACGTTGATTATATTTGAATCATTCCACCCAGGCCAGACTTGAGACGTGATTGCGGCTGACATATTCTTTGGGTTGACCCATCCTGCAAGCCATGGAAGTGTGAAGTGATGCGGAGAAAAATCTGGCTCTTTTCGAGTCGCAGCAGTCTCAACGGCGAGGCATAAGACCAGATGCAGTGTGCTGGTCCTGCCGTCGTCGTTGCTGCCTTGTCGCCAATCAGAATGCTCTATGTGTTGCCAAATCCTGCAAGTTTTGTCCCAGGGAGGACATGGATACTGGCATTGTCTTCCTATCGTGCAGCAGAGCCGGGAAGTATGCACAGACTGCCTTGATTGCCTCAGTCCTTCATCTCGTCAATTCATATGGAGTTGCAGTAGCGGCTTTGGCGTGGAACTAGCTTTTGCGAGTTTTGCGTGCGTCGCGATGACAAAAATTTTTTTGCAGCTTATGTGACAGGTTCCAATTCTGTATGGCTTGTGTAAACACAGAGTTTTTGCGCCACTGCGATCATTGCGACATGATACTGTGTGCATTTTGCCAAAAAATCCATAGGGACCGAGAAGGCAGCCACAACAGACAAGGAGAGGGCAGTAAACGTTTTAGTTACCCAATAAAACCGTGACCGAGGGCAGTGACTCTGGTGGGACAACCTTGGCTTGCAGCCTATGTAATCTCCGTGCATGTGACCATTGCATGAAGAAGACGATGGGCAAAGCTATGGTGCGCTGTGCTCATTGCGATACTGTTCTCTGCCGATTGTGCCATGTGTGGCAGAAAGGCCAAGGCAGGATGTTGCAATTTATACTTGCGATCAATGTGGTGCAAGCTCCTTTGCTTCCCGTTGTGTGGAAGTGGACGCCATGGCACGCCCAGATTGTTCTGCACAGGTTGCAATGCCGTTCTTTCCCAGTCTTGCAATGGAAAGGACCAAGGTCAAAGCGAAGGCAAAGGTACCAATACCGCCACCACCACCATTTTTGGGCCATGCAGTCTGTGTGATGCAACTTCATGTGACGGTTGCGAGAAGTGGAATCCGCTTTATTTAGTCATGTTGTGCTGCAATTCTTGCGGCACCAAAGTCTGCCAGCAATACAACGAAGGCGCAGGCAAAGGTGCTGTAATTCACGCTTGCGATCGATGCAGGCGAGGCTTCTGTGGCAGTTGTGTTGCGGAGTGCCATCATTGCAGCTCAAAGTTTTGCCATTTTGGTTTGCAGCCGATGTGAACACCAGTCCTGCGACAAGTGCATACAAAAGGGCAGAGGCAAGATGAGGCAAGGGCATGACTCGATGCGAACGTTTTGGTGCAGTTCTAAGTTCTATGTGAGTCGTGCCAGGACTGTGATATTTTTTCTGACTACAGAAAAATGAGAGTGCAATTATCGATGCCTGCAAGGATGAAAAGTTGGGCTTGGAAACGAGGGTCAAGGAGCAGCTAACTGCTCATCTTGCTGTTGAAAGCAGCGGGATAAAATGCAGACTGTCGCCTTCTTGCAATGAACTGGCCGACTTTCTTGCAGTCACGCTTCCTGATCTAAGACCTGGCATGGAGGTCACTGTTCCAATCCAAGCCCTACGTTGGACTCATGATGGTATCAATGCCCAGCTTGCCTTTGGAGACAATCACGAACATCCAGAAGAGTCTATCTTCAAACTGTTCGAGCAGCTCTTCCGTGAAAGGGTGACGCCGCTCGACTTGACCGAAGCAGATCCCTTGCCGGTGTTTCTGCATCGTGGTCCTGACAACCATTTGGGCTTGTACTCCCGCCGCAACCGCAGACTTGCAACTTTGCTGATGTATCAAGCGCTCCGCCGAGAAGAACTTGTGAAGGTTCACGTTTTTGTGTCGCCAGATGACCCGTCAGATATCCCAAGATGGCAAAGAGACTGGCAGAATGTCGATTCGATGGATCCACCGGTCTGTCGATTCGACCCCGGTCTGTCGGTGGACGGGCTCCGCGGGCTCGGGTTCGTGCTTGTCATCGTGGTGTGCCGCTGAAGGAAATGTAGCGATTGTCACAGAGACAGAGACACTGGAGCGGACAAGGGCAAGGCCACACTCGCAGAGAGTTCAAGGAGCTTTGGATCTTGTTGCCAGTCGGCTTGCCCTCGGAGACGTTCGAGCAGGGTGACGAAGATTCTGTGACCTTCGTGAACACTTTTCAGAGAGGTGGGGAGACTGGCAAGGCAGTCAACAGTTGCCACCACCAGCGGCAACAAGGCCACACGCGCAAAGGGCACCTCTGTGCTGGAATCTGCCATTGATTGCTGAGTTGTGAAAATGGAATAAGTTCTTAAGGTGAAAATCTTGTCCGACATTTCCATCTATTATTCAGGTTTCTTTTTTGGAAAGGATTCGGCAAGGAGCACGTCACGGTGGCTTTCACTGACCTTGAATCCCCTGCTTCGGAAGCGGATGAAGAGGTGTGAGTTTAAGAATTTGATGTTTGTTGCATTTGTTCAATCTCCCAACTAACTCAAACTGATGAAACTCTCAGCAAACTTTTGCATTAAAAACAGATTGAATTCTTCAATCAACGTCATTATACTTGATTCATGTTGTGCTTCCGGGAGAGTTTGTTATGAGCTGGATGCGCCATCAGGCCATCAGATGCCAGTTGTGTTTGTCGGATATTGTTGGAGACCCGCCTAGCAATCCTAGCACCAAGGAGCTACGAAAGCGCCAATATGTGAGCCACGTGCGCCATGGACTCGGGATGTAAGTGGAGAGTTTCTGCCTATTGACCATGCAACTCATTGTAGCCACATTCCTTGGACCGGAGGTGAGATGAACTGTACTCTTTGGAGCAAAGGCCGGAAAACCGAACATTTGTTTGATAGCCTGATTCTGTGAGCTCTGATTGCTCTGTTTATCATTGTTTTTCCAAGATGATTTTGGAGCCAGTTGGGTCTTGGCAACGACCTCGGGACTGCTAGAGATGCTGGCAGGAAAGGTCCATGGCCGAAGCGCATTCCATCTCAAGGATTTGCATCCCATCCCATCCCAAAGTGGAAGTCATGCTGTGGTCCTTCCTGATGCTGAGCACTGTGGCGACGACAGCTGCCGTTGGTTGTCAGGCAGGGGGCGAACCTGTGATCATGTCAGAATAAACAGGGCATGACGCATATTCCAGGTGCCCCTTGTCATTTGGAACCGGCACAAGCCACAAGCCACAAGGCTTAGACCGTGAAGTCTACAGGTCACAGCTATGGACAGTAATGCTGTCGCTTGTTTTTGATGATGTCAGTCACCCAAGTAAGCATCCTGGCTTTTTACCTACTCACATTCTGTATACAAGGTCGTTTGCTGTTTGGTTTCCACACTACACATCACACTGCAGCACGGTCAAAGGTTTCACATTGCCACTCTTGAGATCACAGCATAGAAGTTGCTGTTGGCATTCACAAGGTATCATAACATATCCTAACCACAATCATGGGGATTCAGGCACCCCCCGGTGACCGCAGCAACAATCATAAAGTCATAAAAATTCATTTCGGGGGGAGGCCCCGGCTCCTGTGGCTCCCTGGCTAGGTGCAGTTCATCCCATCCAAATTCGTACCTTGGATGCAGGGTATGGCTCACATTCTCAAGGGGAAGGGAGATAAGTTCCATTTCTTCCCCCAAAGGCTTGGAGGGGCATGGACTGTTTGGGGGGGGGTGAAGCCCATTTGAAGGTAAATCTGCAAGAAAATTCAAGTGTGAGTGCGTCCTTTCGGGGGAGAGGCATGAGGGATAGGTTTGGGCCATGATTTTGCGAGATTTGAAGGTTCTGGTCCATGTTTCTGGAAACAAACTTGGACCATGAGGCCAGTTGGAGCTTTTAAACAGTGTACCTTTTTGTTGCAAACGCCAACCAGGGTGCCCCAAACGGATGTTCCCAAATCATGCTTGCAGGGATTCTAGCTCCAAGCCGGCGTGGCAGGACTGCATCGTGCCTGATCAATACTATGGAGGGAAGTGGTCTCCAAAAACGCTTTACGCGCTGAGTCCCATGAGCATTCACATTATGGGCAAGACCAAAGTGGGCATTGTTCCGCCAGATCCTGACAAGGCCGATTTCAGACTTGACCCGAACCAGTTTCGGTTCGATGAACCCGAGTTCAATCTGGATTGCAACCACTCCGTGGAAACATTTCCAAACGCATGCGGTGGATTTATGGAAATATCATACAAGCGTGGCGAAGAGCATTGGACTACCAGGACTTTCGGCGTTGCCTTGTTTGTCTACAGCAGCTACACTGATGGCAAAACCCGTGAGATCGTACATGCCAAATTCTTGTACGAAGAAGGCAAAGATAATATCTGGCATGAATGCAGTGCAGAGACCAAATTCCTCTCAGGGGAGTGTTTTGGCATGAGCACGACTCGTGAGCCCCGGGTCCCCGAAGACCCTCCGGTGCTCTCCATGGGGGGGCGGGAGAAGTGGAAACCCATTCATGTGGTGCAACCGCCACCAACCCCAGAACCAACTCCGGCTCCAACTCCAGCTGGAGGAGGTGGTGCTGGGACCGTGATTTTGATTTTGCTCATCTTGGCCCTGATTGGTGGTGCTGCTGCTTTCTTCCTCAGGCGGCAGAGATTGATGCAAGAAGAACAGTCTCTTCGCAACGCCAGGGAAGTGGAGTTGAACTGAGGGATTCCAGCTTGTTCAGCGACATGCTGCTGTTCGAATAATTCGCTCAAGTGCGCTTGTTCCATAAGAAATTGATTGGCCCTGAGGCAGAAGCTCCAAAGTTGTGCTCATTCAGGAGCCAAGTTCATGCCGTCAAACATGCGTGTGCTGCTCAAGTGCAATTTGTGGGGGATGATGGATTCATTTGCCTGTAGCAATTGCAATCACAATAGGTTTTGCTGAGTTTTTTCTTGATTTCACGTTGCTCAGATGGTTCCACTGTTCAAAGTTGAAAATCCATGGTGATATGGGTGAATTGGCATAAAACGTGTTTGGATCCCACATTCCTTGGAAAGCCGGAGGTGAGATGAACTGTACTCTTTGGAGCTAAGGCCGGAGAACTGTGATGGGAAACGAGATCAAACAATGAACTGTGACCCATTCAGGTTCCACCAAAACCCTCACTGGTTGCTCCCGAATAATTGGGTATGACCATGTATGATCACCTGCTTTGGCTGATGCAAAATATGTTGCCAAAACCACAAAATATGGCAGTCTTCTGGATCCCCAAACATGAGGAGATCCAGAATTCTTTTGCGGCGGATCAGTCTGCAGAGCCCAACCAGCAAAGAAACTGGCTGGTCACTGGAAGAGAAAAGGCTGCACACTACGAGTTTTGGCCAAAGTTCACACCCTGAAAATTGCATGAGGTTCTGAGATTGCTCATATGGTGGAGGATGGGATGCACATGAAACTGTGGGATTCTGATGGATTCTGCAGGTCTGCATGCACACGTTTGGAATCGGTTTTCCATAATTTGGCACAGAACGCATTGAGTGGGAAAATATTTGCTCTTTGGTGGGTCAGCATGGTCTATATATCTCATGTCAACGCTGTGAGCATTGAGGGTTTATTTTGCTGAAACCAGGTTCAAGAGAGCATTCACAAGGTTACAAGGGGTCCATTGGGTAAAGAAAACAAAAGCAAAAGCAAAGAAATACTGAGGAAAAGCTCAGCAAAATGATGGCACCCAAAGTTGCACAGATACGAACACTCATGGCTTTGAAATGCTTTGCTCACAGAGCGAAAATAGTTGGATTGCCAGCGACACCCACATCCTTTTTCTCATTGCTCCTGTCTTGAATTTGGCTCGACTCGACCATGTGAAGCTGTACTTGTAGGCACTGCTGGTAGTAGGATGATAGAGTCTGCACAGACAAATACAACTTCAAAAAAAAACGCTTCACCCTTCAATTGTTTTCCCACAAGAACCTGCAACCAACCACCGTACATCACGAATCACTAACCATCATCAAGTGCCACACCATATCAACCACAATATCAACCACAATATCAACCACCATATCAACCACCATATCAACCACCATCAGCTATCATCAAATAAATTCCACCAGCATTTTCAATAACAGCTGCCACGGACCCCGGCATCCCCCGGATCAATGCAGAGGCGCTGCGGAAGGCCTGCGTGGAGAACCGCGGCTTCGAACTGCCGGAGCTGAACGAAGTGCTGATTTTGCACTACCGCGGCTTCCGCAAAATCGAAAATTTGGATGACACTTGGAAAAAATGGAGGGGAAGGGTGACTGAGATGCAAGCGGAATCTGCAAATTCAGCAAATTCAGCAAATTCAGCATTCATCATCATTGTAAGAGAACTGAACGTTAGAGATCGTAGGGATCCGACTGAGTTCAAAGTGGAGATTAGGTGGTAGTGGGAGATCGAGGGGGTGGTGCTAGGGTTTAGCATCTGCCGTGTGTTTGATGCGACGGTTGCCAAGCTTGGATATTCAACTTGGCGGAGCAGCTTGAGATCGAGAGAGGGACACCCACTGCTTCCAGAACATCAACAAAACATGCCAAAAATGAGAGATAGATAATGATAGAGATAGAGTGGGTTTATCTCAGGTTGGAGACTCCAGCATCACCCTCCCACAACCAAGCAGGGAACAGCCATAGCCCTTATGATGTGGAGGTGTTTGCAGTGTTCACACTTTTTCGCCTGCTGTGACCCAAGGAATACCACAACGTGCGATCCATTTTCCTAGAATGCAATGGCATCAGCAAGATCGAGAATTTGGAGGTGATGCCTCAATTGGTCTCCCTCTATTTGCAATCCAATTGCATCACTCGCATGGAGAACTTGGATTTGTTGTCGAATCTTCAGTATTTGAATCTCTCGCACAACAGCATCTCCGAAGTTCAAAACCTTGGAACACTCAGCATCTCGCAGGCATTTGGTAAGCCGTTTTGAATGTGTCTTGGTTTTGGTTTTCCATCCAACTATAGTGACTCAAGCGTGGATGAAGCCCTCTGGTAAGTTTCATATTCTGGATGGTTCGGCCTGGCTGGGCTAGGCATGTTGGACACCCTGAATCTGGCAGCCAACAAGTTCGAAGACGTGGAGAAGTTGAAGGGTCTCAGTGAGCGCCCCAGCCTTCGATCCGTGGACGTCAGTTCCAACTACTTCGAAGATGGGGATGCCTTGGTGAACTTCTGGGAATCCAACCTGCCAAATGTTCAGTGTTTGTATCTACATCACAATCCTTGCTCCAGGCGCTGCAACCCGACATCAAAAATCATCAAAGTCGGGTTGGCTCTTCCAGATGATGTTGGGTCCCAATGGGTGTTACTATTACCACATCATTTTCAGTATATGTGTGTTATTAGACATCTGTACTCAATTCTTGTAACTTATGGCAAATAGTCTAATGTTGTATAATGTTGTATATGATAGTGATACGTAAAATCCATCAACTTTCAATTTGTCTCAACATTCCCCTCCATCCAAATAGTCTATATATATATATCCATCGTAAAATCCATTCCCCTCCATCTATATATGTATAGAGAGAGAGAGATTCCATATGGCAGTGTGTCAAAACCAATAGTACCCCTTCTGTTCACATCAAAATAGCTGGTAAATAAATGGATGTTTTCATAACCCCCTAAAAATTAGGTATTATATAATAGGTATTGATCCATACCCATATGTATATATATATATATATGATATGTATACAGCATACACCATGTCCCACAGCCGCCAGGGCCTTGAAGGACTCCCGGCGTCGCCTGATCTCCCGCCTGTCGCAGCTCCGCTGGATCGACGAGCGCCCCGTGACGGCCATGGAGCGCGCAGGCTGCGAGGCCTGGGCCGTTGGAGGCAAAGAGGCGGAGATGGAGGCGGCCCACGGGGGAAGCCATGGAGGGGGAAAAAAACCACCTGGAAGTGGCTGAAAAAATGTGAAGAAAGCCTATAAAAAAAGGGGTTTTCTATGGGGTTAACCAGCTATAGGTTTTGGGGATATTTTTGGGTTCAATGAAGTTTGATGGGATTAGTGGGTCTGTCGAATGATGGGATATGTTACCACAAATGCAATGTTAAGGTACATTGTTTTCAGACCAATTCACTTTTGGTCACCCTCTGGTAAGCAAACCCGGGAATGGATGGAACACCCAATATTTATAGATGGATTGCCTGTACTTGTTCACTGAAAATTGGGATGTGCATTGCCAGGCATTGCCAGGTTGGCTAGAATCCTGCTTGTTGGACCTGCAGACTGCAATGTGCAGGTGATTGACAGATGAGTTGTGAATTTATAAACTACTCTACTACTGCTGCTGCTGGTTTGTTGTAAGATGGCTCGCGGACAAGGATTTTTCTGGTAACAACATCTCTTGGATTGGAGTGAAGTGGATTTCTTTCTTGGGTTTTCAATTCAACTGCAATGTCGAACCAACAGAAACCAAGGGTTTGCCCCCTGAGGCCAAACACGCACATTGGTTGAAGGAGAAGGAGGAGAAGGATGCTTGGCATGTCTGAATTTAGTGTTTCAGGAAGTTTCAGGTATAAGATCGTTCCCCCTAAAGTTTCAGCATGTTTCAGCTACATGCAGAAGATTTAGAAGGATATATACACCCTCCAAGCATTGACAGGGGCTTGCCCTTGGCATCCCTTGGCACCAAGGAGCGGAGCTTCCAGAACTTTCGCCGCGTACAGCAGGCCCACGCGGAGCGCGCCAAAGCCCAGAAGGAGGCGCAAGCCCGTCGTGACGCCGCCCGAGATCAGGCGCAGGCGGCCCTGCAGGAGACGGGGATGCTGAACGATGGCTTCGTGCTGATGCCTGAACGCAATGTGGCTGAAAGCATGGAAGTTGTGGAGACCAAAAATCAGGAAGCTAAAGATGATGAACTGGATGCAGTTGATGCAGTTGAAAGTGAAGTGCCAGAAGTGACACCGGTGGAGGGGGTCCAGGAGGTTGATGAAGAGCCGGAGGATGCTGTTGAAGAAACTGTTGAGGATGTTGGACCTTTTGAATGGACAGGCTTCAAAGATCGGTGTTTGGGACGGCTGGTCGCGGAACATCGCTACAACTTCAAAAAGGCTAACGGGTGGAAAGTGAACATAATCATGATTTTGGTGAATGATTGAGTTGCATGTGGTTTTGCCATTCACTTGTCTCTGGCATGAACCAATCACTGGAAATATGCTGGCTGGTGGTTTTCCAATATATGTGTAGTCTTCCATCCCTGGTGATGATCCAACCCATCCTGAATGACTTCAAGATGACTTTTATCTTGTTGGATGGGTTGAAACGACCACTTGTTGTATGTCATTTGTGGCATCTTTTGACAACCATTTTTGATCATCCCGTGAGGCATCAGCAGCCTTGTGCAAGGAGTTCGCGTGCGAGGTCGGTGAACAAGAATGCCGCCGCCGCTATGGTGAGTTGTGTCGTCCCTCCCAACAGACCGCTGAGAACCGGCAGGAAGCCGCCCGGAAAAGCATCCAGGAAGGTGCTGGGCGCGCTGCCGATGGCCCACCACCTGATGCTGCGGCCGTGAAGGAGGTGTCCCAATGGTTCGTCCGGCGCATCCGCCAGGGGAACGGGCAAGCAGTGGCAGGTAAGAAGCCGAAGGCCGCTGAAGGCCATGAAAATCCTGATGAAGATCCGGTTGAAAATGAAAATCCAGTGGTTACACATCCCATGTCCAGTGAGGCGCAAAGCCTCATGGGTTTGAGCGGATCCATGTTGTTTTCTCCACCTCCAAGGCAGCCTTTGGATCCCATCCAGCTTCAAAATCAGGAGCTGAACCCAGAGGTGCCCAAGGTGGCCACGGGGCAACGACCTGTGGTTGTTTCGAAGTGTGCTGAAGGTTTACATGACTTGGACTGAGAATTTGGAGCGAAAAAAAGATGTTTTAGCCCGTTTTAGCTGATTAGCTGATGTTGATTTTTTGGGAAAAATGTAGAATAATGGATAGATTTGGATTGAATCAAAGCTGTAAAGCCAATGGGTTCAATGGATCTTTGAAGGTGCCTTTTTGTTGTCAATCTTCGCTTGTCGCACAAAGATCGAAGGAGTATGGGGCGCACGGAACACAGCGCATTGAAGCCATCTGGCTCGAAGTGTTTGTCACATGAAATCTGCAATGCCTGGGTGTCTTCCTCGATGTGGCGTTGGTTCACGTTCCAACTTCTGAGGAAGTCTCAGCTTTTGACTTTCATAGCATCAAGAACAGGTTGAAATCGGTTAATTAAAACAGATTTGTTGCAACACACTATCTGAAGGAAGTAGACATATTGAATATGATTGAATCACAAACTCTGTTTGAGTGGGACCCAACAGCTTCAGAGCAGCCAAAGAGCCGCCAATGTTGGTGCGGCTCTCAGCTCAAGATGAATGAGCTGTTTTTTATTGTTTTTTTGGTCACAGAGTTGCTGTTTTCTTGCTACTCAAGTGCATCTCAAGTGCCCTCTTTGATGTTGCTCTGTATCCCAAGGCAAGCTATGGCTCCAACCACATCACAAGGGTGGTCCTCACTGCCATGTGTTGATACTGGCCACACATGAAATGGTTTCGTTCTTCGCTGCTACCTGCTTCGCTGCAGCGGAAAAATGTCGATGACAGGAGCTCCATCTCCATGCCTCCGTGCACCAATAGTGGGGGGCTGAGACTAGCTGTCTTGACATAGGCATGGGTGAAAATGATGAAATTTTAGTGACCCTCAAGGTCTTATGATGTTTTATGGAACATTCTGGAACAGTTGGGTACTCACTGTGCTCATCAATTTTTCGAGACCATCAACTTTCTGGGTCGGAAATTCAGGTGCAAGTCCCACGATGGTCGTGACATTGGACTCGGTTGGAAGCTCAGTTGAATTTGTTGCTTGCCTGATCTTGCCTGTTGATGGCAGCAAAATCAGGAGATTTCGGTGGGGATGATACCAGGTGGCGGCAACACTGGAGAAGGATTTGGAAGATGAACGACGCGAACGACGTGAGCAGGCGTACTGGCGCATCGCATGAAGCCTGGATGCAGCGCATACTTTGGATATCTTTGGATCATCTTGGATTGAAGGTAGCTTTCCTCAACCGCATTTGCGCGAAAGAACGAGAGCTTCTGGTTGGTGCGTTGCTCAGTTCCTGGCAGTGCTTTGCAAGTTAGTATCCTAATCTGGTTGGTTTTGGGAGTGCTCATTTGTTTATTCAGCACCTGTGAGATGATCCCAAAAAACAATAAAAAACAGGGGTGATGATGCTCAAACTCAGAGGTCGTGCGGAATCCTTTCAGCGTCAGTTTGCTGAGGCAAAGTGGGTGAATGGGGTACAATTCCGCTGGTTGATCAGCATTTCCCCATTGAACTGACGGGTGTTGACTGATGGTTCCCTTACTGTATCCAACTCTTAGGAGTGCTGATTGGTCAACTGGTATCAAGTTGTAATTGGAATCCAATTGCGCAAACGATGAAGTTTGGGCTTTTGGCTAGTGTGATAGTGACTCAAATGCCAAGCCTTTACACCAAGAAATAGGATCCTTGTGAGGCACCCAAGTCCAGAAGGTTCTGCACCCCACCCGCAGGCAAAAGAGTTATGGGACCGGGAGAGGGTTTTTGCCTCAGACCGGAGTTTCGATGGAATTCGCTGACGCGTCATACTCTCATCATGTCGGATGTCACGGATATTTGGTAATTCAAAACAACTAAAAACATTCAAAATCCTCAAGTTGGGTTGGGACGTCCATTTTTCTGCGGACAGAACTGCTAGAACATGATAGAACTCCCCGATATTTGGAGGAATTCAGAGAAAAATTGGGGCCAAATCTAACCAAATCTAGACCTCAGTTGGTTGGAAAATATCAAGCCCGAAATCAGTGATGGGAAGATCCTCCAAGATCTGCTCAGCTGCAGGCGCTCCTCCAAGACCGGATCCACGTGTCAGAGACGGCCATCGCGGCCAGCAACCGATTTTCTTTGGAGCGGGCAGAGGCAAAGGAGGCCCGGATCGATGGCCCGGATCGATGGTGGAGCTGGGATGGGTACCCTCTGGTAAACTGTTACATAACTATGGAAAGATCCACCATGTTCAATGGGAAAATCCCACTATTTCTATGGTCATTTTCAATAGCTATGTTTGGCATAACCAGAGGGTTGTTCCTGGATGTTGCTGGTGAATGTGATGGATGTTGGTGGGATCGTTGACATCGTTGCCAGAAATTCTCAGGTTGGATTCCTGGTGAAATTGCAGAAAAAGATTCGTAACAAGAACCTGCTGGGGGCAGCTGGCTCTGAAAAATTGAAAAGTTGGGGAACAGAATATTTGGCCAGAGATGGATGCCTGTTGGAGAAGTGGAAACTGAAGTACTGATGGGAAGGTTCATGCGGGTTTGTCCGAAAAATTACTATACACCCAGTATAGAAACCAATTATGGACAATTATGGCAATTTTCCTGTGAGAATTGAGGTTTTAATCCATTGGAACTTAGGAAATTATAGGATACACCAACTTTCAGACGAAGTCGTCATGGAGGTCGTCTGCTCACAGGTGTCCCTCCAGAGGCAGATCTCCGATCTACGACAGAGTGAGCAGAGTGATGCACTCAGCGGTGTTCTTCGATGGCAGACTGACCAGACTGACCACTTTTTGTTCTGCATGGTCTATGAAGTATTGTAAATTGATGTGTCTGAAAATAGTGTACCCCTTTTTACCCAATGGTTTTGCTGATCATTATCCCTATTAAATGGCTATTTGTTTGGGAATATACCCTATTTTCAGACACACCCAAATTGATGTAAATTGTAATGTCTAAGTCTCGAAATGTCCTGCTCTTTTGGGGCTGCTAACGGGAAGACCTGCAACCCTGAAAAGTCGGTTCCAGTCCCTTCGCTCCGTGCCATCTGCGCTTCGGAGGTTTGGAAGCACAAGTGCAAAAGGAGCAAAGTCTCCGTGAGGACGAGACCAAGCGATGGCAGGGGATCCTGGTGCTGCAGTGGGAATGCTGGGATGACTGGGTTGGGTTATGCATTTTGGAAGAAATGTATAAAACACATTAAAACACTATAAAACACTGTAAAACCATCACGAACCATCCCATAATCATCCAAAATCATCGTGTTGCATGATTTCGAGCTATTTGAGGATAATTGAGGCGACAAAAATGTCGAGGTGCCCGCCTCTTTGACGTACTGATTGCACTGACTTCAGGTCACCAACCATCACAGAACTCCACTCGAAGCTGGCAGAACTCAGGTGACACCTGTGGATTTGGATGAGTTTTCCTCATAAAACGAGTCACTTTGAGATTTCTCTCAGTGGATGTTTTCGTCTGAAGATGTTTCCAAAGTATTCCAAAGTGGTCTCCGATGACAAATCGATCCATGAGCTCCACCTGGGGCATGTGCTGAGCAGGGCTGAGTTGGATATGTCCAAGAAGGAGTCCGCTGCAAAGATCCAGGAGCCCCCCAAAAGTACACACAGAGAGAGAGAGAGCCCTCTGTCACAGTGCAGAATATCTGTGTCTCCTTTGTGTCGCTTGTGTCTTTGGGAGTGACAGATCATGTACCTATGTGGTCATCCACAGACTTTAATGGTAGCTGTCCGTCAAATGTTCAAAATGTTGGGGCTGATCATAATTTTGTCAAAACTCGCAAGTATAGAGGCAGGAACCCATTGCAAGCTATTTCTCAGGGGGCATGGAGCGGATCCTCCAGTGATATGCAATTTTGAAAGAATGTCTTTGCGTGAATCACCTGATTCATAACGAGACTAGTGCATTTTTACTCGCCGATGCACCACATTGGTGGTATGGACTTGTCTCAAAATGGAATAGTTGGACCACGGCCTTTAGACGGCCGTGGTGTTTTGTTGGGGTGGGGTGGGGAGTGGGGGGTGGGGTGGGGCATGTATTAACGTTCATGTGAACTTGCACAAATGAAGTAGATGCTACTCTGTGGCTGTCGGTTGGGGCATGTATTCATGGGGGTGGGGGGTGGGGTGAGATAATAACGTCACTGGCTCTCTCGGACTTCCACGCATACGTCATGCTACGCTACTGGACGTTCTCTTGGACCCCCAGGCGTACGTGATGCTACGCTATGTTCTCTTGGACTTCTACGCATGCGTTAGTTATCTTAGGTTCTTAATGAAGTGGGCGTCGGGTTCACACCTCCATGATCATCAAGAAGATGAAAGACAGGATGATGATATATGATGGTGATGATGATAATGATGTTGTTGTTGTTGATGATGATGATGAAGATGAAGTAGATGCTACTCCGAACACTGTGGCATACTGTGGCTGTGCAAAGTGTGGTTCATCAAGTAAAGAATTTCACAACAGAAGGTCCCAAGTTATTTCCAGGCGTTTCCAACGTGGTACCCGGTACCCAAATGTTGGACCGGTCCTGGAAGTAATTGAAAGATTTCTTGCCAGCTCACACGGTTTTGAAACGCAGCGTGGACATTCCACTGTGAAAACCCCTCCGTGACACAATATGTGCTCATGTGGTGCGCGATCAAGCTTGCAGAATCCAGATCCTAAAAGGTTCTTGGAAGAACTTGAAGCGCCGCTGTGAACAACAGATGGCTGAAGAATTGTGAGAACGAATTAGTTGGGGGCTTTGAAGAAAACCCCAAAATGGAGGTTTTGTGTAGGCGAAATTGACTGTTTTCATTTTTCTGCTTCGAACTAAGGCGTTCACGGCCTTTACACTAAAATCACACGAATTCCTATTGGCGCGAACAAATCAAACATGATCAACAACATCCGATGCATCAAAAAAAACACGTGGCCATCTAAAGGCCGTGCTCCTAGTTACCCCCAAAAATTGTCCAAAATTGCATTAAATCACCATATTTAAAACATTTAAACAGGATTAAACAGGTAAAAATTGTAGAATTATGCTCTAAACTTTTAAACCACGGGATGCCGCTGTCAGGAGCTCACAGGCGAGCTTCAATCGTGTCAAAGCCAACGAGACAACGCTGCAGGGGCTTTCAAGGAGGTGCCATCCCGTGCCATCCCAAGGATTCCCAAGGATTCCCATGATGTTGCAAGGTGGTGCCCCAGTTCGTTAGATAAGTTGGCGAACATAACTCCCATTTCACTATGGTTTATGGCAGATATAACAACTATAGTTAATGGGGTTATTTCAACCAACTTATAACTGGGGGGGCACCATCCTGTGGCCATTTTGGAGCATGAAACATCTAACCAAAATGGGATCCTTTGGGGCAAAATTTCGAGGGGCTACGTCTTCGTGGTGATGGCTGATGCTGCTTGGAAGTTGTGATGAATAATGAAATCAATTGTCAATTGTCAATTGAAATCATACTTTGAGACTGAGTTTCCCCACGCCACAGCTCTCTTGTGCGACCATGAGACTTTGCACATCTCGCTATTTGATTTCATGAAACAGTGAAACAGTTTCCCGCCTGTGTGGCTTTGCCACAGCAATTTTGGCATCCTGCTTCTTGAGGCTGCGTTTTGATCAATTTCACTGGTTACAGTCATGACTTTCTTATTTGGTTTTCCCTAAAAAAAATGCTACTTGGGGATATCCAAGCCATTGTCATGCGAGTGCTAACATGCCGATGTTAGCAATTTCTGTCCTTCACATTATAATCACCAGGTTCTGAGCAAGCAAGCTGCGTGTGAGGCGGAGGCAGCGTGTTTCCATGTGTTTCCCTGGAATATCCTGGAATGAAAGTTTGATCAAAATTGATAGCTGTTTTAAAATGCAAATGCTTCAGCTACAGCCGACGCCAGGCCGTGGCCATCATTCGCCAGGAAGCGGCCGAGCAGCGTGCGCTGCTGCTGAGCGAAGCGAACGCGGAAGTCCAGGCCTTGCGCGGCGAAGTGCACAACTTGCAGCTGGGCAGCTCAGAGATCCCGGCTGTGATTGGAAATGTCATGGAAATTTCATGGAAATTTCATGGTGATCAATCTGATAAATGATGACAAATGTACAGTAAATGTATATATAAATGATAAATGTGGAATACTACGATAGGTAAACTCAAGAGTGCCCATGTTTCAGGTCTGAATAGAAAGCCCCTAAATGCTGAAATCAGGGTTTATTAATTAGGGTGTTTACCATACCACAAGCTGATGGATCTTGGCTTCAGACTTGGAAAGTTTGAGGTGAATTGTTGCCTGATTGCAGGGATATAGTGGACAAACTGAAATTCCTGGGTTCCATGTCCCGCCAGGCAGGAGAATGACAAGCTGAAACGCGATGTTTCAGCTAAGTCGGCGGCATGGTCGGAGGCCGGTTTCATGGCACCCCGCTCGTTGACGAAACTTGAAGGGTTGACATTCGATGACATTCGCAGCCAACCAGAATACTTTAGATAATTTTAGAATATCTTAGTGATTCTTAGTGGGAAGTTCATGGGACTCCAAGAATCTCATTGGATCTCATTGGATCTCAGTCCATTTTGAGGTGATCCAGCAATCCAGCCCCCCTCGAGGCGCGGGCTGAGATTGATGAGCAGGTCGCCAGGCTCAGGTGCGTCTTGGGATGGCCCAGTCATGGCCTGAAAATAGAGAGGATACCTGGTCGGATACCTCTAGAACGGTTGTTTTAATGATGATAAGTATGATCAGCCACTCAATTATGTGGGTACCCTATGTATCCCTATGTTCCTTTCACGGAATGTTTGAGGAAGTTCAAGACACTTCGATTGATGTTGGCCCATAGCTTTAGATGTTCAGTTTCACCGAATTTCATCCTTCGAATATAAATTTCACCGTTTCTGATCCTTAGCTTCAAATTATACGTTAAGAAAGATCCGCTCTCACCCTGCGATGTGAGCTGCAAAGGACAGAGTATGAAGAAGAGAGCCAAGAGTCCTTGACCAAAGCTGTTCATCAACTGCAGGTGGGGTCCAACATAATACATGGCATTACATGGCTGTGTTGCCTGCAGAAGCACTCTCAAGGAATCGACATATCATAGAGTGAACATGAAAAATTGAATTGTGATCGACAAATATCATCAATCATCAACAAGTGTCATAAAACATGCCATTTTCCACAGCATGTTCAGGAGTTTACAACTGAATGATTGGACATGGACATACATGGACCTTTTCCATCAGTTCAACAATTGATGCTTGTGCTTCAACCCAGGTCGCTGACGACCTGGTGGTGGGCTTGCGCCGGCGCTCCGAACAGGACTCCGACGCGCGTGCGATGTGTCTGCGAGAGTCTGGGGGCACAGAATGGATGGATGGACGGAAAGGATTTTTTTTGGGGGAATCACCTGGGTGTGTGATGATTTTTGCATTTATGTTCCATCGTCCATAAAATTCAAGGGTTTTCCCGGTTTTCCGTTAAACGCTAGCATTGCCTGAATGATTTTGTCCTATTCTTGGGCACAAGTCCGGGTCGTGCAGAACCGAATTCGCAATTCTCGGCAAAGGTTCGAAGCTGCAAAGCAGGAAGCAGCAGAGGACAACACTGTCACAACATGGGTACGGTACGGTTCACAATGGTATGGATCAATACCTATTAATACCATTTTTAATGGGATGAACATCCATAAATCCCAGCTATTTTGATGTGAACTACAGGGGTACAAGGTTTTGACACACTGCCTTATCATTTATCCGAATGGTTCGCAAAAAATGCCATGGTCCGATACAAGAAAACACCAAGTTCGTGGGACCATTGGTATCCAAGGAGAAGGCACCTCAGCACCTCAAAGTTGATCGTAGCCATGATGACAGTGCCATGCTTTCGAACATGTTCAACGCGCTAAGAGATCATTCTTCATAAGTTAGATTTGAGAGGTGGAAGATGATTCCTGAAGACTGTTTCATTGCACATTCACTTGAGTGACGCACCTGTCCCCAGCCTGTCCCTCGTGCAATCATAAGTAGGGACATATGGTCCCATATGGTTGTTTGATGTTGTTTGTTTGGTGAGGAAGCCGCCTGCTGCCGACGTTTACTGGCCGAGAGGTCGGAAAAGGTGCCAAGCTGCAAGGGGAAATCTCTGCAGACATTCCAACCGTGAGCAATGTCCTTTGAGCGCTCAGTGTTGGATCTGTGTATTTGGGGCTTCCAATTCTCTGAAATGATCTATAAATGATCTATTTCAGCATAGAAACATATAGAAACCAATGGTTTGCAAAACATCCCTGCACTTTCCAAGTGTCTTTCCGAACAATTCCAGATGACTCAATTTGCTGAGTTTGATCTTATTGGATCAGTGGGTAGCTTGCTGAGCAACTTCCAGGTTCCTCAAAGTTTCAGGAGCGACCTCAGTAGAGGCCCCCCTACGCAGGGATGACGGCAGGGATGACGGGAGAGTTGGCAAATGGTCCATCATTCCAATGTATTCCAACAGCCCTGCAGTGCAAAATCTGATATATCGTATAGATCCAGATGGATCCAGTCTCTTTGCTTCGTGCTGGTATCAGGTATTTTCGAGGCTTGACAAGGAAAAGAAATGAAAAGGATACCATACTTGCGATGTGCAAACGCCAACGATTCGCTGTCCAAATATCAGGTTCTGATCAGATGAATGAGATCTACCGTGAGCGTCAAGAGGCGTCCGCGCACATCACAAAAAATCATACCGTCCAGGAGAATCGGGAGAATCTGGAGAATGCATTTGCCATTATCACCCATTATCATTGGATTCTCCAGACATCATTGACATATATTGACATTATATCCATTATCAATTTCCCATAATGGATGATAAATTATATTATCATCCATTATCATCCATTATCCAGATTATTCCAGATTATTAGAATCCATTATCATTGGGGGAGGATGATGGAAAATGCCCTTCAGCGGATGGGTCATGGGTCTGTGACAATTCTTCACCGAGGCCATGGCCATCATGGAGCGTCTGCGGTCACGGCATCCACCCGAGGAGCCCACCAGCGAATTGCCGTGGCCTGAAGCTCATTGCTCTGGACCATGAGGGACCCAGTTCGAAAAAGACTTCACAACCATGGTTAAGAACCACGGTCATCACTTAACAAGCCAGTTTTCCCGAATGCGTAGCAAGGGTTCCCGTTTCACTCTGGGGGTCTGGGGGTTGAGAGTGTGTTCGCTCGACGTTGCGTCCGCGTCCGCAACCGTTCGCAACCGTCCGCAACCGTTCGCAACCGTTCGTACGAGGTCCGTATGGCCGTGCCTATGGGAAGTTTTGCAGAGGTGGTCATTTTTGGAGGTTTCAGACGTGTCGTTGCTTCGTTTCGCGTGGCAGGCGTGGCACTTCGTGACATTCAGACGTGTTTTGCAACGTGTTGAAAATCGTTTCGCGTGGCAGGCGCAATAGTTTTGTGACGTTTTCAGAAGATGTGTTGCAGTTTTCGTGGCAGGCGCAGCACTTTGGACGTGTCCATCGTCATTTTTCGTGGCAGGCGCGGCACTTTAGACGTGTCCTGTTGCGTGTTTTTTGTAAATCGCATTGGTAGGGCTGCGTCAAGTGGCGACAAGGTGCAAATTCCGTGGCAGGCGTGGCATTTTGTGCGATGCGCTGAAAATTGACGGAAGCCTCGCACGAAACATCGATTTTGAGGTTGCAAATTTTCAGGTTCTAAGGAAAACTCGTAGGAAAACGTTGATTTTGAAGCTGCAAAGTGTGAAAATTGGAGGAAGTCTCGCAGGAAATGCTCGTTTTGGTGCTCCCACCTGACTTGTCTCGCGTCTCTGGTTTTCCCGTGGCCTCGCCGTGTCTATGGGGGAAGCTGCAAAACTTGTCTTTTTGTCATGATGCCAACTTTGAAAATTGCCGGAAGTCTCGTACGAAATGCTCGTTTTTTTGCACCCACGTGTGTCGTCTGGAGTCGCTGGTTGTCCTGTGGCGTCGCCGAGTCTATGGGGGAAGCCGCAAAACCTCTCCTTTTCGAATGTTTCCACGCAGGTTGTCATGTCGTTTTGCGTGGCAGGCGTGGCACTTTGTGACATTCCAACCTGTTTGATAACGTGTGGAAAATATCAAAATTGGAGGAAGTCTCGTACGAAATGCTGGTTTTTCTGCATCCACGTGTCTTGTCTCGAGTCCCTGGTGTTCCTGTGGCATCGCCGTGTCTATGGGGGAAGCTGGAAAACCTCTCCTATTCGAATGTGTCCAAGCAGGTTGTCATGTCGTTTTGCGTGGCAGGCGTGGCACTTTGTGACATTCCAACCTGTTTGATAATGTGTCAAAAATGTCAAAATTGGAGGAAGTCTCGTACGAAATGCTGATTTTTCTGCATCCACGTGTCTTGTCTCGAGTCGCTGGTTTTCCTGTGGCGTCGCCGTGTCTATGGGGGAAGCCGGAAAATATATCCTATTCGAATGTGTCCAAGCAGGTTGTCATATCGTTTTGCGTGGCAGGTGTGGCACTTTGTGACATTCCAACCTGTTTGCTAACCTGTCGAAAATATCAAAATTGGAGGAAGTCTCGCAGGAAATGCTTGTTTTTTTTGCACCCACGTGTCTCGTTTCGAGTTTCTGGTTTTCCTGTGGCATCGCCGTGTCTATGGGGGAAGCTCCGCACTCCACACTCTACACTTTACACTCCACACTTTACACTTTACACTCCTCACCCCACACTCTACACTCCACACTCCCCACTTTACACTCCACACTCCACACTCTACACTTTCCACTCCACACTCCGCACTCCACACTCCACACTTTACTGTACACTCCACACTTTATACTTTACACTCTTCACTCCACACTCTACACTTTCCACTCCAGACTCCACAGTCTACACTTTACGCTCCACACTCCACACTTTACACTCCACTCTTTACACTCCACACTCCACACTTTACACTCCTCACTCCACACTTTACACTCCCCACTCCACACTCCACACTTTACACTCCACACTTCACACTCCACACTTTCCACTCCACACTCCACACTCCACACTTTACACTCCACACTCCACACTTTACACTCCTCACTCCACACTTTACACTCCAAACTCCTTACTTCACACTCCACACTTTACACTCCACACTTTACACTCCACACTCCACACTCTACACTTTACACTTTACACTCTACTCTATACACTCTACACTCCACACTTTACACTTTACACTCCACGCTTTCCACTTTACACTCCTCACTCCACACTTTACACTCCACACTTTACACTCCACACTTTACACTCCACACTCTACACTTTACACTCCACACTCCACACTCTACACTCCAGACTTTACACTCCACACTCCACACTCTACACACCACACTCTACACTTTCCACTTCACACTCCACACGCTACACTCTACACTCTACACTTTACACTCTACACTTTACACTCTACACTTCACACACTACAATTTACAAACTCCACACACCTCACTCCACACTTTACACTCCACACTCCTCACTCCACACTTTACACTCCTCACTTTACACTCCACACTCCACACTTTACACTCCTCACTCCACACTCTACGCTCTACACTCCACACTCTACACTCCACATTCTACACTTTACACTCCATACTCCACACTCTACACTTTACACTCCGCATTCTACACGTTACACACTCTACACTCCCCACTCCACACTTTACACTCCACACTCCTTACTTCACACTCCACACTCTACACTTTCCACTCCACACTGCAGACTGGTAACAAGGGAAACATGTACAAGACTGTTCAAATAAACTATTCCAGAAAGGTATTGTGCGTGACTGCATAACCATGTGTTTTGACATCTGTACCATTAACATACGTGTGAGCATTCGGGTTCGTGGGCTTCATCTTGTTTTTTTCTGTGGGATCTACATGGATAGCATAGATATAGCATAGATATACCCCAGTGACATGTGAATTCTGAACCACTTGGCCACTTGGGATGCCACGAATTCATGGAGGCCTAAGATTGGCTCCATTGGCAGCTCGCCCATGAGGTCCTGAGCTCAGGTCGCCTCAAATGCCAAGAGACCACAGATTTCGATGTGGATCAATGTGTATCATGTTCTTGTAATTTCAACATATTTCAACATATTTCAACATATTTCAACATATTTCAAGATATGTCAACATATTTCAACATATTTCAACATAGTCATGTGTTTTTTCTCAGATACGCAGTATTACACAGTCATTGCACAAGAACTGAGGTCTTCTCCTGGGCTGCGTGGCGCCCGCGACATGTCGTGGCTGTCAAGCGCCATGGCGATGGCGACTGACAAGGTCCGGGCCATTGGCTGGGATTTCACCCCACTTTCGCGTGCGAAATTCAATGGATATCCAGGTCCGGCAATTTGGCTCGAAGTGGGAAGGGCACGCAGGAAAACCCCGACGATACAAATGTTCCCTTAAATCTATCCATGACTAGTAGCTCTTAATTGGGGCGAAACACTCGAGATTCAAGGGTGAATTAATCCATACCCAAATGAGTCCTTGGATTTGTTGAAGAGAAAAGTGTTTGGAATATTGTTTGGAACCCTCTGTATTTGATGGTGAGAAAAATTGTTTCCAACCAAAAAAACTTCAAGCATCCTAAGCCAAGCCATTGAAAGTGTCGGTTGTCTCTAAACGTTCGCTGGTATACTTACTGTATCTGATATTTTCCTAGACTCACTCAGCTTTGGAAAGGAACAAGCAATGTGTACACAATGATCACAATGCATGCTGCAAAATGTTTGGATGCTTGCAGGACTTTTCAGGCTTTTCAGTGAATATGGCCAATCAGTGAGCAAAGTCTCTCACAGCAAAGGGGCTCATTTTCTGCGTTCAGCAGCGGGTGCCCAGATGTTTCAGTGCAAGCCATATGGCCGATGCTTGAAGGTAGGGAATAGCTATGGCGAATATCCATGTTTTGGACGGACCTTTGAATTCTTACAGACATGGCATCAGCCTGGAATTGGAAATTCATTTATTGGCAACCCTTGGGCCACAGCTTGCGAATAGCAGCCGTGGAGATGGGTTGTGCCTATCATCATGCACTGCGCTGGAAAAGTGCTGGCTGCGATGACCGAAAGGTTGCAGTCGAGATTTGAAGAGAGCTTCACTACGGGCATCCAAATTAACATGATTCTACCCCTTGTCAGTTTGACTAAAGTGATTTGCCCAAAGCATTGGTTCCAGAAGTGTTAAGAAACAAGACAAGAACATTGATGGGATTTACTTTCATCATTTTTCATCAATAAAGCGATTTTGGCGCATCGTTCTCAAACCCACCAGACAGTCCGAGGAACCAGACAGATTGGATGAACTCCGCGCGCTGGTGGGCGCAGAGCAGCAAAAACCTGTGGTTCTTGACTTTCCAAGTTTAAGCGTATGTCTGCTCCCTAACGCATCACACAGCAATCAATGACTGGTCCGTCAATGTGTTCTTCACCCTCAGAATCATCAGGGGCAGCTTGATCAATCTAGTTCAGAAGCATCAACATCAGAATCACGAGCATCTTGTTCACTACAGTAATTTGAAGTCGCCGTTTGTTCTCAACATCATGAAGATAGCAGTCCTGGCCATGGCCATTGCAATTGCAATGATCCCCTTGTCCTGCAGGACCGCGGGGAGGTCGTGCAGATGCATCCACAAACAAATGCAAATAAAGCTGTCCACAAATTTTAGATCTTTGAGTAGTGAATCATCCAAACTTTTGGGTGCCCAAGGGTGGCATTTGTCGCATCCTTTCATGCAAACCTCACCTCGGGGAGCGTGTCTGTACAACTGTGACAACTGATATGCCTCCTTACGGTCACGGCCTCGCGTGCGCACGCGCATGTCGGTCTCGCGTGCGCACGCGCATGCTGGTCTCGCACGCGCACGCGCACTAATTGCACGCCTATTTTTTCTCGCGCAGGTCAACGAAAATGACGTCTCGGCTGCGGCTCGCCTGCGCACGCTGTGCGGCTCGCCTGCGCACGCTGTTGCTGGTCTGGGACCTTGCAGATGTAAGGCTCCCTTCTCCTCTAAAATAGAGGGAGGAGCTCCGTGTCAAGGCTCCCTTCTCCTCTAAAATAGAGGCGCAACGACAAAGAGCCTCTGTTCTCCTTTAAAATAGAGGCATTCCGTCCTCCGCGACAGAGACTCCGTTCTGCTCTAAAATAGAGGCAGTAGCTCAGTTTGACGGCTCCCTTCTCCTCTAAAATAGAGGCAGTAGCGCTGCTTGAAGGCTTCGTTCTCCACTAAACTAGTCCAGAGATTCCGTTCTGCTTTAAAAGAGAGGCAGCAGCTCCTCCCTTCTCCTCTAAAATAGAGGGAGGAGCTCCGTGTCAAGGCTCCCTTCTCCTCTAAAATAGAGGCGCAACGACAAAGAGCCTCTGTTCTCCCCTAAAATAGAGGCATTCCGTCCTCCGCGACAGAGATTCCGTTCTGCTCTAAAATAGAGCCAGTCGCGTAGTTTGCGGGCTCCCTTCTCCTCTAAAATAGAGGGAGGAGCTCCGTGTCAAGGCTCCCTTCTCCTCTAAAATAGAGGCGCAACGACAAAGAGCCTCTGTTCTCCTCTAAAATAGAGGTATTCCGTCCTCCGCGGCAGAGACTCCGTTCTGCTCTAAAATAGAGGCAGTAGCTCAGTTTG